GTTTGAGCTGTCAGTTCATTAAACCCAGGGTTTATCTGAGAAACCAGCTCCCACTGATGACAAGACGATATCCATGTTATTGTCCTGCTGTTCCTCCGGTGGCGCCACAGCCTTGTATGAATGTGATGGAATTGGAGAACGATTCCTTGATGTTGCGAATTATTTACTGTATGTGACTATTTACCATTTATTATGATTCTTAAACTGACTGTTATTCCTTTTCTTTGGCAGCCAGAGAGAGAAGTGGACTTACCGGACCCTGAGGACCTGCAGTCTATTCGTGAGAAGTTAGATTTCTTTGAGACAATTGGTAAATACCGTATTTACAAGCTCCTCAGAACAGGATAATGTTTCCTATTTGATTGTTTGATAAAGTGTTGCAAATCCTACGGAAGGGTTAAGACAATTCAATCAAACGGTTTAAGTTTAGTGATTATTTGAGATGGAGGGTCTATAAGTGTAATCTTCATTTTAGGAGAGGGCAGCTCTGTGAAGCAGCGGCCGGTGTCTCCAGTGAGAAAACCCCGTTCTCCACGTCGGGCCAGTCCACGTCGGGCCAGTCCACGTCGGGCCAGTCCACGTCAGGCCAGTCCACGTCGGGCCAGTCCACCTCGGGCCAGTCCACGTCGGGCCAGTCCACCTCGGCCCAGTCCACGTCGGGCCAGTCCACCTCGGCCCAGTCCACCTCCTCCCCCTGTCAAACCCAGACCTAAAGGTGTCCAGACCTCTCAGTGATGTGTGTGTAGAGCAAACATGCTTAATGTCACTCTCCCGCAGAGAACACACCAAGACCCACAAAACCTGCTGCTGCCAAAGAAGAGCCCAGGCCCCGGCCCGAACCTGAGGCGGTCCCACGGCCAGAACCCACCTCCAACATCAGAGAAATCATCAAACAGTTCAACAGCCGTCCTCCCTCTGAGCAAGTGCCCATCGAGCCGGCGAGGTCAGAGAATGCAGCAGTGTGGAGAGAGATGCATGGATAATAATGTACTCAGTTATATGTGCAAAACGGTTCTGAAATCTGGTCTAAACAGTTCTGAAATGTGGTCTAAACGGTTCTGAAATCTGGTCTAAATGGTTCTGAAATGTGGTCTAAACGGTTCTGAAATCTGGTCTAAACGGTTCTGAAATGTGGTCTAAATGGTTCTGAAATGTGGTCTAAACGGTTCTGAAATGTGGTCTAAACGGTTCTGAAATGTGGTCCAAACGATTCTGAAATGTGGTCTAAGTGGTTCTGAAATGTGGTCCAAACGGTTCTGAAATGTGGTCCAAATGGTTCTGAAATGTGGTCTGAGCGGTTCTGAAATGTGGTCTAAAGGGTTCTGAAATGTGGTCCAAATGGTTCTGAAATGTGGTCTAAGTGGTTCTGAAATGTGGTCCAAATGGTTCTGAAATGTGGTCCAAACGGTTCTGAAATGTGGTCCAAACGGTTCTGAAATGTGGACTAAACGGTTCTGAAATCTGGTCCAAATGGTTCTGAAATGTGGTCCAAACGGTTCTGAAATGTGGTCTAAACGGTTCTGAAATGTGGTCCAAACGGTTCTGAAATGTGGTCTAAGCGGTTCTGAAATGTGGTCTGAGCGGTTCTGAAATGTGGTCCAAACGGTTCTGAAATGTGGTCCAAACGGTTCTGAAATGTGGTCCAAATGGTTCGGAAATGTGGTCCAAATGGTTCTGAAATGTGGTCTGAGCGGTTCTGAAATCTGGTCTAAATGGTTCTGAAATGTGGTCTAAACGGTTCTGAAATCTGGTCTAAACGGTTCTGAAATGTGGTCTAAATGGTTCTGAAATGTGGTCTAAACGGTTCTGAAATGTGGTCCAAACGATTCTGAAATGTGGTCTAAGTGGTTCTGAAATGTGGTCCAAATGGTTCTGAAATGTGGTCCAAACGGTTCTGAAATGTGGTCCAAATGGTTCTGAAATGTGGTCTGAGCGGTTCTGAAATGTGGTCTAAAGGGTTCTGAAATGTGGTCCAAACGGTTCTGAAATGTGGTCCAAACGGTTCTGAAATGTGGACTAAACGGTTCTGAAATCTGGTCCAAATGGTTCTGAAATGTGGTCCAAACGGTTCTGAAATGTGGTCTAAACGGTTCTGAAATGTGGTCCAAACGGTTCTGAAATGTGGTCTAAGCGGTTCTGAAATGTGGTCTGAGCGGTTCTGAAATGTGGTCCAAACGGTTCTGAAATGTGGTCCAAACGGTTCTGAAATGTGGTCCAAATGGTTCGGAAATGTGGTCCAAATGGTTCTGAAATGTGGTCTGAGCGGTTCTGAAATGTGGTCTAAACGGTTCTGAAATGTGGTCCAAATGGTTCTGAAATGTGGTCTGAGCGGTTCTGAAATGTGGTCTAAAGGGTTCTGAAATGTGGTCCAAACGGTTCTGAAATGTGGTCCAAACGGTTCTGAAATGTGGACTAAACGGTTCTGAAATGTGGTCCAAATGGTTCTGAAATGTGGTCTAAACGGTTCTGAAATGTGGTCTGAGCGGTTCTGAAATGTGGTCCAAACGGTTCTGAAATGTGGTCTAAGCGGTTCTGAAATGTGGTCTGAGCGGTTCTGAAATGTGGTCCAAACGGTTCTGAAATGTGGTCCAAACGGTTCTGAAATGTGGTCCAAATGGTTCGGAAATGTGGTCCAAATGGTTCTGAAATGTGGTCTGAGCGGTTCTGAAATGTGGTCTAAACGGTTCTGAAATGTGGTCCAAATGGTTCTGAAATGTGGTCTGAGCGGTTCTGAAATGTGGTCTAAAGGGTTCTGAAATGTGGTCCAAACGGTTCTGAAATATGGTCCAAACGGTTCTGAAATGTGGACTAAACGGTTCTGAAATCTGGTCCAAATGGTTCTGAAATGTGGTCCAAACGGTTCTGAAATGTGGTCTAAACGGTTCTGAAATGTGGTCCAAACGGTTCTGAAATGTGGTCTAAGCGGTTCTGAAATGTGGTCTGAGCGGTTCTGAAATGTGGTCCAAACGGTTCTGAAATGTGGTCCAAACGGTTCTGAAATGTGGTCCAAATGGTTCTGAAATGTGGTCCAAACGGTTCTGAAATCTGGTCCAAACGGTTCTGAAATGTGGTCTAAGCGGTTCTGAAATGTGGTCCAAATGGTTCTGAAATGTGGTCTGAGCGGTTCTGAAATGTGGTCTAAAGGGTTCTGAAATGTGGTCCAAACGGTTCTGAAATGTGGTCCAAACGGTTCTGAAATGTGGTCCAAACGGTTCTGAAATGTGGTCTAAACGGTTCTGAAATGTGGTCTAAATGGTTCTGAAATGTGATCTAAACGGTTCTGAAATCCGGTCTAAACGGTTCTGAAATGTGGTCCAAACGGTTCTGAAATGTGGTCTGAGCGGTTCTGAAATGTGGTCCAAACAGTTCTGAAATGTGGTCCAAACGGTTCTGAAATGTGGTCCAAATGGTTCTGAAATGTGGTCTAAATGGTTCTGAAATGTGGTCTAAAGGGTTCTGAAATGTGGTCCAAACGGTTCTGAAATGTGGTCCAAACGGTTCTGAAATCTGGTCCAAACGGTTCTAAAATGTGGTCCAAACGGTTCTGAAATCTGGTCTAAACGGTTCTGAAATCTGGTCTGAACGGTTCTAAAATGTGGTCCAAATGGTTCTGAAATGTGGTCCAAACGGTTCTAAAATGTGGTCTAAGCAGTTCTGAAATGTGGTCCAAATGGTTCTGAAATGTGGTCTGAGCGGTTCTGAAATGTGGTCCAAATGGTTCTGAAATGTGGTCTGAGCGGTTCTGAAATGTGGTCTAAAGGGTTCTGAAATGTGGTCCAAACGGTTCTGAAATGTGGTCCAAACGGTTCTGAAATCTGGTCCAAATGGTTCTGAAATGTGGTCCAAACGGTTCTGAAATGTGGTCTAAACGGTTCTGAAATGTGGTCCAAACGGTTCTGAAATGTGGTCTAAGCGGTTCTGAAATGTGGTCTAAGCGGTTCTGAAATGTGGTCCAAATGGTTCTGAAATGTGGTCTGAGCGGTTCTGAAATGTGGTCCAAATGGTTCTGAAATGTGGTCCAAATGGTTCTGAAATGTGGTCTAAGCGGTTCTGAAATGTGGTCCAAACGGTTCTGAAATGTGGTCCAAACGGTTCTGAAATGTGGTCCAAATGGTTCTGAAATGTGGTCTGAGCGGTTCTGAAATGTGGTCTGAGCGGTTCTGAAATGTGGTCCAAACGGTTCTGAAATCTGGTCCAAACGGTTCTGAAATGTGGTCTAAGCGGTTCTGAAATGTGGTCCAAATGGTTCTGAAATGTGGTCCAAACGGTTCTGAAATGTGGTCCAAACGGTTCTGAAATGTGGTCTGAGCGGTTCTGAAATCTGGTCTAAACGGTTCTGAAATGTGGTCCAAACGGTCCTGAAATCTGGTCTAAAGGGTTCTGAAATCTGGTCCAAACGGTTCTGAAATGTGGTCTGAGCGGTTCTGAAATCTGGTCTAAACGGTTCTGAAATGTGGTCCAAACGGTCCTGAAATCTGGTCTAAAGGGTTCTGAAATCTGGTCCAAACGGTTCTGAAATGTGGTCTAAGCGGTTCTGAAGTGTGGTCCAAAGCGGTTCTGAAATGTGGTCCAAACGGTCAACAATATGATCATGATTTTTAATGTAACTATGGAAACCACATGGAACCATAATCACCTCGAAAAGTTGAATTATCCAAAATGAAGTCACTACAGTAACATAAGTGTTTGTTATTACTTTGTTTGTGGATGTAAACATTTGTGTTTTGTCAGACCGAGTAAACAGTTTGTGAAGAAGACCAACCCCAAACAGGAAGCTCTGGACAAGTTAAAACATGTGTCTCCAGCTCAGCAGCAGAAGGTGCGGTCCCAAAACACTACTGCACCACTTTACATACACTTTTTTATATTTTTATCTTTTTATTAACACACAAAACACAAAATACATCACAACAGTGACATTCATACCAATCATGCTCACAACAACTACATGAACGTTCATACAGTACACAATGAACATACTGTACATACATGGGGAGAGGCTGTGCGTCTGTGTGTGTGTGTGTATCTGTGTGTGTGTGTATCTGTGTCTATGTGTGTGTGTCTGTCTCTGTGTGTATCTGTGTCTATGTGTGTGTGTGTATCTGTGTGTGTGTGTATTTGTGTCTATGTGTGTGTGTCTGTCTCTGTGTGTGTGTGTGTATCTGTGTCTATGTGTGTGTGTGTCTGTCTCTGTGTGTGTGTGTATCTGTGTCTGTGTGTGTGTGTGTGTGTATCTGTGTGTGTATCTGTGTCTATGTGTGTTTGTGTCTGTGTCTGTGTGTGTCTGTGTTTGTGTGTGTGTGTCTGTTTATGTGTGTGTGTGTGTGTGTCTGTTTCTGTGTCTGTCTGTGTGTGTGTCTGTTTATGTGTGTGTATCTGTGTCTGTGTGTGTGTCTGTTTATGTGTGTGTATGTGTGTGTGTCTGTCTCTGTTTCTGTGTCTGTGTGTGTGTGTGTGTCTGTTTATGTGTGTGTATCTGTGTCTATGTGTGTGTGTGTCTGTTTCTGTGTCTGTGTGTGTGTGTGTGTCTCTGTTTCTGTGTCTGTCTGTGTCTGTGTGTATCTGTGTCTGTGCGTTTTTTATTTTATTTTATTTTTTAGTGTGAATTGACTTGTTATCCGAGCGTATTGTCGGGACTTCCCACACACCTGAACACACCTGAACACACCTGAACACACCTGAACACACCTGAACACACCTGAACACACCTGAACACACCTGAACACACCTGAACACACCTGAACACACCTGAACACACCTTAACACACCTGAACACACCTGAACACACCTGAACACACCTGAACACACCTGAACACACCTGAACACTCCTGAACACACCTGAACACACCTTAACACACCTTAACACACCTGAACACACCTTAACACACCTGAACACACCTGAACACACCTGAACACACCTGAACACACCTGAACACCCTGAACACACCTGAACACACCTGAACACACCTGAACACACCTGAACACACCTGAACACACCTTAACCCACTTAACACACCTGAACACACCTGAACACACCTGAACACACCTGAACACACCTGAACACACCTTAACACACCTTAACACACCTGAACACACCTGAACACACCTGAACACACCTGAACACACCTTAACCCACTTAACACACCTGAACACACCTGAACACACCTGAACACACCTGAACACACCTGAACACACCTGAACACACCTGAACACACCTTAACCCACTTAACACACCTGAACACACCTGAACACACCTTAACACACCTGAACACACCTGAACACACCTGAACACACCTGAACACACCTGAACACACCTGAACACACCTGAACACACCTGAACACACCTGAACACACCTTAACACACCTGAACACACCTGAACACACCTGAACACACCTGAACACACCTGAACACACCTGAACACACCTGAACCCACTTAACACACCTGAACACACCTGAACACACCTGAACACACCTGAACACACCTTAACACACCTGAACACACCTGAACACACCTGAACACACCTGAACACACCTTAACCCACTTAACACACCTGAACACACCTGAACACACCTGAACACACCTGAACACACCTGAACACACCTGAACACACCTGAACACACCTGAACACACCTTAACCCACTGAACACACCTGAACACACCTGAACACACCTTAACACACCTTAACACACCTGAACACACCTGAACACACCTGAACACACCTGAACACACCTGAACACACCTGAACACACCTGAACACACCTTAACACACCTTAACACACCTTAACACACCTTAACACACCTGAACACACCTGAACACACCTGAACACACCTGAACACACCTGAACACACCTGAACACACCTGAACCCACTTAACACACCTGAACACACCTGAACACACCTGAACACACCTGAACACACCTGAACACACCTGAACACACTTGAACACACTTGAACACACCTGAACACACCTGAACACACCTGAACACACCTGAACACACCTGAACACACCTTAACACACCTTAACACACCTTAACACACCTTAACACACCTGAACACACCTGAACACACCTGAACACACCTGAACACACCTGAACACACCTGAACACACCTGAACACACCTGAACACACCGTCATAACCAAACCTCTGACCCACAGAAGCAATGGGCCCCTCCGCCTCCTCCCGTCAGGACTCAACAGACCTCCCCCATGTCCACCAGGGGGCGCAGGGCTATCTCTAACAACATGAAGCAGAAACAGCGCCCTCTGGAAGAACTTTTCAACTCTCAGCGGTCAAAGCAGCCTCCTCCTCCTCCTGCTGCTCCTCCTCCTCCTCCTGCTGCTGCTCCTCCTCCTCCTGCTGCTCCTGCTCCTGTCTTCGAAGCTCCGCCTCCTCCTCCACCTGAGCCTGCACCTGTTCTCCAGAGCATCCCTGATCCCCCGGGTTCAGCCGCACCTGCTCTTGGTAACTGTGGGTTGTGTAAGATAAACATAAGCACATACAGCTGCAAAAAAGGACAAAATAATAGGCAATAAATGCTTAAATCAAGTGTTTTTATCTTAATCTGAGACATTTTGACTGTCTTTAAACCAGATTTACCAGAGGAACAAGCCTTTTAGTCTCATTTAAAGTGCTGTTGCTAATTATTTTTAATTCCAAGGAAGACATCTTTTTAAAACAAGATATTTTTGTTTGTTCCATTAGCAGCTCTTGTCAAAACTTACTCAAATTAAAGGAGCAGTTTGTAAACATGTGGCCAAAAGTGGTACTGCAGCCTCTCCCACTCTCCCTGACTCAGGTTGCCAGATATGCAGACGAATCCAGCTGGGACCATAACAGCTGAATAGACAAGAGTTGGTTCAAGTATTTTTTACCTTATATTTTTATCCTTTCCTTTTCTATTCCTTTGGAGACGGGACGGTGTGACATCTCTCCCAGAACAGAATGAACATCAACAAAATTATAGAGTATGTTTTGTTTTCGAAAAGAAGTGGGAAAAAGTTCAGCCTTCTCTCCCAAAGTAGCAGAGTCGTGTTGTCAGCGTATAACAACATTGGTTCAGACCCTTTGGCCCCTGCTCAGTCTTTTCTAACATGTGTGTTTTGCAGATGAAGAAGATGAAGGCATTTCCTCTCGCTTGCACCGGTTCCTCCCTCAGAACTATCTCTCCTTCTCCAATCCTCCGGGAAAACTCTTCCTACGTAAAGAGGTGACTGCACCCCACTGAAATGCAGAAGTTCATGATTTATTAATTTACTTTTTTATTGCACCTGATTATATCCTGCACAGACTGTGTTTTTTTAACATGTTTCACACTCTTGTCGTTAGCTCATGTTGCCTATAGGGTTTTCTGCCACGTGCTTATTACCCATGATGCTTTGTGCGTTTGTCTGGCTTATATTGCACGGATCATTTGTGCCCGTGTTATCTAAAGCCATGAATTGGGCCGACACTGACCGCGTTAAGTTATTGATACACTGGAGTCATCTGTGAGGAAAGATCCTTGGAGAAACTGAGAGTGATCGTAGATTTGGATCCGTATGAAACGCAGCGAGACCAGTGGACTTCACCAGAACAGTTTTACTTTCACTTTACAGTTTTACAATTAAAAAAGGTCATGATGTATGAGATGCAATATTTCTTTCAATCAATAATTTATTTTGAATGAAGCAGTTGATATCACAGGCCGTAAATCACTTCTGTCTACCACCCTTTCCCCTCCTCCTCCACCTCCTCCTCCTCTCATTCATTCAGACCTAGTATCACAGTCAAATCTCTGAATATAAACCACACATGCACAGATTTAGCTCGTACTTGTTATGAAATGGTCAGAACAGACCTGATAGTGCCGTTTTTCAGGGGTTAGGGTTGAATCCCTCTCGGTTGATCCTCGCCAACTAAAGAGTCTTTTCTCCGTCGAGAGTGGCTCCCCTGGCTCGTGATAACCTTCGGAATGTCCCCACAATCTGCACGGTTACTGCGCCCCCAAACGACGCAGGCAGTCGGCATGTTTTAGCGCAAAAAAGTGATTTGAGCGCTTTGTTTACCTACAACTAGCGGCGGCTTGACGCGGAATTGTGGGTAGTGCATGACGTCATCGGAAAACCATCTACAGTATAAAGCCGCTTTAGTTTAGTAGTAGTAGAGTATTTGTTCAGTCACTTTTTTCACGACTCAGACAACACAGATCATTTAAAGTAGTGTTCACTAACCTTTGATAACATGTGGGAGGTAAACCTCTGAGACAGATACTGACACTACATTGTACATAATTATATCCTGCACAGACTATATTTTTAACCTTTAACACACTTCTGTCGTTTGCAGATCAATAAAGTTTATCTTATATCTCCTGTTGTGACATAAAAGTTTAATCTTTCTCTGTCTTTTAAGGTTTTTTATCCCAAAGAGATGTTTAACCGGGCCTACATCCTCAACCTTCTGTGTGAACAGGTTCGTATTTGGGTCTCACTTTAGTTTTTGGTTCGGACTGATTTTTCTAAAGCTTCTGGTTTGTGCTGAAGATCATGAGGGACACTTACTCAGACGGCTGCCTGCGGATCAGTCGGGAAGAGAGACGGAAGATGAAAGATCTACTTGGTGAGAGACAGAGCTCTGTAGGAGGCTGTAGGATTGACCGTCTCTGATCACGGACCCTACAACAGAAAAAATACAGAACAATAGAGTCTGGAGCTCGGTAGATACGGATCTGACCAAAGGGAAAGGCACAGGCTGCTCTCACTGGGTCTGTACACGGTTCAGTACACTAACGACAACACACACAAATATGTAGATATGTAGGTAGGTAAGTAGGTAGGTAGATATGTAGGTATATAGATAAGTAGGAAGGTTGGTGCAAACAAAATTACAATTTAAAAAACAGAAACAATATTGCACACTTTACACAGACTAAAAAGGCTGAAGACTAAACTTATGTCTTTACAACACATGTGCCTTTACATGTGCCTTTACAACACATGTGCCTTGAAAAAATTTATGTTTTTCTATTGAATAAAAGAAAAGAAAAAAGCATCAGGCCATTCATCCATTAAGGAAATATAAATATTGTTCTGGTTCAAAAAGCATGACCAATAACAAAGGACAATTATTGGACAAACTTCAAGTACCGGAAAGAGTCTTATTTTCATACAGTCTAAACATGTTGCTCTACAGATGTTACAGGCCTTTTTCATTAGCCATAAAGTATTTTCATTCCAGCAAACTTCAATGTCGGCACAACCATAAGCACCGTCCAGGATGACTTCATGAAGAAGAGAATCGTTATTGCAGCTCGGGACAACTGGGAGAACTATTTCAGCAGACTGTTCCCCGTCAGGGTAGGTCTGTCTTCATACTCTGTGTTCTGTGGCAAAGTGAGTAAAGTGTGTTCTGCAGGTGGACAGTCAAGAGGCTCAGATTCTGGGAGTGACACATCGTGGGATCCGTCTCCTTAAGGTGGTCCGGGCTTCAGGCATCAACCCCAAACACCTCCGACTCCTTCGTAGCTACAGGTGTGTGTGATGTTTCTAGTACATTGAGCTCATACCCAGTTAGATAGATAGATCCATCCATCCATCCATCCATCTATCCATCCATCCATCCATCCATGCTGGGCGAGCAGAAACACTGTCCCAGTTCAGTGTTTCTGCTCTGAACTGCAGAAACGTCTCAGGCAGAAAAAAGCAATAAAATAACACTGAGAATTGGTCTGATTCTGAAGGAGCCCTTCTCATCGACCTGTCACAGTAAATGCACAGGACATCGAAGTGGTTCAGTCCTACAAATACCAGGGAGTCCACCTGGACCACAGACTGGACTGGGAGTCCACCTGGACCACAGACTGGACTGGGAGTCCACCTGGACCACAGACATGACTGGGAGTCCACCTGGACCACAGACTGGACTGGGAGTCCACCTGGACCACAGACTGGACTGGGAGTCCACCTGGACCACAGACTGGACTGGGAGTCCACCTGGACCACAGACTGGACTGGGAGTCCACCTGGACCACAGACTGGACTGGGAGTCCACCTGGACCACAGACTGGACTGGGAGTCCACCTGGACCACAGACTGGACTGGGAGTCCACCTGGGCCACAGACTGGACTGGGAGTCCACCTGGACCACAGACTGGACTGGGAGTCCACCTGGACCACAGACTGGACTGGTCAGCTCAGGCCAATGCTGTCTATAAGAAAGGTCAGAGCAGACTTTTCCTGAGTAGACTGAGGTCCTTTGATGTGAGCAGATGTTGCACATGTTTTACCAGTCTGTTGTAGTTAGTGCCGTGTTCTTTGTACAACGAACCTGGATGATTCTCCTGCTGCAGGACACCTGCATTTCTCCTGCAGGGATCAATAAAGTATCTATCTATCTATATAAAACACAAATACAGTGCCTTGCGAAAGTATTCGGCCCCCTCGAACCTTTCAACATTTCGCCACATTTCAAGCTTCAAACATAAAGATATAAAAATTAAATTTCTTGTCAAGAATCAACAAGTGGGACACAATCGTGAAGTGGAACAAAATTTATTGGATAATTTAAACTTTATTAACAAATAAAAAACTGAAAAGTGGGGCGTGCAATATTATTCGGCCCCTTGCGCTAATACTTTGTAGCGCCACCTTTTGCTACAATTACAGCTGCAAGTCGCTTGGGGTATGTCTCTATCAGTTTTGCACATCGAGAGACTGGAATTCTTCCCCATTCTTCCTTACAAAACAGCTCGAGCTCAGTGAGGTTGGATGGAGAGCGTTTGTGAACAGCAGTCTTCAGCTCTTTCCACAGATTCTCGATTGGATTCAGGTCTGGACTTTGACTTGGCCATTCTAACACCTGGATACGTCTATTTATGAACCATTCCATTGTAGATTTGGCTTTATGTTTTGGATCATTGTCCTGTTGGAAGATAAATCTCCGTCCCAGTCTCAGGTCTTTTGCAGACTCCAACAGGTTTTCTTCCAGAATGGTCCTGTATTTGGCTCCATCCATCTTCCCATCAATTTTAGCCATCTTCCCTGTCCCTGCTGAAGAAAAGCAGGCCCAAAGCATGATGCTGCCACCACCATGTTTGACAGTGGGGATGGTGTGTTCAGGGTGATTTTGGTTTCATCTGACCAGAGCACCTTCTTCCACATGTTTGGTGTGTCTCCCAGGTGGCTTGTGGCAAACTTTAAACGAGACTTTTTATGGATATCTTTGAGAAATGGCTTTCTTCTTGCCACTCTTCCATAAAGGCCAGATTTGTGCAGTGCACGACTGATTGTTGTCCTATGGAAAGACTCTCCCACCTCAGCTGTAGTTATCTGCAGTTCATCCAGAGTGATCATGGGCCTCTTGGCTGCATCTCTGATCAGTCTTCTCCTTGTTTGAGATGAAAGTTTGGAGGGACGGCCGGGTCTTGGTATTCAATATAACTGCTTGCACAGTGCTCCTTGAGATGTTTAAAGCTTGGTAAATCTTTTTGTATCCAAATCCGGCTTTAAACTTCTCCACAACAGTATCTCGGACCTGCCTGGTGTGTTCCTTTGTCTTCATGGTTCTCTCTGCGCTTTAAACAGAACCCTGAGACTATCAAAGAGCAGGTGCATTTATACGGAGACTTGATTACACACAGGTGCATTCTATTTATCATCATCAGTCATTTTAGGACAACATTGGATCATTCAAAGATCCTCACTGAACTTCTGGACTGAGTTTGCTGCACTGAAAGTAAAGGGGCCGAATAATATTGCATGCCCCACTTTCAGTTTTTTATTTGTTAAAAAAGTTTAAATTATCCAATACATTTCGTTCCACTTCACGTTTGTGTTCCACTTGTTGTTGATTCATGACAAAAAATTAAAATTTTATATCTTTATGTTTGAAGCCTGAAATGTGGCGAAATGTTGAAAGGTTCAAGGGGGCCGAATACTTTCGCAAGGCACTGTACACCAACTGTTTCAGATACACTTGGGACTTGCTGCCGTTTCCAGCACATTCTAAAGTGATCCCTGTTTGTGTTTTGTTGTGTGTAGTTTTGCAGAGATGATGTCCGTCGACCTTCGAGGGACAGATAAAGTGGAGGTGGAGCTGAAAAGTGAGAGTATGGTGCTGCAGTCCTCCAGAGCTCCACAGATCTCTGCCATGATCCAGATGTTTCTGCAGGAACTCATTCAGGTCGGTTTTCCTCTGCTCTGGTCCTGGTTACTGTGGCCCCTCAGAGTCCAGTATGTACCCTAGTATCTCTTTATGCCTACTCCAATGTGTTGTGCAGGGCTCTGGTCACGTGGTGGCGCTGAAGAGTCATATGACAGACGACAAAAGCCTGCTCAGTTTCAGTCGGGGAGACGTCATCAGACTGCAGGCCGTAGAGGGACTGCAGACAGGTGTGGTTCTGCTCATGACAAACTTTTATATTACATTTTCTCAGGTGAGTCAGTTTTTACCTGAAGATTTGAGGAAAAGGGTGAAGTCTGGCTCCTGCTCAGGCTGGAACTAAAACCTGCAGCACCCAGTTTGACCCCGCTGTCCTGAAGCTTTGACAATGTTTACTTCAAGCAGTGTGTAAAAATGTGGCCAAAAGTGGTACTGCAGCCTCTCCCACTCTCCCTGACTCAGGTTGCCAGATATGCAGACGAATCCAGCTGGGACCATAACAGCTGAATAGACAAGAGTTTTGTCAACAACAAATCTATAACCAACAACTTTTTCACAAAGATAGAGATCCTGGTTTTATTCCTTGTTTTGTCGTTAATGATTTGAGAATCATAATGAGACCCCCTTGGACTGCCACCTTAACGTGGTGGGGGAGTTTGAGCACTCGGATGATCCTGGGAGCTATGCTATCTGGGGCTTCATGCCCCTGGTAGGGTCTCCCATGGCAGACAGGTCTCAGGTGACGAGTCAGACAAAGAGCAGTCAGAAGCCAACATGGACAGCACGAAAAGAAGAACCGTGACGTCGCCCGGCATGGCGCAGCCGGGGCCCCACCCTGGAGCCAGGCCTGGGGTCGGGGCTAGCAAGCGAGCGCCTGGTGGCCGGGCCTTAGCCCACGGGGCCCGGCCGGGCTCAGCCCGAAGGGATGACGTGGGCAGTCCCTCCTGTGGGCTCACCACCTGCAGAGGGGTCCGTGGTGGCGAGGTGCAGAGAGGACTGGGCAGCAGTCGAAGGCGGAGACCTCGACGACCCAGTCCACACACCCAACATCTGGCTCTTGGGACGTGGAACGTCACCTGACTGGGGGGGAAGGAGCCCGAGCTTGTGGGGGAGGTTGAGCGATACCGACTAGAGATAGTCGGCCTCACCTCCACACACAGCTTGGGCTCTGGAACCCAACTCCTTGAGAGGGGTTGGACGCTCCACTTTTCTGGTGTTTCCCGCGGGGAGAGGCGGCGAGCTGGGGTGGCCATACTCATTGCCCCCCATCTCAGCCGCCACGTGTTGGAGTTCTCCCCGGTGAATGAGAGGGTCGCGTCCCTCCGCCTCCGGGTGGGGGACAAGTCTCTCACTGTTGTGACGGCCTACGGGCCTAACGGTAGTGCAGAGTACCCGGCCTTCTTGGAGTCCTTGGGAGGGGTACTGGACAGTGCACCGCCCGGGGACTCCGTTATTCTCCTGGGGGACTTCAACGCCCATGTGGGAAATGCCAGTGACACTTGGAGAGGGGTGATCGGGAAGAGCGGCCCCCCTGATCTGAACCCGAGCGGTGTTCAGTTGTTGGACTTCTGTGCCAGTCACGGCCTGTCCATCACGAACACCATGTTCGAGCACAAGGGTGTCCATCAGTGCACGTGGCACCAGGACACCCTAGGCCGGAGGTCGATGATCGACTTTGTAGTCGTATCATCTGACCTTCGACCGCGTGTCTCGGACACTCGGGTGAAGAGAGGGGCGGAGCTGTCAACCGATCATCACCTGGTCGTGAGTTGGATCCGCTGGCAGGGCAGGAGGCCGGTCAGACCTGGCAGGCCCAAGCGTGTAGTGAGGGTTTGCTGGGAACGTCTTGGTGAGCCCCCTGTCAGACGGACTTTCAACTCACACCTCCGGGAGAGCTTCTCCCAGGTCCCGGCAGAGGAGGGGGACATCGAGTCCGAGTGGACCATGTTCTCTTCCTCTATCGCCAATGCGGCGGCTCGTAGCTGTGGTCGCAAGGTCTCTGGTGCTGGTTCCGGCGGCAATCCCCGAACCCGGTGGTGGACACCGGCAGTAAGGGATGCCGTCAGGCTGAAGAAGGAGTCCTATCGAGCAATGATGGTTCGTGGGACTCCTGAGGCAGCTGTCCAGTACCGGCAGGCCAAACGTGCCGCGGCCCGGGCTGTTGCAGAGGCAAAAACCCGGGACTGGGAGGAGTTCGGAGAGTCCATGGAGCATGACTATCGGTCGGCCTCGAAGAGGTTCTGGCAAACCGTCCGGCGCCTCAGGAGGGGGAAGCAGTTCTTTGCCAACACCGTGTATGGTGCGGGTGGAGGGCTGCTGACCTCGACTGGGGATATTGTTGGGCGGTGGAAGGAATACTTCGAGGTTCTCCTCAATCCCCCCGTCACGTCCCCCGTCCAGGAGGCAGAGGCTGAGGATGTTGGGGCGGATACTTCCATCTCCCTGGCCGAGGTCACCAAGGTGGTTGGCAGCCTCCATGGTGGCAAGGCGCCGGGAGTGGATGAGATCCGTCCTGACTATCTAAAGTCTCTGGATGTTGTAGGACTGTCTTGGCTGACACGTCTCTGCAACATCGCGTGGCGATCGGGGGCGGTGCCAATGGAGTGGCAGACCGGGGTGGTGGTCCCTCTCTACAAGAAGGGGGACCGGAGGGTGTGTTCCAATTATCGTGGGATCACACTCCTCAGCCTCCCCGGTAAGGTCTACTCCAAGGTACTGGAGAGGAGGCTACGTCCGATGGTCGAATCTCGGATTCAGGAGGAGCAGTGTGGTTTTCGTCCCGGTCGCGGAACACTGGACCAGCTCTATACTCTCCATCGGATACTCGAGGGTTCATGGGAGTTCGCCCAACCTGTCCACATGTGCTTTGTGGATTTGGAGAAGGCGTTCGACCCTGTTCCCCGGGGTGTCCTTTGGGGGGTCCTCCGGGAGTACGGGGTCCGGGGTCCTCTGCTGAGGGCTGTTCGGTCCCTGTATGACCGGAGCCAGAGCTGTGTTCGCATTGCCGGCAGTAAGTCAGACCTGTTCCCGGTGCATGTTGGCCTCCGCCAAGGCTGCCCTTTGTCACCGGTTCTGTTCACTGTATTTATGGACAGAATCTCTAGGCGCAGCCAGGGGCCGGAGGGGGTCCGGTTCGGGAACCACAGGATTTCATCTCTACTTTTTGCGGATGATGTCGTCCTGCTGGCTCCAACGAACCAGGACCTGCAACATGCACTGGGACGGTTTGCAGCCGAGTGCGAAGCGGCTGGGATGAGAATCAGCACCTCCAAATCCGAGGCCATGGTGCTCGACCGGAAAAAGGTGCCTTGCCCTCTCCAGGTGGGTGGAGAGGTCCTTCCTCAAGTGGAGGAGTTCAAGTATCTCGGGGTCTTGTTCACAAGTGAGGGGAGGATGGAGCGTGAGATTGACAGGCGGATCGGTGCAGCGTGCGCAGTGATGCGGTCTCTGTATCGGACCGTTGTGGTAAAGAGGGAGCTGAGCCGAAAGGCAAAGCTCTCAATTTACCGGTCAATCTTCGTTCCCTCCCTCACCTATGGTCATGAGCTGTGGGTAATGACCGAAAGAACGAGATCGCGGATACAAGCGGTCGAAATGAGCTTCCTCCGCAGAGTGGCTGGGCGCTCCCTTAGCGATAGGGTGAGGAGCTCAGTCACACGGGAGGAGCTTGGAGTAGAGCCGCTGCTTCTCCACGTCAAGAGGAACCAGTTGAGGTGGCTCGGGCATCTGTTCAGGATGCCTGCTGGACGCCTTCCTGGGCAGGTGTTCCGGGCACGTCCCACCGGGAGGAGGCCCCGGGGAAGACCCAGGACACGCTGGAGGGAGTCTCTCAGCTGGCCTGGGAACGCCTAGGGGTCCCCCCGAACGAGCTGGAGGAGGTGTGTGTGGATAGGGAAGTCTGGGCGTCTCTGCTTAGACTGCTGCCCCCGCGACCCGGCAACGGATAAAGCGGAAGAAAATGGATGGATGGATGGATAATGAGACCTTTTTTAGTTCTGCGCCACATGGTACTTTACCAGTGAGGGCGGGACATCGAAATGAAAACCATAACAAGATTAAGGGGCTGTAAAAATAATTATACAATATCTCTGAACTACTGTTATCTGTTAAAGAAGTATTAGAAAAGAACATTTTGTATTATTATGACAGATTAGGGCCCTTTAATGAAGACAGATTAGGGCCCTTACATATTGCTCCTTTAAATGCCGCACTAACCTGCTCTTTTCATCAGGCTGGATGTTCGGTTCCACCGGGGGGCGCTCTGGTCTCTTCCCAGTGGAACTCACACAGCCTTCTGCTGCTCCGGACTATCACAGTCTCCACCTGGACCGAAGAGATGAGAGGAGGAAGAGTATGAGGAGCCTGAGGCCTCCTCCAAGGTCTGCTCCTCCAAGGTCTGCTCCTCCACAGGGGCCTCCTCCACAGGGGCTTCCTCCACAGGGGCCTCCGGACAGCAGAGAGCCCTCTGTCCACGGCTCAGTCCAGGGGTGGGATCAGAACTCTCCTATGGCTGAGTTTGCCATGAAATATTTCCGGTAAGATCAGATGGTCCAGACCAGGGGTGTCCAAACCGGTCCAGAAAGGGCCACTGTGGCTGCAGGTTTTCAATCAGACCCAACAGGAGCAGAGCAGACTCGCCCATTTCCTCAAGAGAGTTCAGTCTTAACCTGAAGATTAGAGGAAATGGTTGGAGTCTGCTCTGCTCCTGTTGGGTCTGATAGAAAACCTGCAGCCACAGTGGCCCTTTCTGGACCGGTTTGGACACCCCTGGTCCAGACGGACAGGACCACAGCGCCTCAGTGCGCCTCAGTGCTAACATGTGCCATGTCCCGTGTCTTTTTAAAGTGCTGGAGTGGAAGAAGGGAGCACTTCGGAGGTCCTCGTCTATACTGATGTAAGAACTGGAGCTCATTCATTTACAGATCCAAAACAGAGAAAACACAATAAAAAGTGGGATGTGGTTTTATGTGAAGTGTTGTTTTGCAGGCGCCGCTGCAGGACTCTCTCATTCTTTACAATGACGTGGAGATAAACCAACAGTCTCTGGATTGTTTCAACAGTGAGTTTTGCAGTTTTCTAGTTTGTTTCTCTCCATCTCTCCTGCTTTCACGAGTTTGAGAATTGAGTACATTTGGCTGTATTTGCTGCATCTAGCGCTGCTGCAGTTCATGGGAGACGCGGCGCTGCCAAAGAACACCAGTCAAAACGACTGCCTGCACTTCATCTTACTGGTCAGTGATGAGCTCCTTCTGTGATAGTCCTCTGTGTACAAACTGACAGTGCCTCTGCTCTGCTCAGCTGGGGAAAGAGAACGAGCTTCTGAGAGACGAGATCTTCTGTCAGATTGTGAAACAGATTACAGACAACCCAAACATGTGAGCCACTCCTCTGTGTTGTTGCACGTTGTTGTAAAATGTGTTTTCTTGATAACATTGAAGTGTGTGTTTGACCTCTGACCTCAGGGACAGCTGTACTCTGGGCTGGACGCTGCTGAACCTCTGCACTGGTTTCTTCTCTTGCTCCGGAACGCTACAGCCGTATCTCTGTCAGCACCTGGAGCTACAGGCGCAAGAGACACACAACCCTTACGCAGGTGCAAGAGACACACAACCCTTACGCAGGTGCAAGAGACACACAACCCTTACACAGGTGCAAGAGACACACAACCCTTACACAAGTGCAAGAGACACACAACCCTTACACAAGTGCAAGAGACACACAACCCTTACACAGGTGCAAGAGACACACAACCCTTACGCAGGTGCAAGAGACACACAACCCTTACGCAGGTGCAAGAGACACACAACCCTTACACAGGCGCAAGAGACACACAACCCTTACACAGGCGCAAGAGACACACAACCCTTACACAGGCGCAAGAGACACACAACCCTTACACAGGCGCAAGAGACACACAACCCTTACACAGGCGCAAGAGACACACAACCCTTACACAGGCGCAAGAGACACACAACCCTTACACAGGCGCAAGAGACACACAACCCTTACACAGGCGCAAGAGACACACAACCCTTACGCAGGTGCAAGAGACACACAACCCTTACGCAGGTGCAAGAGACACACAACCCTTACACAGGTGCAAGACACACACAACCTTTACACAGGTGCAAGAGACACACAACCCTTACACAGGTGCAAGAGACACACAACCCTTACGCAGGTGCAAGAGACACACAACCCTTACACAGGTGCAAGAGACAAACAACTCTTACACAGATGCAAGAGACACACAACCCCTACACAGGTGCAAGAGACACACAACCCTTACACAGGTGCAAGAGACACACAACCCTTACACAGGTGCAAGAGACACACAACCCTTACGCAGGTGCAAGAGACACACAACCCTTACGCAGGTGCAAGAGACACACAACCCTTACGCAGGTGCAAGAGACACACAACCCTTACACAGGTGCAAGAGACACACAACCCTTACACAGGTGCAAGACACACACAACCTTTACACAGGTGCAAGAGACACACAACCCTTACACAGGTGCAAGAGACACACAACCCTTACGCAGGTGCAAGAGACACACAACCCTTACACAGGTGCAAGAGACAAACAACTCTTACACAGATGCAAGAGACACACAACCCCTACACAGGTGCAAGAGACACACAACCCTTACACAGGTGCAAGAGACACACAACCCTTACACAGGTGCAAGAGACACACAACCCTTACGCAGGTGCAAGAGACACACAACCCTTACGCAGGTGCAAGAGACACACAACCCTTACGCAGGTGCAAGAGACACACAACCCTTACACAGGTGCAAGAGACGCACAACCATTATAAAGATGCAAGAGACACACAACCCTTACACAGGTGCAAGAGACACACAACCCTTACATAGATGCAAGAGACACACAACCCTTACACAGGTGCAAGAGACACACAACCCTTACACAGGTGCAAGAGACACACAACCCTTACACAGGTGCAAGAGACAAACAACCCTTACACAGATGCAAGAGACACACAACCCCTACACAGGTGCAAGAGACACACAACCCTTACACAGGTGCAAGAGACACACAACCCTTACATAGATGCAAGAGACACACAACCCGTACACAGGTGCAAGAGACGCACAACCCTTATAAAGATGCAAGAGACACACAACCCTTACACAGGTGCAAGAGACACACAACCCTTACACAGGTGCAAGAGACACACAACCTTTACTGTACACAGGTGCAAGAGACGCACAACCCTTATAAAGATGCAAGAGACACACAACCCTTACACAGGTGCAAGAGACACACAACCCTTACACAGGTGCAAGAAACACACAACCCTTACACAGGTGCAAGAGACACACGACCCTTACACAGGTGCAAGAGACACACAACCCTTACACAGGTGCAAGAGACACACAACCCTTACACAGGTGCAAGAGACACACAACCCTTACACAAGTGCAAGAGACACACAACCCTTACACAGGTGCAAGAGAGACACAACCCTAACACAGGTGCAAGAGACAAACAACCCTTACACAGGTGCAAGAGACACACAACCCTTACACAGATGCAAGAGACACACAACCCTTACACAGGTGCAAGAGACGCACAACCCTTATAAAGATGCAAGAGACACACAACCCTTACACAGGTGCAAGAGACACACAACCCTTACACAGGTGCAAGAGACACACAACCCTTACACAGGTGCAAGAGACACACAACCCTTACACAGGTGCAAGAGACACACAACCCTTACACAGGTGCAAGAGACACACAAACCTTACACAGGTGCAAGAGACACACAACCCTTACGCAGGTGCAAGAGACACACAACCCTTACGCAGGTGCAAGAGACACACAACCCTTACGCAGGTGCAAGAGACACACAACCCTTACGCAGGTGCAAGACACACACAACCTTTACACAGGTGCAAGAGACACACAACCTTTACACAGGTGCAAGAGACACACAACCTTTACACAGGTGCAAGAGACACACAACCCTTACGCAGGTGCAAGAGACACACAACCCTTACGCAGGTGCAAGAGACACACAACCCTTACACAGGTGCAAGACACACACAACCTTTACACAGGTGCAAGAGACACACAACCTTTACACAGGTGCAAGAGACACACAACCCTTATGCAGGTGCAAGAGACACAACCCTTACACAGGTGCAAGAGACACACAAACCTTACACAGGTCTAGGAGACACACAACCGTTACACAGGTGCAAGAGACACACACCCCTTACACAGGTGCAAGAGACACACAACCCTTACACAGGTGCAAGAGACACACAAACCTTACACAGGTGCAAGAAACACACAACCCTTACACAGGTGCAAGAGACACACAACCCTTATAAAGATGCAAGAGACACACAACCCTTACACAGGCGCAAGAGACACACAACCATTATACAGGCGCAAGAGACACAACCCTTACACAGGCGCAGGAGACACACAACCCTTACACAGGCGCAAGAGACACACAACCCTTACACAGGTGCAAGAGACACACAACCCTTACGCAGGTGCAAGAGACACACAACCCTTACGCAGGTGCAAGAGACACACAACCCTTACGCAGGTGCAAGAGACACACAACCCTTACACAGGTGCAAGACACACACAACCTTTACACAGGTGCAAGAGACACACAACCCTTACACAGGTGCAAGAGACACACAACCCTTACACAGGTGCAAGAGACACACAACCCTTACACAGGTGCAAGAGACACGACCCTTACACAGGTGCAAGAGACACACAACCTTTACACAGGTGCAAGAGACACACAACCTTTACACAGGTGCAAGAGACACACAACCCTTATGCAGGTGCAAGAGACACAACCCTTACACAGGTGCAAGAGACACACAAACCTTACACAGGTCTAGGAGACACACAACCCTTACACAGGTGCAAGAGACACACAACCCTTATAAAGATGCAAGAGACACACAACCCTTACACAGGCGCAAGAGACACACAACCATTATACAGGCGCAAGAGACACAACCCTTACACAGGCGCAAGAGACACACAACCCTTACACAGGCGCAAGAGACACACAACCCTTACACAGGTGCAAGAGACACACAACCCTTACGCAGGTGCAAGAGACACACAACCCTTACGCAGGTGCAAGAGACACACAACCCTTACGCAGGTGCAAGAGACACACAACCCTTACACAGGTGCAAGACACACACAACCTTTACACAGGTGCAAGAGACACACAACCCTTACACAGGTGCAAGAGACACACAACCCTTACACAGGTGCAAGAGACACAACCCTTACACAGGTGCAAGAGACACACAACCCTTACACAGGTCTAGGAGACACACAACCCTTACACAGGTCTAGGAGACACACAACCCTTACACAGGTCTAGGAGACACACAACCCTTACACAGGTGCAAGAGACACACAACCCTTACACAGGTCTAGGAGACACACAACCCTTACACAGGTGCAAGAGACACACAACCCTTACACAGGCGCAAGAGACACACAACCCTTACACAGGTGCAAGAGCCGTCATCAACCCATCCTTATAGTATTTCATGATTAGGGAGGTAGATACAGGTAGATACAGGTAGATACAGGTAGATACAGGTAGATACAGGTAGATACAGGTAGATACAGGTAGATACAGGTAGATACAGGTAGATAAAGGTAGATACAGGTAGATAAAGGTAGATACAGGTAGATACAGGTAGATAAAGGTAGATACAGGTAGATACAGGTAGATACAGGTAGATACAGGTAGATACAGGTAGATACAGGTAGATACAGGTAGATACAGGTAGATACAGGTAGATACAGGTAGATAAAGGTAGATACAGGTAGATACAGGTAGATACAGGTAGATACAGGTAGATACAGGTAGATACAGGTAGATAAAGGTAGATACAGGTAGATAAAGGTAGATACAGGTAGATACAGGTAGATAAAGGTAGATACAGGTAGATACAGGTAGATACAGGTAGATACAGGTAGATACAGGTAGATACAGGTAGATAAAGGTAGATACAGGTAGATACAGGTAGATACAGGTAGATACAGGTAGATACAGGTAGATACAGGTAGATACAGGTAGATATAGGTAGATACAGGTAGATACAGGTAGATACAGGTAGATACAGGTAGATACAGGTAGATACAGGTAGATACAGGTAGATACAGGTAGATATAGGTAGATATAGGTAGATATAGGTAGATATAGGTAGATATAGGTAGATATAGGTAGATACAGGTAGATACAGGTAGATATAGGTACTGTAGATACAGGTAGATACAGGTAGATACAGGTAGATACAGGTAGATACAGGTAGATACAGGTAGATACATAATTCTAAAAATAAGAGCTAAAGGTTTAACGTTATTGTTCAGTGGTATTTTCTTCTGTCGTTAGAGTCGGCCTCTGTGTGTCTGGAAAACCTGCAGCGCTCGTTCTCTTTTGGAGGCCGTCGTACTCTTCCTTCTGAAATAGAAATGGATGCTCTGGTGGTAAGTTTAAGACGAAGAGATTCTTTATTGGTCTCTCAGTGGGGAAATACTCAGTATCTATCTATCTATCTAGGCTTCAAACATAAAGATATACAATTTTAATTTTTTGTCATGAATTAACAACAAGTGGGACACAATTGTGAAGTGGAATGAAATTTGTTGGATAATTTAAACTTTTTTAACAAATAAAAAACTGAAAAGTAATGCGTGCAATATTATTCGGCCCCTTTACTTTCAGTGCAGCAAACTCAGTCCAGAAGTTCAGTGAGGATCTTTGAATGATCCAATGTTGTCCTAAATGACTGATGATGATAAATAGAATGCACCTGTGTGTAATCAAGTCTCCGTATAAATGCACCAGCTCTTTGATAGTCTCAGGGTTCTGTTTAAAGCGCAGAGAGAACCATGAAGAGAAAGGAACACTCCAGGCAGGTCCGAGATACTGTTGTGGAGAAGTTTAAAGCCGGATTTGGATACAAAAAGATTTCCCAAGCTTTAAACATCTCAAGGAGCACTGTGCAAGCAATTATATTGAAAGGGAAGGAGTATCAGACCACTGCAAATCTACCAAGACCCGGCCGTCCCTCCAAACTTTCATCTCAAACAAGGAGAAGACTGATCAGAGATGCAGCCAAGAGGCCCATGATCACTCTGGATGAACTGCAGATAACTACAGCTGAGGTGGGAGAGTCTGTCCATAGGACAACAATCAGTCGTGCACTGCACAAATCTGGCCTTTATGGAAGAGTGGCCATTTCTCAAAGATATCCAATAAAAGTCTTGTTTAAAGTTTGCCACAAGCCACCTGGGAGACACACCAAACATGTGGAAGAAGGTGCTCTGGTCAGATGAAACCAAAATCAAACTTTTTGGCCACAATGCAAAACGATATGTTTGGCGTAAAAGCAACACAGCTCATCACCCTGAACACACCATCCCCACTGTCAAACATGGTGGTGGCAGCATCATGCTTTGGGCCTGCTTTTCTTCAGCAGGGACAGGGAAGATGGCTAAAATTGATGGGAAGATGGATGGAGCCAAATAAAGGACCATTCTGGAAGAAAACCTGTTGGAGTCTGCAAAAGACCTGAGACTGGGACGGAGATTTATCTTCCAACAGGACAATGATCCAAAACATGAAGCCAAATCTACAATGGAATGGTTCACAAATAGACGTATCCAGGTGTTAGAATGGCCAAGTCAAAGTCCAGACCTGAATCCAATCGAGAATCTGTGGAAAGAGCTGAAGACTGCTGTTCACAAACGCTCTCCATCCAATCTCACTGAGCTCGAGCTGTTTTGCAAGGAAGAATGGGAAAGAATTCCAGTCTCTCGATGTGCAAAACTGATAGAGACATACCCCAAGCGACTTGCAGCTGTAATTGCAGCAAAAGATGGCGCTACAAAGTATTAGCGCAAGGGGCCGAATAATATTGCACGCCCCACTTTTCAGTTTTTTATTTGTTAAAAAAGTTAAAATTATCCAATACATTTTGTTCCACTTCACGATTGTGTCCCACTTGTTGTTGATTCTAGACAAAAAATTAAATTTTTATATCTTTATGTTTGAAGCCTGAAATGTGGCGAAATGATGAAAGGTTCAAGGGGGCCGAATACTTTCGCAAGGCACTCTATCTATCCATCCATCCATCCAAATAGATAGATGGATAGTTTATTGATCACTCTAAAGTATTGCTCTCGTGTCTCTTCAGGCTGGAAGAAGCTCTCGGAGAATCGGCATCGTGCTGCCGGGAGGAGTGGACTTCCCGGTGAAGATCCGCAGCTTCAGTGTGAGTTTTGTGTGTTGTGTTTGTGTGTGTTTGTGTGTTTGTGTTTACACTTCTCTGGATCCTTTCTACACTTTTCAGATGACAGTGGACGTAGTGAGCGACCTCTGCAGTGAGATGGACGTCACGGATCCGGCTGAAGTCAATGAGTTTTCTCTTGTTGCCAAACGAGGAAAAGGTACGAGATTATTATTTATTATATGACTTGGATCGTACGCGCGCTCTGATTGGCTGATTACCGGTCTGATATTTTCCCATCTCGGACCGTTGCCATGACAATCTGTCCGCAGCGCGTATCACACAAAACCGGACATGAACATACTTCACAGATATCTCAAAAGCTTTGGTAAAGATACAGACGAGAGTCATAATAAAACATTTATTAACCTCGCTTGCTCGGTCTGTACATTAAGGCTCGGTCTGTACATTAAGGCTCGGTCTGTACATTAAGGCTCGGTCTGTACATTAAGGCTCGGTCTGTACATTAAGGCCGCGGTCTGTACGTTAAGGCTCGGTCTGTACGTTAAGGCTCGGTCTGTACGTTAAGGCTCGGTCTGTACGTTAAGGCTCGGTCTGTACATTAAGGCTCGGTCTGTACATTAAGGCTCGGTCTGTACATTAAGGCCGCGGTCTGTACGTTAAGGCTCGGTCTGTACGTTAAGGCTCGGTCTGTACATTAAGGCTCGGTCTGTACATTAAGGCCGCAGTCTGTACGTTAAGGCTCGGTCTGTGCATTAAGGCTCGGTCTGTGCATTAAGGCTCGGTCTGTGCATTAAGGCTCAGTCTGTACGTTAAGGCTCGGTCTGTACATTAAGGCTCGGTCTGTGCATTAAGGCTCGGTCTGTACATTAAGGCTCGGTCTGTGCATTAAGGCTCGGTCTGTACATTAAGGCTCGATCTGTGCGTTAAGGCTCGGTCTGTACATTAAGGCTCGATCTGTGCATTAAGGCTCGGTCTGTGCATTAAGGCTCGGTCTGTGCATTAAGGCTCGGTCTGTGCATTAAGGCTCGGTCTGTGCATTAAGGCTCGGTCTGTACATTAAGGCTCGGTCTGTACATTAAGGCTCGGTCTGTGCATTAAGGCTCAGTCTGTACGTTAAGGCTCGGTCTGTACATTAAGGCTCGGTCTGTGCATTAAGGCTCGGTCTGTGCATTAAGCTCGGTCGGTCTGTGCTCGGTCTGTACATTAAGGCTCGGTCTGTGCGTTAAGGCTCGATCTGTACGTTAAGGCTCGGTCTGTACATTAAGGCTCGGTCTGTACATTAAGGCTCGGTCTGTGCATTAAGGCTCGGTCTGTGCATTAAGGCTCGGTCTGTGCATTAAGGCTCGTTCGGTCGGTGTACATTAAGGCTCGGTCTGTACATTAAGGCTCGGTCTGTACATTAAGGCTCGGTCTGTACATTAAGGCTCGGTCTGTACATTAAGGCTAGCTCGGTCTGTACATTAAGGCTCGGTCTGTACATTAAGGCTCGGTCTGTACATTAAGGCTCGGTCTGTACGTTAAGGCTCGGTCTGTACGTTAAGGCTCGGTCTGTACATTAAGGCTCGGTCTGTACATTAAGGCTCGGTCTGTACATTAAGGCTCGGTCTGTACATTAAGGCTCGGTCTGTACGTTAAGGCTCGGTCTGTACGTTAAGGCTCGGTCTGTGCATTAAGGCTCGGTCTGTACATTAAGGCTCGGTCTGTACATTAAGGCTCGTCTGTGCGTTAAGGCTCGGTCTGTACGTTAAGGCTCGGTCTGTGCATTAAGGCTCGGTCTGTACATTAAGGCTCGGTCTGTGCATTAAGGCTCGATCTGTACGTTAAGGCTCGGTCTGTGCGTTAAGGCTCGGTCTGTACGTTAAGGCTCGATCTGTACATTAAGGCTCGGTCTGTGCATTAAGGCTCGGTCTGTACGTTAAGGCTCGGTCTGTACGTTAAGGCTCGATCTGTACGTTAAGGCTCGGTCTGTGCGTTAAGGCTCGGTCTGTACATTAAGGCTCGGTCTGTGCATTAAGGCTCGGTCTGTACATTAAGGCTCGGTCTGTGCATTAAGGCTCGGTCTGTACATTAAGGCTCGGTCTGTGCATTAAGGCTCGGTCTGTACATTAAGGCTCGGTCTGTACATTAAGGCTCGGTCTGTGCATTAAGGCTCGGTCTGTACATTAAGGCTCGGTCTGTGCATTAAGGCTCGGTCTGTACATTAAGGCTCGGTCTGTGCATTAAGGCTCGGTCTGTACATTAAGGCTCGATCTGTGCATTAAGGCTCGGTCTGTGCATTAAGGCTCGGTCTGTGCATTAAGGCTCGGTCTGTACATTAAGGCTCGGTCTGTACGTTAAGGCTCGGTCTGTACGTTAAGGCTCGGTCTGTACATTAAGGCTCGGTCTGTACATTAAGGCTCGGTCTGTACGTTAAGGCTCGGTCTGTACATTAAGGCTCGGTCTGTACATTAAGGCTCGGTCTGTGCATTAAGGCTCGGTCTGTACATTAAGGCTCGGTCTGTACATTAAGGCTCGGTCTGTACGTTAAGGCTCGGTCTGTACATTAAGGCTCGGTCTGTGCATTAAGGCTCGGTCTGTGCATTAAGGCCGTGCATACAGACCTCGCGCTCGGTTAATAAGCCGTTATTACACAGTATTTTTCATGAAAATGAGCAAAGAGACGGTAAAAGTGAGAGGTTTTATTCACTGTGTGTGTGTGTGTGTCTCTCTGTGTGTGTCTCTCTCTGCGTGTGTGTGTGTGTGTTTGTCTCTCTCTGTGTGTGTGTGTGCGTGTGTCGGTGTGTCTCTGTGTGTGTGTGTCTCTCTCTCTCTCTGTGTCTCTCTCTCTGTGTGTGTGTGCGTGTGTCTCTGTGTGTGTGTGTGTCTCTCTCTCTCTCTGTGTCTCTCTGTGTGTGTGTGTGTGTGTCAGACGGCGTGGCGAGACCGCTTCACCCTGAAGAGTACATCTTTGACTTCCTGGGTGAGGACCTGTCCATGGTCCTGTGTCTGCGCAGACTGATCTGGAGAAGTCCTCTGTCCTTCAACAACGATCTTTACATCGACTTCCACTATCAGCAGGTCTTCACTCTCAGCACCGCTCACTTTTCACTTCAAGTTTACCAGTTTACGACTGATTCATGCGTAATAATAACTCTGAGTGAAGCAAATGGCAGTTAATACAACTATAATAACACTTTTTCTGAAAGTCTAATTATAACTTGTGTTTCTTTCTGGCTCTGAAGAGTTTAAACGATCGTTTCCACTCAGTCCATTTTCGTCACAAAAGTCTGCTGAAATTATCTGTAATCGATGAAGAGTAGTATTTTGAGGACGCTCTATTCAGACCTGTGTGTTTGTAGATGTTGGAGCAGTACTTGAGCCAGGACCTGCCTCTGGCCCCTGAGGGCCCCCAGCAGACGGCAGAACTGGCCGCTCTGCAGAGACTGTCTGAAGGGTTTCAGACTGTTCCAACTCTGTGAGTCTTTAAACATGACAGTAGTGTTGTCCTCGGTGTGATTCATGATGTCTCTGTGTCTCTGTGTCAGAGAGGAGCTCAGACACTATGTCCCTCCTCAGGGGGCCTCCCTGGAGGACCTCCTCTCTCTCTGTGTGGGGCAAATGTCACTCCTGCAGGGCCTCAGTCCTCAGGAAGCAAAAATGCAGTTCATTGGTAAGTTTCTGTTGCACTCATGTTTGTTTTGATCTAATTATAATTCTGTGTCACGGATCTCAGGTGAAAGCACTGGAATAAAATGGATTTAAATGTGATTTGAATGATTTACATGTTAAAAAAGAACGTGTTCCACGACTGAGGCTGTGCCTGTGTTTACAGACTTCATGGTTTCTCGTCCTCTGTTTGGATCGAGCCTGTTCTGGGCTGATAAAGTGAGCCAACGTGGCGTCCCGTCTCCCTGCATCATCAGCATCAGTCACGACGGCCTGATCTTCGTAAACCCCAAGACCCAGGTCAGATCCAGCTTTAAACATGTTTTTATAACAATAGAACTGTTAAAGTGTCTTGTCTCATCTACAGGGGACCGTGTTCCAAATCCCTCTGGAGGAGATCCAGGCCATGCGCACGGTCCGCCCAAAGAAGCACAGCAAACCTCCTGGAGTGGAAGTCGATTATGGAAACCCCGGCAGGCCCAAGAAAGTGTCTCTGCAAACCAAGCAGGTAACGTCCTGTGACTGTGCCACACGCAGTCATCTGTGTCATAAAGTCTCATTCTCTGTGTCGGTGATTTCAACGGTTTTGTTAAGTCTCTGAGAAACTTCTGCGATACAAGAAGACATTGAATTGAATAAAGTTATTAAAATCATATCAGGACTAGAAGACGGATGTGTTTCCTGTTTCCTCTTGTTTCAGGCTAAGGAGCTGTGCCACATCTTAGCGCTGCTGATCAAGGAGCTGCTGTAGGCGTCACTCTGCACTTCTGTCTCCAACCACTGGATTGTGCCAAAACATGGACTTCTGTAATGATTCTGAAGTTAATTAATCTTTTATGAATAATTTGCTTCCAATTCTAAAAGAATAAATAGATTAAATGATGTTTGTATGAACTCAAACATAAAACAAATGAATAAATGCTATGGATATTTGTACATGAGTATTTGTAATTACTGAATGTATAATAAATGTGACACTTTGCATAAATTAAAATGTCAAATAATCTTATGATTTCATTATAGTTGTATAATTCTGACACAACATACTGAATGTTTCCACTAGAACCCAGAGTTTTGTAGATTATTTGTGTATGATTTTTTTTAGATTATTTATATTTTTTACCGATTAGATTTGATTTGACTTTATTGTGTTTTGAGAAAAATATCTGTATTGGTCAAACAATGAGAACAGAGAACTAGAACATGACAATAACAGTTAAATACCTCTCACAATCGCAAACAAAAACACAGCAATGTCAATTACCATGAACTCATCGAGACCATAAACGGCGTATCCATGGTTACAGGAGTTTCCAACCCATTGCACTGTTGTCATCACACAATTATTCCAATTGAGAGAATTGTTGATGTTGGTTCAGCTCATCGGATTCCTGGCTTTTCAAATTTGGTTTCTTTCTTATCTATAATTGATTGTAAAATTATCTGGTTCTGGAAGACCTGGAATATACTGAGTCAGAATAGAACCATAAACGCACTCACAGGTCTAGACATCAGGAACACATGTGACCATTGACCAGTGTTTTTCAGCTGGTGGTCCGTGGCACGTTGGTGGGCCTTCAGATGTTTATCCGTGTGCCTTGGAGATGATCCAATACCACCTGTTTGGTCAAAATCATGTGTTTGATTTGCTAAACATAATACACATAGATGAGACTGAAGTGGCTTTGATAAAGGCTGTAGAGTTACAATTTTGTATTAAATTCAGTTTGTGGTGTGCCATGTGGTATTTAGCAATGACAAAGGTGTGCCGCGGCTCAAAAAGGTTGGGGAGCACTGCCCTAGACTACATAACATTGGCACTTGCTCATTGCTCTCCCTCTCTTTGCAAACCTGAATAAGGCCTCATCTGTCTTGTGCTTTGTGCTCAGACCTGTAGACTGCACTGGGGCTGGTGTTTTCTAATCTAATCCCTTATATTATAAAATTCAGACGAACGTATAACAAGTTAAATACATCAAGTTAGACACAGATATCATAGACAGTTGTACAGCAGTTATTACACAGTTTGAGGCCACATAAACAGTCACCTCTGTGCTCTAGTCTACACAGAAGTTTCCGATTTCAAAACAGAAGTCCCGTGCGCCCGCCCACTATTGAACTGTCCAATCAGGTGCCAGAGCGTTCGTGCTGTCCAATCAGAGCCCTCCCTTCGCTTCCAGGCAGAACTCAACATGGCCGCTGCACTGAACCTGCGGAGCTGTCAAGATTATTCTCATTAAAACACACTTTACGACAGCATTTGGCGCTCGACTGAAGCTCGCAGGTAAGTGTGTTTTCAGGAGCGTTTGAAGTTTGTCTAAACAGTTGTATTAACAGGACAGAGGTGTGTGTTGACCAGGCTGTGGAGGAAGCATCCGTCTTTGACACAAGAGGACACTGAATTATTGACCGAGATTTGAAAGTGCATCAAACATGTGGCTTTGTGGCTCTGAGGTGTCGTCTGCTGAAGAGAGAAAGCTAAATAATATCAATAATATCACAGTATATTAAGACATGCACGGTCTGTGTTCTATACGTCACGGTGTTGCTTTTAAATCTGGTTATTTCATTTTTCTTATCGATGTCAATGTTGTGTTATTGTGTTCTCTGCACGTCACCAACGTGTGTCCGTGTGTAATGTGTCAGTCTTTAGTGCTTTTATTATGAATAAGCTTGACGTTATTATTGCATAATATAGACTGCTGGCTGAGTCATAATTTACGCCCCATTCGTGTATTAAAGGTACACCTTTCTGGGGGCGGGGCCACCACATGGGGCCAACACTCTGCAGAGAGAATTTGTATAAAAATTCAAAAATCAACATTGGTATAAACAACACAGGCCTAGAACACAATACAGTACCACCTGGTTCACTCACTCTGGGTCACTTTTATATACTTACACCAGATTTCACCTGTATCTAAACTTTAGATTGACCACACACACTATATTCTACTGGCCCTGCACCTTGTTACACATGTGTCTCTGTCAATGTTTCAGGAGGCTAAGGTTAAAGTATAGCTGTCGGTATAGGATTACAAGTTACAATGTTACTATTCTCAGTTGTTATTCCAGTGTAGTGTAAATTGGTCTTGCCCGGGGATTATCAGGCTTAATCTGTCTGTAGTACTCTGCTCCTGATTTAGTTCTGTTTTCCTTGTAGTAAATTGAAGTTGTAGACTATGATTAGTGGAGGACCTGAAACTTCTTAGCGTGTTTGTTTGCTTTAAAATATCACATGCGGCTGGTCCTGGTGAGATCTTGTGAAGTGTACGAGGGGCACGGAGCTGGCGAATTCAAAGTGCTGACTTGTTTTGTGTTTTGTACCAGAGGACGCTCCCTTTGTGGTCACAGTGAGAGGATCTGTTGTCAGGAGTTTGAATGGACGGATAAACAATGAGTGACCCATGGTTACCTGAGGCCCGCTTTTATTTTAGCTAACCTACTTTTTGTGCGACATAATTCCAAATGATCAATGGTTCAACAATTCATTTGTACATATCAAAGGCATTTTCATATTTATCAGACATCTTAAAGTTGGAGACAATCATCACTGAACAGCTTATGTAAGGTTAGCAGACTGGTGCAGGCTGACCTTGTGGGACTGATGACCAGGGCCGCACGATATATCAAAAAAATATTGTTATCGCAATATTTGTGCGTGCAATATCCGTATCGTAAATATGCGCAATAAACAATTTTTTGAAAGGGTTTTTTTTTTTTTTTTTTTTATTTGCTAAAGACAACAAAACAGACACATCAACGTTCAACAAATAAAAAAAAATTAAAAGTATATAAATATATGCATTTGAGGGTCATTCATGTGTTCGTTATTTGTCTCTTGCGTTTCGATGCAGATGCAATTTTAGGTGAAAGAAAAAAATCTTGCAATTATATCGCTATCTCAATACTAAACTCTCATATCGCTCTAATTTCCAACATAATGCAGCCCTAGTGATGACACCCTATTGTTGCTATTCCGGCATCAGAGAAGTTTGAGAGAGACCACATCAGGAGGTCCACAGTCCATGTTTTAGACCAGACGTGTCAAACTCAGGCCCCCGAGCCAAATCCGGCCCACGGGATAATATATTGTGGCCCATAAATGTCTCATGATTTTCTATTGTTATTATTCATTTGCAGAATTGATGGTAATGAGTCATTATGAGATGATATACCTCATCTTAAACGAAATAAAAGTTACATAGTTATATATATATTAAAAGAAATATAATAATTTGCCTGTCAATGTTTGTAATAATTGGTCCAGTTTTGGTTCAATCCAAACAATAAACTAATTTTGTTCAGAATAAAATATCCAAACAAAAGTATTTTTACATTTGCCAAAATACCTTGTAAAAGTGTTATTCTTTCGACTCTTCTTCGCTCAGTCCCTGTTTGGTCTAAGAGCGTGAATCTACAGATGTGACTGTACTTTATGTAACTAACTTTGATCTCCGCAGGGTTAATGAGGATCATAACGAGAGGAGGCCGTTAGTCGACTCGGGGAGGTCCCACCACGAGACAGTCTGGACTCTGCCCCTCTGTGTGTCCTGGGACCAGCCTGGACCAGTCCCTGTAGCCCCGTCCCCTCAGGCCCCCAGTGGAGCAGCGCTGACGGGGCCACACCTGAGGGGCGTGACTTGCGAGGGGCGGAGCATGCTGAGCAACTGCGGTTACCATGGAGACGCCGGATAAGAAGCAGGTGTGGTGGTTATCAAACTGGGCTAATTTCCTGCCGCACACAGACCTCATGTTATGTATTTTTGCTTTGTATTTGTGACTCATAATTACTACTACATATTCAATAATACAATCCCTAATATTACATAATTCTCAAAGTTTATAGCCGGAAGTGTCTGCAATCCACATCCATAACCTCGTCTGTACTTTGAGCTTCCTGTGTTTTTTTTTTTTTGGTGTAATCATAAGTTCAGGTTTTAACTCTGGAGGTGACGGAAAAGTGTCTCATAAGTGACGGTTCTGTAATGATAGATTAAAAAGGCAGTAACACACATGAGCCTCTAGGTTTGGTGGTTGTGTGTGATTTAATTATGTTTGGTTTGAGCTCTGTAACTCCCAGTCCAAGAATGTTTGTAAAGTCTTAAAGGGCAGGATCCAGGAGCGTGGGATCAGGGACTTTCTCACTCACTGCCTCTGCTCTTTTTTATTGGACGCTTTTTGTATGTTTTTTGTTTATTATGACCAGTGTTGACATTATGTACATCAGGGGTCTCCAACCTGTGGCTAGCTAGCTCCCCAAAGGATTTAGAGTTTAACAAAAGATCTTGAATTAATCATTTTTAGTAATTGCATGTCTGTTATAGTTATGAAAATAGGGTTATACAGTTTAATGGTATATTTTACATGTGTCCTCTTTTGTCGTTATTAATACATATATTTTTATTTCGACTGCAGAAGGGAGTAGCTCTCTGCCGTTTCTGTCGTATGAAAGTCCTATTCTAAGCTTGTTGTGCTTGTGCTGGTCCCAGGGGGAGGATGCGGCGGCTCTGGGCCTGTCCACGGGGCAGGCTCTGGGGAAACTGCGGGATCAGCTCACGGCTCTGTTAGAGCAGCACCAGGGCGCCAAACGACGACTCTCATCTGCTCTGGTACTTTTATCCTTTTCATTTGTCTCCTGCTCTGATTGGATGTTACAAGAATCACTTATTTAAAAGAATGATGTAACAGTAGAAGTTTGTGTTTACATTTTCATCGCAGTCACATTCAGTAACGGCAACACAAGTAGTTTCAATCGTATAATAATAATAATGCGTTGGTTTTATAGAGCACTTTTTGGACTCAAAGGGTGGCACAGTGGCTGAGTGGTTAGCCCTCTCACTTCTCAGCAGAAGGTCCTGGGTCCCCCACCACTAAAGAAAATGTACAATAAGAAATATCATCCAGCTCTGATCCTGACCCAGAGCATCAACATCTGGAGATGGGTTCTGTACTAGGGCGACCACTGCTCGTGATAAGCTACTACTGTAGCCACAGCTGCCCTGGGTCACACTGACAGAACCAGTATGGTCCATCAGCCCCTTCGAGCAGCACCAACCATTCACACACATCAAACTCATTCTAATGTGGGTGAAGTGTCTTGCCTAAGGACAACACCACAGTCTGACACTTTACAGCCGCAGCCGCCCCACTGTAGCACCTGCTGTTCCCAGAGGTCTCCCATCACAGAACTAACCAGGCCCTGCCCTGCTTTGCTTCAGCGGTCTGACAGGATCTGGCTTCTCGTGCACACACATACTAACAGTTTGACAAACCTGAGCAGTGATCTGTGGAGAATATTGTAATCTTTCTGTAAAGTTTGTTTGTGTTGCTCTGAAACAGGAACGATGGACGGACAGCTTCCTGTTTCATGGCGACCGTCACTCCTGCCTGCATTGGCCCGGCGTGGCCCTCACTCTGCTGGTGGTGTTGGGGTTCCTCTGTTGCTATGGCAGCCAACCCAAGGGCAGGTCAGTGCTCCGGCAAAAATCGGCAACACGGCTGGGTGGTTAGCATGGGTTCGAATCCCGGTCGGAACAGGGCCTTTCTGAATGGAGTTTGCCTGTTTTCCCTGTGTCTGCGTAGGTTTCCTCCAGGTGCTCCGGTTTCCCCTACCACTAAAAACATGTACAATAGGTCTGAATGTAATGTGTGAGTGTGTTTGGTCGGAGGCTTTGATGGACCAGTGTGTTTGGTTCTCGCTTCCGTCATCACTGTGTGGAGAGAATGGGACAATATCTGAAATCTGAACTTTGTAAAGTGGTTTGAGTGACATTGGTCTGAAATATTGTGCTATATAAATAAACATTACTCACTTACTTACATCACTATTGACACAAAAACTCTTCTTTTAGTTCATTCTATACACACTGACAGACACTAGTTATTCAGACACTAGGCTCTTGACAGTAAATACTAATACTAGTTTTAATACCAGTTATTTATTATTTATTTATCCCCGTAATAGAAATTCAGGTATAAACAAAGCTAGCTAACATTATTATTAAAGTCCGTGTAAGTCCCTGTAAGTCCCTGTAAGTCCCTGTAAGTCCCTGTAAGTCCCTGTAAGTCCCTGTAAGTCCCTGTAAGTCCCCTGTAAGTCCCCTGTAAGTCCCCTGTAAGTCCCCTGTAAGTCCCCTGTAAGTCCCCTGTAAGTCCCCTGTAAGTCCCCTGTAAGTCCCCTGTAAGTCCCCTGTAAGTCCCCTGTAAGTCCCCTGTAAGTCCCCTGTAAGTCCCGTGTAGGTCCGTGTAGGTCCCTGTAAGTCCCTGAAGGTTCGTGTAAGTCCCTGTAAGTCCGTGTAAGTCCGTGAAGGTTCAATTACAAAATTTTAAGGAAAGGCTCCCAGATCTCCACAGACAGCTCCCACACTCTGCACTCTCACTACAGTAACCCTACAGGTTCAGGTCCCTCCCATTCAAAACAAAAAGGGCCACATCCAGCTTCCTCCCCACCTCAATTTGCCTTTTAAACAGCTAATTTGGAGACCTGTTTTATGTATTTTATATTGCATTTCTGCTCTTTTACTGTATTTATTCTTAGATTGCGTGTCTCTGTGTTTTTGTGTACCCCCACCGGTGCTCTGTCTGTAAATGAAGTTCCTCACGGATTAATAAAGTTATTGAATTGAATTGTAATTCCGTGTAGGTCCGTGTAGGTCCGTGTAGGTCCGTGTAGGTCCGTGTAGGTCCGTGTAGGTCCGTGTAAGTCCGTGTAAGTCCGTGTAAGTCCGTGAAAGTCCGTGTAGGTCCCTGTAGGTCCCTGTAGGTCCGTGTAGGTTCCTGTAGGTCCGTGTAGGTCCGTGTAGGTCCATGTAGGTCCCTGTAGGTCCCTGTAGGTCCCTGTAAGTCCCTGTAAGTTCGTGAAGGTTCGTGTAAGTCCGTGTAAGTCCGTGTAAGTCCCTGTAGGTCCCTGTAGGTCCGTGTAGGTCCGTGTAGGTCCGTGTAAGTCCCTGTAGGTCCGTGTAGGTCCGTGTAGGTCTGTGTAGGTCCGTGTAGGTCCGTGTAGGTCCGTGTAAGTCCGTGTAAGTCCGTGTAAGTCCGTGTAAGTCCCTGTAAGTCCGTGAAGGTTCAATTACAAAATTTTAAGGAAAGGCTCCCAGATCTCCACAGACAGCTCCCACACTCTGCACTCTCACTACAGTAACCCTACAGGTTCAGGTCCCTCCCATTCAAAACAAAAAGGGCCACATCCAGCTTCCTCCCCACCTCAATTTGCCTTTTAAACAGCTAATTTGGAGACCTGTTTTATGTATTTTATATTGCATTTCTGCTCTTTTACTGTATTTATTCTTAGATTGCGTGTCTCTGTGTTTTTGTGTACCCCCACCGGTGCTCTGTCTGTAAATGAAGTTCCTCACGGATTAATAAAGTTATTGAATTGAATTGTAATTCCGTGTAGGTCCGTGTAGGTCCGTGTAGGTCCGTGTAGGTCCGTGTAGGTCCGTGTAGGTCCGTGTAAGTCCGTGTAAGTCCGTGTAAGTCCGTGAAAGTCCGTGTAGGTCCCTGTAGGTCCCTGTAGGTCCGTGTAGGTTCCTGTAGGTCCGTGTAGGTCCGTGTAGGTCCATGTAGGTCCCTGTAGTAGGTCCCTGTAGGTCCCTGTAAGGTCCCGTAATCCCTGTAAGTTCGTGAAGGTTCGTGTAAGTCCGTGTAAGTCCGTGTAAGTCCCTGTAGGTCCCTGTAGGTCCGTGTAGGTCCGTGTAGGTCCGTGTAAGTCCCTGTAGGTCCGTGTAGGTCCGTGTAGGTCTGTGTAGGTCCGTGTAGGTCCGTGTAGGTCCGTGTAAGTCCGTGTAAGTCCGTGTAAGTCCCTGTAAGTCCGTGAAGGTTCAATTACAAAATTTTAAGGAAAGGCTCCCAGATCTCCACAGACAGCTCCCACACTCTGCACTCTCACTACAGTAACCCTACAGGTTCAGGTCCCTCCCATTCAAAACAAAAAGGGCCACATCCAGCTTCCTCCCCACCTCAATTTGCCTTTTAAACAGCTAATTTGGAGACCTGTTTTATGTATTTTATATTGCATTTCTGCTCTTTTACTGTATTTATTCTTAGATTGCGTGTCTCTGTGTTTTTGTGTACCCCCACCGGTGCTCTGTCTGTAAATGAAGTTCCTCACGGATTAATAAAGTTATTGAATTGAATTGTAAGTCCGTGTAGGTCCGTGTAGGTCCGTGTAGGTCCGTGTAGGTCCGTGTAGGTCCGTGTAGGTCCGTGTAGGTCCGTGTAGGTCCGTGTAGGTCCGTGTAGGTCCGTGTAAGTCCGTGTAAGTCAGTGAAAGTCCGTGTAGGTCCCTGTAGGTCCGTGTAGGTCCCTGTAGGTCCCTGTAGGTCCGTGTAGGTCCCTGTAAGTCCGTGTAGGTCCGTGTAGGTCCGTGTAAGTCCGTGTAAGTCCGTGTAAGTCCGTGTAAGTCCGTGTAAGTCCGTGTAAGTCCGTGTAAGTCCCTGTAGGTCCGTAGGTCTGTAGGTCCCTGTAGGTCCCTGTAGGTCCCTGTAGGTCCCTGTAGGTCCCTGTAGGTCCCTGTAGGTCCCTGTAGGTCCGTGTAGGTCCGTGTAGGTCCGTGTAGGTCCGTGTAAGTCCGTGTAAGTCCGTGTAAGTCCGTGTAAGTCCGTGTAAGTCCATGTCTACGACCAAGACATCAGTGATCCATAGCAGTGATCAGAGTACTATGAGTGAATGAATAATACCTTGTGAAGTGTCTTTGGGTGTTGGGGAGAGGCCCGTCTGGCTGCTGTCCTGAACTGCTGTCTTCCTCTCCACAGTTCTGGCGTAGAGCTGTCCAACGCCGCTGCTCTCCTGCTCCTCCTGCTGGTCAACCTGCTGCTGGTCAGGCGACAGCAGAGGCTCCAGAGAACAGAGATGGTCCGGCGCCTCAGAGCCATCATCGGCCAGCTCAACGGTAAGGCAGCGTTTTGTTTGTACAGTTGGATTCTGGAGTGCGGTATGAAGAGAGGTTTGGTTGTAGATCACCTCGGCGCCTGTGTGGGGGAGGTCTGCTGGGCCACGTCCATGTACCCAGACCTGTACACGCCCTGCTCCCCGTCCTGGTCCCTCCACTGGACCTACCGGGACTCCCAGCTCGTCAACTGTCCCGTCAGCCTGCTGGTGGAAGGAGACATCATCGCCCTCAGACCAGGACAGGAGGCTTTTGCTTCTCTCAAAGGGATCAAGGTACGTCATGTGATCTTCTCTTCATCATATTGATACTACACGTTCATCATTTTTGCCCGTATCTTTTCATTTTCAAGTGGACCACGAGTCTGTAATACATTATAATTGAATTTACTGGATTGACGGTGCGTTGTGTGATATAATGGAAGCTTTTTAAGTTGTAATTGTTTTGTAAAATATGATATATTTCAACTTAAAGGTGCAGTAAAGGATTCTGGTTAGCCTTTAGCATTAGCATCCGCGTAGCACCGACTCAAACGCATTCCCATTGGTTTCGTTCTATTTCCCCGCAGGATTTAAAACAATGCGTCTGGATAAAGCATTGACTGCATCTTTAACAGTGTAAATGAGGAGCCTTGAATTAATCGTACAAAGCGGTTTAATGTTTCTATGTGTACAATCCAGAGAGAATTGAGAGCCACATTTAACAAATGTCAAAACAATTATACTATCATGTGTCTTTACTGTTGATTCTCTGATCTGTGTCGGAGATTTCAATGGTTTTGTGAAGTCTCTGAGATGATGCTGTTGTGATTTAAGGAAATACAAGAATACATTGTAATTGTAAATGTACTGCACAAATCATTCAAAGAGTAAATGATATTTTTACTTTGGCAGCATTGCATTGGAACGGTCAGACATTTTGCAGCTAAGATACAATTTTGACAATATTCCAGAACAAATCTCATCCTGAAAGCAGCTCGTAGTCTGCAAATAAGCTGTTTTCTGTGAGGTTTCGAAGCCCAAAGTCTAATCATGTTGAGTCTGGAATGAGGTAAATGGTAAATGACTGGTGCAGTAGTTACTTCTTTGGTGCGTGATCCTCATTTACATCAGAACTAATGTAATCCTATTGAAGGTTTAGCTTTAATTTAGATCCAGGGAATTCCATTAGTCCTTGTTAAATATATCACGATACTCGGAAGGCCAAAAGTATAGATGCAGTTCAATTACATTTGTTTTTGTTTAGCCCCAGATCACACCAGCAGTCGTCTCGGAGAACAAACGACAGATCAGACAGAACGACAGATTGCCGGGTTGCGGTTGCTATTTAGATAAACTTAAAGAAATAGGCTGTAGTATTGGCTGAATTACCCCAATCCCTTTCACAGTTTGATGTGTTTTCTGATATTTTGGTTTTTGCTTTCTTCTAGGATGACGAGCACATAGTCTTGGAGCCCGGAGACCTCTACCCCCCGTTCTCCCCGCCTCCCTCCCCTCAGGCCACAGACAAGAGAGGGCCGCAGAGTCCCCAGCATCACCGGCTCTTCAGGGTGGTCCGGACGCCTGTGCTGGACACTGTCGGGTACATTTACATTGTTTATGTTAGAGCTTATAGATTCATATCTCTCCAGACGATCCCCCTGGACACTCTTTTAACCCTAACCCCGGAGAGCCACTTTATTGCTAACTAAAATGGTAAAGAGCTACTCCTTTAACGGTTTGGACTCGTAGAAGCTCAGGGACTGGTCTCCTGCTGGTCCCAGAGTCAGGACGAAGCATGGAGAGGCTGCGTTACAGATTTATGCAGCCAGAATATGGAACAGTCTTCCTGGGGTTGTGAGACAGGCCTCTACCCTGACCCATGTTCAAAACTAGGCTGAAAACATATCTTTTTAGCTGTGCATACAACTGATTCTATTTTCTTTTTAGTATTTATTGCTTTTATCTCCCGTTTAAACCCAAATAAAACAGAGGAGAGTAATCATGAAATTTTGGATCTATCCACATATTTTTGTTGTTTGTTGTATGTATATTATTTTGCAAAAATCAAATTAAGTAAAAACAAAATAAAAAATAAATAAAATCCCTAAAATGGCTGAACAGAATAATGCCAATTTCACGTTTGCCGCCCACTCTCCCTGTTTGTGGGGGCGTGGCCTGTGAGCTCTGCTGTCTGTGGGGGCGTGGCCTGTGAGTCCTGCTGTCTGTGGGGGCGTGGCCTGTGAGCTCTGCCGTCTGTGGGGGCGTGGCCTGTGAGCTCTGCCGTCTGTGGGGGCGTGGCCTGTGAGCTCTGTTGTCTGTGGGGGCGTGGCCTCTGAGTCCTGCTGTCTGTGGGGGCGTGGCCTGTGAGCTCTGCCGTCTGTGGGAGCGTGGCCTGTGAGCTCTGCCGTCTGTGGGAGCGTGGCCTGTGAGCTCTGCTGTCTGTGTGGGCGTGGCCTGTGAGCTCTGCTGTCTGTGTGGGCGTGGCCTGTGAGCTCTGCTGACTGTGGGGGCGTGGCCTGTGAGCTCTGCCGTCTGTGGGGGCGTGGCCTCTGAGCTCTGCTGTCTGTGGGGGCTTGGCCCTTGAGCTCTGCTGTCTGTGGGGGCGTGGCCTCTGAGTCCTGCTGTCTGTGGGGGCGTGGCCTGTGAGCTCTGCCGTCTATGGGGGCGTGGCCTGTGAGCTCTGTTGTCTGTGGGGGCGTGGCCTCTAAGCCCTGGTGTCTGTGGGGGGGGCAGCATCCTGTTGTGGCGTCTTTAACCCTTGTACTCCTCGGGTAAAATTGATTTGAAAAGAAAAGAAAATGCTGGATGTTTGGTTTGGTGGAGAGGGAGGGGAGGGGAGGGGAGGGGAGGGGGGAGTGGTTTGGTGGAGAGGGAGGGGAGGGGGGAGTGGTTTGGGGGAGAGGGAGGGGAGGGGGGAGTGGTTTGGTGGAGAAGGAGGGGAGGGGAGGGGGGAGTGGTTTGGTGGAGAGGGAGGGGAGGGGGGAGGGGTTTGGTGGAGAAGGAGGGGAGGGGAGGGGGGAGTGGTTTGGGGGAGAGGGAGGGGAGGGGGGAGTGGTTTCAATTTGGTGCTACGGCTAAGCTAACAAAATCGCTCAATGCGCCTTTAAGACTTAGAACATTCCATAACAGCGTTCCTGGTTTTGCAGAAGCGGTCTGGAGTTGGCGCTCTCTCGTCCCGTGACTGTTCTGGACAACGAGCGCTTCACGGTGCAGTCCGTCATCACGAAGCTGGTGTGTCCCGTCGTTTTGGTGAGAACCTTTTGCTCCGCTCCAACATTTCACTTCTTTCTTTACTCTTATCCAGTAACTTATTTTCTTCTTGGTTTTGTTTTTCCCGCAGACGGCCTTTCTGATTGTCAACACGATCCGATATTTTTGCGATGCTCCCAGTCTGACGCCGCCATGCTACAACTTCATTCAGCTCCAGGTTCATTTTTAAGCTGAATTTATATGTTTTTAGAGGCATTAAATTGTAAAGCAGAAAGGTCTAAACGCTGTCTCTGTGCTTTCAGCTGATGGGGGTCCTGCCCATTCTGCCGCTGCTCTTCCCCGTCATGTGGGTTTTGGTAAATGCGTTCGGAGAGGCTCAAGTCCTGGCCGAGTTCAGCAAAGCATCTCCAGCTGGTCTGGTAAAGAAACTGTATTTTTCTAGATTGTAATTCACATTTAGAACCACACGACATTGGCCTCTGACATAAACAGACCGGTGTCATGTGTTCTAACCCTAACCCTGACCCAGGCCTTTACATACACAACATATACACACAATATCTTGATTATATTGACATTATGGCGAGTATTGATTACATTGACACTGGTGCAACAACGCCTGCCCATAACGTCTTCTGACAATTGCAATGAAAATAAATAACAATGAATATCGAGACCCATAATGCACTGTTCCATCCATGACGTGTTGAAGGATAAACCGTAGACCATTCACGAGACCGGTCTAGATCTGATTGACTGAACAAAGCGCTGAATGAAAACACTACAATCCATGTGTCCATTTTCAGAAGTGGGAAAAGATGCTTGAGGCGAAAAGGTGTCATCTTTAACAGTTGTTGCATGTGTTTTATCTGAAATCATCTTAGTCCCAGTTTCTTTAACATTGATTCATTAAACATAGTCTTTCTCATTGTGGCGTTTTTATTTAGTGACACAATCTATGTCTTTTCGGACTAACCTGCTGTGTTTTTGCCCCAGCTTGCTAAGTTTTCTGAGGATACACTAAGCAGCTACACCGAAGTGGTTTCCTCTCAGGTATAACTGTCTCGCTCGACCCTTCTCCACCTGCTCCACCTTTTCCTCACTACTGCCCCCTCCTGTGGACACCTGTCCATGGCTTTGCTAGACCACACAAAGACCTCATGAAACTGGTTTAGACCGTAGTGAATGGGGAGCATCAGGGTCTGGACCTGCCTGTCTCATGTTGTCCACATCCTTTGTCCACTGCTTGTTTCAAGTTTGTCACCAATGTCAAAGATGTTGGTTTTATCTGCTTCGATTTGTAAAAACTGGGCATTGACAACAAAGGGCTCACTACTTCTGTTATTCTGAGATAAAGTTTTGCTTCTTTTAGCTTGGTTACTGTCAATGTGAAACAAGCAAAACTGAACTAGTTCTACAACAGAATTGTGTTTTGCATGAGCTCCTGCATTCTCCCACATGAGCCTTTCATTATTGATTTAAAAACAATAATTGGGTGTATGGCATGGATCCAGCTTTATATGAATGAATTGATTTGCAAAATCTCAATGAATGGCATTGTGGGTTTTCTTCCCTTGTCGTTCTCTAATGAAGAGCCACTTCTCTGTTCCTTTTCCCAGCAATTGCTTTTCATATCCAAGATCTTCTGTGGAATAATGTGAGCCATTAGACTGAGTGAGCATTCTTCTGATGTGGATGTGTTGTGTGCAGGAGATGCTGCGCTGTGTGTGGAGACATCTGGTCGGAGTTTTAAAGGGAGATTCTCAAACACTGTGTTACACCTCGAGCCTTCTGCACACTCTTGGCTCTGTCACCGTAGGTCTAACAGTACATAATGATCAGTAAGAACAGATGAAATGCATGTTGTAATGTAATCAAAAACCTTCTGTTTGTTAGGTGCTTTGCTGTGTGGATAAGCAGGGCATCCTGTCGTGGCCTAACCCCAGTCCTGAGACGGTCCTGTTTTTCAGTGGGAGGGTGGAGCCCCCACTCAACAGTCAGGACGACCTGGATGACGACCTGTCCGTCAACTCCTTCTGCAGGATGGACACAGAAGAAGACCAGGATGAGGTACTAATCACTAAAGCTGGTGTTTGTAATCTTCCAAAGCCAAATGACTGATGTTATTGAAGGCCCAGGAGGGAGAGGCTCTGCTGTGTGAGCCTGCGTCCCAAGTGGAGGCTGTGGACCCCAGTGACATGCCGCAGGACGCTGCTCCGTCTCTGGAAAACCTCAGGCCTCGGAAAAACGCACAGCCTGCGCACACTCGGACCAAACACCATTCTGGGTCTAATGTGAGCTTCAGCCACGACACAGAGGGAGGGGAAGACGAGCCAGGACAGGTGAGGAAGACCCTTTATGTTCAAATAAGGTGAGCATTCTCCAAGTACCTGACAGGTGTATTCTGTGCTGTAGGAGTCGGCTGTAGGCTGCCCCGAGGATGAAGCTGATGACTTTGTGTGTGACTACCACCTGGAGATGTTGAGCCTGTCCCAGGACCAGCAGAACCCTGCGAGTATCCAGTTTGACGACCTGTCCTGGCAGTGTCACCTGCCCTCCCTCAAGCCTCTGGGTCTAAACATTATGTTAAACCTGTGCAATACCAACGTGACGCAGCAGCTCTGCAGATTCTCTGACCACTTGTCCAACCTGGCTCTTCAGGAGAGCCATGGCACAGTCCAGCCGGTCAGCGTGCCCTGGGGCCTCTGTGAGCTCTCTCGACTCATCGGTAAAATCATGTGTCTTATTGTTGTTTATAAGATTAGAGTTTTATACTGAAAAGTTAAGGATCATTAAACATTAAATCTGTTCTATCCACAGGTTTCACACCAGGAGCGCGGGAGCTCTTCCAACAGGAGAACCATCTGGCTCTGTACCAGATGCCTTCAGGAGAGAAGACCAAGGAGCTCGCTTCTCGTCGACTGCATTACTTTATCAAACGGCAGCCTCCGCTCTCTCACATCATCTCCCTGTTTGTGAGGGACTCCTCCTCCAGTCAGTAATCATGATTAAACCGTAACATTAAACCTTTTTATGTTTTGGAACTTCAAATGTGTCTCTGTAGAAAATAGATGGTATAAAAATCTACAGAATTGGAAAGGGAACATCACAAGCCCCTGTGAAGGACGGACAGATTAATGTTAGCCGTGTAGTTATAAAGTATATTATCTATGGTTATATACATTATTTATTTCATCCTGACGGATAACTCCTGATGACAATGTTGTGTCGGCACAGATCATGTCCAGATGCTCTCCCATGGATCAGCTGACCTCATCCTTGAGGCCTGCACAGACTTCTGGGACGGGACAGACATCTACCCCCTGTCAGGCTCAGACAGGTACAGCTCCTCCCACAGAGAGCAGTCGTGCACTATCACTGTTTTAACTTCATGTTTTGCAGAAAGAAAGTTCTGGACTTCTACCAGCGTGCCTGCCTCTCCGGTTACTGCTCAGCCTTTGCCTATAAGCCCATGCAGGTCTCTCTGTCCAATCAGCTCAATGGAAAATGTGTGGAGCTGGCCCCGGGGCCGTGTGTGTTCTCCGGCCTGGAGCTGCCCTCCACCTTCCCCCTCAAACACGGCTCCTGCAGAAACAGCTGGAGCTCGGACGGTGCGTAAACAATCATCACAATTTACCAAAGTTAAAGGTGCAGTAAGTGATTTTGTTAGCTTAGCCGTAGCACCAACTGGAAACCACTCCCCCCTCCACCAAACCACTCCCCCCTCCCCTTGCCTCTCCACCAAACCACTCCCCCCTCCCCTTGCCTCTCCACCAAACCACTCCCCCCTCCCCTCCCTCTCCACCAAACCACTCCCCCCTCCCCTTGCCTCTCCACCAAACCACTCCCCCCTCCCCTCCCTCTCCACCAAACCACTCCCCCCCCCTCTCCACCAAACCACTCCCCCCCCCTCTCCACCAAACCACTCCCCCCCCCCTCTCCACCAAACCACTCCCCCCACCCCTCCCCTCTCCACCAAACCACTCCCCCCCTCCCCTCCCCTCTCCACCAAACCACTCTCCCCTCCCCTCTCCACCAAACCACTCCCCCTCCCCTCCCTCTCCACCAAACCACTCCCCCCCCCCTCCCTCTCCACCAAACCACTCCCCCCCCCTCTCCACCAAACCACTCCCCCCTCCCCTCTCCACCAAACCACTCCCCCCCCCCTCTCCACCAAACCACTCCCCCCTCCCTCTCCACCAAACCACTCCCCCCTCCCCTCTCCACCAAACACCTCCCCCCTCCCCTCTCCACCAAACCACTCCCCCCTCCCCTCTCCACCAAACCACTCCCCCCTCCCCTCTCCACCAAACCACTCCCCCCTCCCCTCTCCACCAAACCACTCCCCCCCCTCCCCTCTCCACCACCACCCACTCCCCCCCCCCCCTCTCCAAACCACTCCCCCCTCCCCTCCACCAAACCACACCAAACCACTCCCCCCTCCCCTCTCCCCAAACCACTCCCCCCTCCCCTCCCACCAAACCACTCCCCCCCCCCTCTCCCCCCCCCTCCCTCTCCCACCAAACCCCCCCCCCCCCTCCACCAAACCACTCCCCCTCCCCTCTCCACCAAACCACTCCCCCCTCCCCTCTCCACCAAACCACTCCCCCCTCCCTCTCCACCAAACCACTCCCCCCTCCCTCCCCACCAAACCACTCCCCCCTCCCCCACTCCCCCCCCCCCCCTCTCCACCAAACACACCCCCCCCCCCTCTCCACCAAACCACTCCCCCCCCTCCCCTCTCCACCAAACCACTCCCCCCCCCCTCTCCACCAAACCACTCCCCCCCACCCCCACCCCCTCTCCACACCAAACCACCACCCCCCCCCTCCCCTCTCCACCAACTCCCCCTCCCCCCCTCCCCTCTCCACCAAACCACCCACCTCCCCTCTCCACCAACCAACCACTCCCCCTCCCTCTCCACCAAACCAACTCCCCCCTCCCCCCCTCTCCACCAAACCACTCCCCCCCCCTCCCACCAACCACTCCCCCTCCCCCCCTCCACCAAACCACTCCCCCCTCCCCTCTCCACCAAACCACTCCCCCCTCCCTCTCCACCAAACCACTCCCCCCTCCCCCTCTCCACCACCAACACCTCCCCCCTCCCCTCTCCACCAAACCCACTCCCCCCTCCCCTCTCCACCAAACCACTCCCCCCTCCCCTCTCCACCAAACCACTCCCCCTCCCTCTCCACCAAACCACTCCCCCCTCCCCTCCCCTCTCCACCAAACCACTCCCCCCCCCTCTCCACCAAACCACTCCCCCCCCCTCTCCACCAAACCACTCCCCCCTCCCCTCTCCCCAAACCACTCCCCCTCCCCCTCTCCACCAAACCACTCCCCCCTCCCCTCTCCACCAAACCACTCCCCCCTCCCCTCTCCACCAAACCACTCCCCCCTCCCTCTCCACCAAACCACTCCCCCCTCCCTCTCCACCAAACCACTCCCCCCTCCCCTCCCATGAAATTGAAATTTTCTGTTCAATCATTTTAGGTTTTAGTAAATCCGATAACTCCGGTGCACTCGTGAGAAACAGGAAGAGGGTGAAGGCGGTAAACACATCCCATTGGTTCGTTGGAGATGAACGAATCCCATTGGTTTGTTTTTATCAGTCCGCTCCAAAATATGTTTTATTAATTCTTGGAGACTATAGACATCTGGTGAATTCCATTACTATTTGAAAACTCATGATAACTTGATATTTTTAGGGTTTAGGGACGTTTTCCACAAGATTTAAAAAAAAATGCGTCTGGACAAATCCCTGACTGCATTTTTAAGTTACTACTAATGATATGCGTGTGTTCACAGAGGGCATAGGAGAGGGCGTGGAGAGGGACGACTGTGTGCACGCCCTGAGCGGTCAGATCTTCATTGGGATGGTGTCCTCGCAGTTTCAGGCCAGACTGGACACGGTCAGGCTCATCGACGCCCTGGTCACCGCCTGTATCCGCTTCGTCTACTTTTCAATGGAGGACGAACTTCGCAGCAAGGTATAACCATGGATCTATTATAATAACTGGATAGGGTATTACTAGCTTGTAGCTGAATAACTGATGTGCTCAGGTGATTCTCGCGGTACTGCAGACTGAACCAGACTGAACCAGACTAAATTCACGTGGGCTACCCAGACATTTTCCCCATAGAACTCAATGCAAATTAAAACAGCTCGACCTCAGCTGACAGAGAACCTGACAGAGAACCTACAGCTTTCATAAAGGTCGGATTTTGTGGGGATGTTAGTGTCCCTTGTCGTCCTGAACTTTTTTTCTTCTTAAATCCTTCGGTTTTGTTTAAATCCACACTTTAGTGCAACAAACTCTGCTCCTCTGGCTCTGGCTCTAACTCCCGCTCTGATGAACTGCTCTGATTGGTCAGAGCGGCCGAGCCCCTCTGTGCACGTGCGTGAGACCCGGTGTGAGACCCACACACGCGTGTTAGGCACAATGCATTATGGGAGATCATCCACTGCACAGAACCGGGAGGACCAGACGATGCCCAAATACAGGCGAGTTTCCCAAAGATCTTTGAGAGTTCCAGGCGACTTCTGCTAATCTTTCAGCCCCCATGCCGTCACAAAGCGCCACTGAGCACAACCATTCATTTGAATAGGGCGCCATCTTGGATCGCCGGGGCTTGGGTATAACACAATAACCTCGCTGTGTGGAGGAGAGGTTTTGCAGGCCCTTCCTCCCTGTTGCTGTCAGACTGTACAACAAGAACTGCTGAGTCTGTACAAGTGTCACTGATAATAATTTACCTGTTATTTTGAACACTGCGTTGTTACATATCCATCTGATATTCATTTGTCACTTTACTGCTGATATAATTACTATTGTTTGTTCTGCTCATATTCTCCGCTGCTAAAGTACAATATACACATCTGTAAATACTTCTGAACCAAGTGACATTATAGCTCCAGAGTTTATTTTACACTATTTTCCATCTTAATGTTTTAATTCAACAATCTCTCATCTTAAATCATGGACTGAGGTGTGCGTCCGAGTCTTATTCTTTCTTTGGTTTGGTGGAGAGGGAGGGGAGGGGGGGGGAATGTGGGCGGCACGGTGGCTGAGTGGATAGCACTCTCGCCTCTCAGCAAGAAGGTCCTGGGTTCGAATCCCGGTCGGACCAGGGCTTTTCTGAGTGGAGTTTGCATGTTCTCCCTGTGTCTGCGTAGGTTTCCTCCGGGTACTCCGGTTTCCCCTACCACTAAAAATATGTCCAATAGTTCTAGCATGTGCCTCCTGTACTGGCCCCTCCCATCTCTGTGTGGAGTGAGAGACAAATGCCCAAAAATTAACAATTGTAAACCGCTTTGAGAGTCAGATCTGCAGTGAAAAGGCGGTATATAAATAAAGATTACTTACTAAATAAAGATTACTTTCTGTCTCTGCTGTAATGTGCTATGATGACACTGACATTTCCCCTACTGTGCGACGATTAAAGAAATATCTTATTTTAAAAGGTTCTTTTTACAGCGATATAGACTTGACTGAATGTCTTGTTTCCAGGTGTTTGCAGAGAAGATGGGTTTGGAGACGGGCTGGAACTGTCACATCTCTCTGACCCCAAACGGAGACAGTCCGTGTGACGGAGGTCCCTGCAGCCCGAGCCACGCCTCTCTGCACGAGGACCTGAACCAAGGTACCACTGCGGCCTTATTCACACACCAGCATTCACCAAGTTTATTAACTCATTGAATGCCAGCCTATTTCAGAACAGGTACTCCCACAGTGCCAGCCATTTCTGATGATTTTTACTGATTTTTCAAGACCCACAGAATATTGTGTACTATGACTATCTGAAATCCGACACCAGATTCTAAAAGAATGGACTGTCTACTTTCCTCAGCAAAAAGAATTTTGTTTATAGCTTTTTTCGTTCCCCTGTAATCCTCCGTCGAGTAGAGGGAAGTTTTACTGAAATCACCAGAAATCACCAGAAAGTTGAGAAAAAAGAGGCACAACATGTGCACCTACATGTTTTCAAACCATTCAGAGAGCAATGCTGCCACCTGCTGGCTCGATAAAATATGGTCTCAAGTCATCCCCATACATATTAGATACAATAGACATCTGGGAACGTGAAAATAGCGAAAAAGGCAATTGCATCGGATTAATGCGTCAATGGCACACGATGAGTTAAGGAAAACCCCATTGAGATGAATTGTCTCATTTTGGAGGCAGTCCTAGACATAAATACAAACATGTAAACACACACATAAAACACTCCTGCCTCTGCTAAAATTACACATTACACAAAACTATGAACAATAATGACACAGAACATTAGAGACATAAACAAGGGGTTTTAAGGAACCTAAATAAAACCAAAGACATGATGAATGGTGTGGATGGAGTTTATTCCAGTCTGATGGGGCCTTGTACTGAAACAATCTGCGTCCAACTTCTTTAAAAACTCTTGGAACAGAAAAGGCGAGACAATCAAAGCTTTGGAGTGAAAAAGGTGTAGAAACCAGGACAAAGAACTGTTTTAAATACTGCGGACAACTAAAATAAATGCATTTAAATAATAAGGCAATGGACATGATTGGCTCGTTAATACCGTACAGTGTTAGATCTGTCTGAGATGCTTTTGGGCCTAAAGGGAATCAAAATCATAGTTGTATTGATTTAAAAAGTCAGATTTAAAGCCTCATCATGACATTATGTAGATTGTGACGTGATGTAGAGTGTGTTGTGGTTTCATAGATTCTCGTGATGAAGCTGAAGGTCCTCTTCTGCCGGAGGAGGAGGCTCACTCGGACATGGTCAGTTTCCAGCCCACAGACAGTGATGTTCCCAGCTTCCTGGAGGACTGCAACAGGGTAACGCTCTTCTGGATCATTACCGTGTAGTGTAGAAAGTCTGGACATCATCAGATCTTCATTGATCTTTGACAACAGAACATTTGACAACAGAACATTTCTGTCATTTCAGGCCAAACTACCTCGTGGTATCCACCAGGTTCGCCCACACCTGAAAAATATCGATAATGTGCCTCTATTGGTGCCGCTCTTCACGGACTGCACCCCAGACAGTGAGTCCCATAGGGTTTGGTCCAGTTTGGTTCAGTTTGGTCTGGTTTGTTCAACAGTTGCTCTGTTTCTAGCCATGTGTGAGATGATGAAGATCATGCAGGAGAACAGGGAGGTCACCTGTTGTCTGGGCAGTTCTGCAAACTTCCGCAACAGCCGCCTCTTCCTTCAGAGCAACCTCAGGTAGAGCACTAAGCACATCTCCGAAGATTAGCTCAAGTAGCCCAAGTACAGATGCAATACAATTTATTCTTGTAGTTCCCTAAATCACAATATCATCTCAGAGACTTAACAAAACCATTGAAATCACCAACACAGATCAGAGAATCAACAGTTAAAACACATAAAGAATATAGAACACATGTTGATAAATGTCATACATGTAGAATGTTAAAGTGTCCTGGATCACCACAGTCCTAGTTAGACACTAACTGTCCAACAGACTCCTTCATCGGCAAGGAACAACTCACAAACACCCAGTGGGAAACAAGTGAGACCCACATATTGAGATGCCATAAGAGCAGCGCTTAAATCTATAAATCTATAAATCCCTTGAGTTGTGTTTGTAACAGACGCTGCAGACTGAGGGTGCATTTTCTCTGCAGCCTTTCATACCCAAGATGCTTGCATTAAACAATACTTTCAAGGTTTGACTGTGATTCTCTTACTTAGTCTAATTTGTATCTGACAAACTGAGACCATGAAGCTCTCCTCTCTCCATGATGCTTGTTCAGTCATTGTAAGTCTGAATGATTTACTGCATCTAATCAATCACAGCCTTTCAAAAAGCTATTCTGCAATGATACTGTGGTAGCTATTGTGAGCCTAACATGAAGGCAAGACTCACTGAGTATAATAATCCCAACATTATAAATACTTGGAGTAGTTTGTTGCAGCACTTATCAGTTGTGTTGTGCTAATGTGTTGTGTTTTTGTGCCGACAGCATATCGTTGGACCCTCTTTACCCGTCCCAGTGCTCGTGGGAGACATTTCGATATGCTACTGGAGGAGCCTTCAGTGAAGAGCTGGAGGGTCTGTCTCCTCTGAGGCTGTCCGGGCAGCTCAACAGTCTGGGCTGTTCTGTGAGCTTCCACAGGGGGGAGAGCGTTAGCATGGTCCGGCTAATTGAGCAGGTGTGTGACTGAAGCTCCACTGGCCCCTTGTTCCCTAAGTCCTTCCATAACCTGGCCCCCTCTTACCTCACTGACCTCCTCCATTATCACTGTCCCACCCGCCGCCTCAGATCCACAGACTCCAACCTCCTCACTCCCATCAGAACAACGGGCCAAACCCTGGGGGACTGAGCCTTTGAGAGCTGCCCCCGCTCTCTGGAACTCACTCCCTCCTCACATTAGGAACTCACTACAGAACTTCAAATCCCACCTGTTCAAAACTGCCTACACATAACTGTTTATTTTTATCTTTTTATCTTTTGTTTCTTATTTTTCTTCTGTAAAGCGCCTTTGAGTGTCCAAAAAAGCGCTAAATAAGTACGATATATGATTGAAAAAGGTTAGATTCAGAACCATGGATTCACTTTTGTTCCGTTTCAGGCCCGGCACACCACCTACGGCATCCGCAAGTGCTTCCTGTTCCTCCTGCAATGTCAGCTCAGTCTAGTTATTATCCAGGTATTTTGACTTTGTGCTCATGTTATTGCAATGACGCTGATGTTCTGATGGATGACGGTGGTGTTTGTCTGAAGTTCTTGGCCTGTCTGGTGCAGCTGCCTCCTCCTCTCAACATCACTGACATTCTCTGGGTGTCCTGCTTTAGCTGCCCACTGCTCAGGTAACGCTGCTTTAAATCTACATCCCGCCACATTTCATACTCGCTCCTTATAGTCATGTCTGTGTTTTGTGTTCTCTGTCAGTGTGTCTCTTTTGGGCAAACCTCCCGACAGTTCAGTAATGACTGTAGCCACCGGGAAAAACCTCAACGCCATCCCGAAGAAGGTCAACAGCCAAACTGCTCTTATCATGTCAGTGTTTTATGTCCGTACTAATATGAACTGTGTGAGCAGACGCAGAACTACTTCCTGGGCTGTTTCCTGCTGAAGTTCGGCCTCTCGCTGTGTGCCTGTCTTCTTGGCTTCGGCTTCACGCTGCAGGAGGTCTGTTGCCGCAGTAATCTGATGCTCGACAACAGCACTGCCAGCTCCGCCTCCATCTTCACAGTGAGGTATCAGCACTTTATTCTTGAACCTGAGCCAGAAAATGAACTGTACAGTAGAGGACACCACCTTTGGATGAAATTTCATTTTCATTCATTTCATTTCATTTCATTTTCAACCCCTTTGTCCATTTCTGGGTCGGGGCGGTGGCAATGAGAGCTGCCACCCAACGCTCATAGCACCAGTCCCTCTGATCCTCTGCAGGGGGTGAGTCCACAGGAAGATGGCTGCTCTGTCATTTGTGAAACAGCCTTGATCTTTCAGCGGGGGCTTCAGGTAATGTGGGGTTAAGTGTCTTGCCCAAGGACACAACGACAGCAGTCATCAGTGGGAGCAGTTGGAGTAGGTCCCATGGTGGGAATCGAACTCACGACCTCCAGGCCCAAAGGCCAATGCTCTACCAACTGAGCTACTGTCGCCCTGTGTGGATGAAATTTGATTCTTTAAATTTAAGATTGATATTGATGCTTACATGTGTTCTATCTTGAACTCAACTTGGTTTTACCCAAAGCGAGGCGTCAAAAAGATTAAAACCTGCAAATGTCTTGATTTTAAAAATGTTCAGATAAATACATTCTATCTATTTTGTTTCTACTGAGACTATGACACATGTGTTTGTTTAATTGCAGCTCCTCCGCTGAGGCTCCTGACTGGTTTGGACCCCTGTCCAGCAGCCTGCTACTGACTCAGAAAGTGATGGCGGCCTTTCTGGTGTTACACACTGGTACGGGTCTCATCTCACACTTCCAAATGCGTTACACGTTCATTGGTTAAACCTGGGTTTACTGTATCTGTCAGTGGTGATTTCTCTGAGCTATGTGCATCGGTCTCAGTCTCTGTGGAGGAAGAGTCCCTTCAGCAACATCTGGTGGTGCCTCACGGTTCCTGTGGTGTAAGTCACTTCTCCTCTTCTCTAGTCTCAAAGTTCCAGAGGTTTTTTCACATAATAAAAAAAAAACGTTGATTTGTCTGTGTTTTTATTTGCAGTTTACTTAGTCAGCTGGTGCAAGCCACAGTGGATTACCTGTTTTGGCGGGACCAGAACAGCCTCCTGGACTTCAAGCTGCAGGACATCCCTCTCTTAGCTTGGCTGCTGATGTCTCTCTCCCTCCTGCTGGTGATGGTGGTCAACGAAGTCGTCAAAATGCATGAAATACGGTACAGAACTCTCACTTCCTGGACCTCATGACAGAATGTTAATAATTGGCCCCAGACAATGTGTAACAGTGTATGTTTAAGTGGTATTTTGTGTGTAAACTATCAGTCTTGATGGTTTATCCTAATGAACAGTTTGTTAATAAAACATAAAGGCAGTTTTTGTATGTTTTTTGATATGCAATGTATTAATGAAATGAATCTGTTTCTTAGAGTGAGAGAACGATACCAGAAGAGACAGAAGCTGCAGTTTGAGACGAAGCTCGGAATGAACTCTCCTTTCTGAGGGAGTAGAACACTAATAAAAAACCAAGCCATCAACCAAGAGTTCAAGAATATGAACTACAAATGCGTTGCCAATGCGTTGGGGAAAGATGGACGGATCAAAGTGAACATTTTAATAGGAATCAAATGTAATTATTTATCAGGCATGAGGAATGTTTTATGAAAAGTGTCATTGTGTCACTGTACATTGTTGCATGGCCCTCAACATTTCAGAAAAGAGCTGCATTTTATTGTTATTTACTGTTAATGCTATACTTTTATCAAACACTTTTAAAACGGGCTTTTGGGGGAGGGCATTGCAACAGACAGATTTTTTTCATTTTTTGTTTCTTGGTTAAATTGTGTTCCTGTTTGCTCCCGACAATGCTGCATGAGATTCAGTCCAGTTCAGCTTCGAACCAGGGACTAAAGACACATGCTGGGATCCATTGTTTTACCTACTCATAAACACCAACATGGAACAAAGTATATTTTGTATTTTATTAAATTGTTTAAAAGATTCTGTCCTGTTAATGTGATAAATACATTTACTTTTATCTACATGGTTGTTGTGATCACTACTGAAATGTCTTCGATCGTCTTTATTGATATTATTTGTGCCATTACTGTAACTTCCGGTTTGGCTGCTGCTTCCGGGCCGCGTGCGTGGTTTGACAGATCCAGGAAGGGCACGCGCTGTAAGTGGTTTTTCTCTGTTTATTTATCATTTTAGAGTCGTACTGACATTTTAGCTGATTTTAACTACGTGTTGTGATGTCACACACGGGGAGCACGTGTTTAATTAAGCAGTTAGAGAGACAATATTAGGCTAAATTGCTAGCTTTAGCCTCATACAAATGCTTTCTTTTGCACCAAGATACTTTAGAATATCGTGTGTTTGTTTTCACTGTTGGGTTAAAATGCTCAAATAACTCACATTATTATGAGTAACGGTTTAGCAGAACTAAGTATGGCATTAATCTGGTAGGTTTTGGATTAGATTTGAATAGTTTGTCTGATAATGTGGATGAATGGATGGTGCCTTTTGAGAGTGTCCCACGTTTCCGCATGAACTGTCCCAGCCTCAGCTCAGGCCATGATGGAGGTGGGCGTCACACGGTCACACGTGTTTATCTGCTCCCGTCCCAACACGTGAGAGTTCTCTGCATGGCACCCTGATGGCACCCTCATGGCACCCTGATGGCACCCTGATGGCACCCTGCAGCTGCATGGCATTCACTGTTTACATGTTAACAATTTATAACGATGAAATTGATTTTGGTCACATGATATTTAGACTTTACTTTGTCATTTCATATTCTCAAGCGTTAAATAAAATCTCAAATTATTAATATATGGCGATAGTTTAACTCCTTATCCTGCCACCAACGTTTTTTTTCTTAAATTAGAAAATAACTGGCTGCAAACACAGCCTTGTGAACGATGTGATTAATTCACGGGCAGTACCTTTATCGTAAGAAGCAGAAAACGGCGAGTGATGTCTTATTGTTATAATTGTTATTATTTTTGTTATTATTTTTGTACCTTACTTTTGGAGGCGTTCATGTTTGTTCGGGTGGCACGGTGGCTGAGTGGATAGCACTCTCGCCTCTCAGCAAGAAGGTCCTGGGTTCGAATCCCGGCCGGACCAGGGCCTTTCTGAGTGGAGTTTGCATGTTCTCCCCGTGTCTGCGTAGGTTTCCTCCGGGTACTCCGGTTTCCCCTACCACTAAAAATATGTACAATAGTTCTAGCATGCGCCTCCTGTACTGGCCCCGCTCCCATCTCTGTGTGGAGTGAGAGACAAATGGCCAAAAATTAACAATTGTAAACCGCTTTGAGACTCAGATCTGCAGTGAAAAGGCGGTATATAAATAAAGCTTACTTACTTACTTACTGTGGATGGATCTGTTCTGTGTTTGAACATGGTTAAAATCTCAAAAGTAAATTTGTTGGACTTGTGATCATAAATTACTGGTACTTATAAAATCTCTAAAGATAAATTTACTAAAGCACAACATTTACTGGATAGATGTCATCCGTTTTCTTCCGCTTTATCCGTCGCCGCTTCACGGGGGCAGCTGTCTGAGGAGAGACACCAAGGCTTCCCTTTCCACGCACACTTCCTCCACAGTCCGTCCACAGTGTCCCTGGTCTCCTCTCTGGTCTCCTCTCTGGTCTCCTCTCTGGTCTCCTCTCTGGTCTCCTCTCTGGTCTCCTCTCTGGTCTCCTCTCTGGTCTCCTCTCTGGTCTCCTCTCTGGTCTCCTCTCTGGTCTCCTCTCTGGTCTCCTCCCTGGTCTCCTCCCTGGTCTCCTCCCTGGTCTCCTCCCTGGGGTCAACTCCCTGGGGTCTCCTCCCTGGTCTCCTTCCTGGGGTCTCTTCCCTGGTCTCCTCCCCTGGGGTCCCCGTCCCTGGTCTCCTCCTGGTCTCCTCCCTGGTCTCCTCCCTGGGGTCTCCTCCCTGGTCTCCTCCCCTGGGGTCCGTCCCTGGTCTCCTCCCTGGTCTCCTCCCTGGGGTCTCCTCCCTGGGGTCTCCTCCCTGGTCTCCTCCCTGGGGTCTCTTCCCTGGGGTCTCTTCCCTGGGGTCTCCTCCCTGGTCTCTTCCCTAGTCTCCTCCCTGGGGTCTCCTCCCTGGTCTCCTCCCCTGGGGTCCGTCCCTGGTCTCCTCCCTGGTCTCCTCCCTGGGGTCCCTCCCTGGTCTCCTCCCTGGTCTCCTCCCTGGTCTCCTCCCTGGTCTCCTCCCTGGTCTCCTCCCTGGTCTCCTCCCTGGGGTCTCCTCCCTGGTCTCCTCCCTGGGGTCTCCTCCCTGGTCTCCTCCCTGGTCTCCTCCCTGGGGTCTCCTCCCTGGTCTCCTCCCTGGTCTCCTCCCTGGTCTCCTCCCTGGTCTCCTCTCTGGTCTCCTCTCTGGTCTCCTCTCTGGTCTCCTCTTGGTCTGGTCTCCTCCTCTGGTCTCCTCTCTGGTCTCCTCCCTGGGTCTCCTCCCTGGTCTCCTCCCTGGGGTCTCCTCCCTGGGGTCTCCCTCCCTGGTCTCCTTCCTGGGGTCTCTTCCCTGGTCTCCTCCCCTGGGGTCCGTCCCTGGTCTCCTCCCTGGTCTCCTCCCTGGTCTCCTCCCTGGTCTCCTCCCTGGGGTCTCCTCCCCTGGTCTCCTCCCCTGGGGTCCGTCCCTGGTCTCCTCCCTGGTCTCCTCCCTGGGGTCTCCTCCCTGGGGTCTCCTCCCTGGTCTCCTCCCTGGGGTCTCTTCCCTGGGTGGGGTCTCCTCCCTGGTCTCTTCCCTAGTCTCCTCCCTGGGGTCTCCTCCCTGGTCTCCTCCCCTGGGGTCCGTCCCTGGTCTCCTCCCTGGTCTCCTCCCTGGGGTCCCTCCCTGGTCTCCTCCCCTGGTCTCCTCCCTGGTCTCCTCCCTGGGGTCTCCTCCCTGGTCTCCTCCCTGGGGTCTCCTCCCTGGTCTCCTCCCTGGTCTCCTCCCTGGGGTCTCCTCCCTGGTCTCCTCCCTGGTCTCCTCCCTGGTCTCCTCCCTGGTCTCCTCCCTGGGGTCCCTCCCTGGTCTCCTCCCTGGTCTCCTCCCTGGGGTCTCCTCCCTGGTCTCCTCCCTGGTCTCCTCCCTGGGGTCTCCTCCCTGGTCTCCTCCCCTGGGGTCCGTCCCTGATCTTCTCCCTGGTCTCCTCCCTGGGGTCCCTCCCTGGTCTCCTCCCTGGTCTCCTCCCTGGTCTCCTCCCTGGTCTCCTCCCTGGTCTCCTCCCTGGTCTCCTCCCTGGTCTCCTCCCTGGTCTCCTCCCTGGTCTCTTCCCTGGGGTCTCCTCCCTGGTCTCCTCCCCTGGGGTCCGTCCCTGGTCTCCTCCCTGGTCTCCTCCCTGGGGTCCCTCCCTGGTCTCCTCCCTGGTCTCCTCCCTGGTCTCCTCCCTGGGTCTCCTCCCTGGTCTCCTCCCTGGGGTCCCTCCCTGGGGTCCCTCCCTGGTCTCCTCCCTGGGGTCTCCTCCCTGGTCTCCTCCCTGGGGTCTCCTCCCTGGGGTCTCCTCCCTGGGGTCTCCTCCCTGGTCTCCTCCCTGGGGTCTCCTCCCTGGTCTCCTCCCTGGTCTCCTCCCTGGTCTCCTCCCTGGTCTCCTCCCTGGTCTCTTCCCTGGGGTCTCCTCCCTGGGGTCTCCTCCCTGGGGTCTCCTCCCTGGTCTCCTCCCTGGTCTCCTCCCTGGGGTCTCCTCCCTGGGGTCTCCTCCCTGGTCTCTCCTCCCTGGGGTCTCCTCCCTGGTCTCCTCCCTGGTCTCCTCCCTGGGGTCTCCTCCCTGGTCTCCTCCCTGGTCTCCTCCCAGTGGGACATGCCCGGAGCACCTCCCCAGAGAGGCGTCCAGGAGGCCTGAAACAGGTTCCAGAGTTTCTTCTACTGGTTCCTCTTGATATGGAGATGCAGCGGCTCTACACAAAGCTCCCCCCATGTGACTGAGTGAGCTTTTTTTGGTCATTACCCAAAGCTTAGGTGAGGGAGGGAGCATAAAGATACAGCTCTGACTACATCACTGCACTCTCTGCTCCGATCCACCTGTCAATCACCTCCTCCATCCTTCATCACTCCTGAACATATTCTACAGTGTATGTTTAAAGGGCCCTAATCTGTCATCGTTAAAGGGCCCTAATCTGTCATCGTTAAAGGGCCCTAATCTGTCATCATTAAAGGGCCCTAATCTGTCATCATTAAAGGGCCCTAATCTGTCATTATTAAAGGGCCCTAATCTGTCATCATTAAAGGGCCCTAATCTGTCATCATTAAAGGGCCCTAATCTGTCATCGTTAAAGGGCCCTAATCTGTCATTGTTAAAGGGGCCTAATCTGTCATCATTAAAGGGCCCTAATCTGTCATCATTAAAGGGCCCTAATCTGTCATAATAATAAACTGCTCTTTTCCAATCCTTCTTTAACTGATAACAGTCGTTCAGAGATATTTGAATTTCTAAATTACTTTTCCAGCCTCTAAATCTTGTTATTGTTTTCATTTTGATGTCCCGCCCTCCACCGTTTCACCAATCAGAAAGTCTGTGATCCGGGCGCCAGACCTCACCATGTGGAGCTAATCTCACTGGTAAAGTACCATGTGGCCCAGAACTAAAAAAGGTCTCGTTATGATTCTCAAATCATTAACGACAAAACAAGGAATAAAACCAGGATTTCTATCTTTGTGAAAAAGGTGTTGGTTATAGATTTGTTGTTGACAAAACTCTTGTCTATTCAGCTGTTATGGTCCCAGCTGGATTCGTCTGCATATCTGGCAACCTGAGTCAGGGAGAGTGGGAGAGGCTGCAGTACCACTTTTGGCCACATGTTTACACACTGCTCCTTGAGTTTGGGTTTGTGTCATGGATCTTTGCAGCATGGAGCTTTGCCTGAGCTTGTCTCTGGAACGTGGCGAGGTTGGATGCACATAGACTGTCTAAAAGGGATCAGAACAGCCCCTAACGTCACATAGACTGTCTAAAAGGGATCAGAACAGCCCCTAACGTCACATAGACTGTCTAAAAGGGATCAGAACAGCCCCTAACGTCACATAGACTGTCTAAAAGGGATCAGAACAGCCCCTAACGTCACATAGACTGTCTAAAAGGGATCAGAACAGCCCCTAACGTCACATAGACTGTCTAAAAGGGATCAGAACAGCCCCTAACGTCACATAGACTGTCTAAAAGGGATCAGAACAGCCCCTAACGTCACATAGACTGTCTAAAAGGGATCAGAACAGCCCCTAACGTCACCCCTTTTACACAGTCTCTGTTTGAAGGAGAGAATGCAGCTGTGAGCGGGTGGAGACGTGTGTCCTGTGTGTGTTTCAGGTGGAGCTCCCTGCTGTGTGCCCACCTCATGGACGCCATCGGAGACGGGCCCCGGGGCCTGAGCTCGGTGAGAGTAGTGGCTCTGGCAGCAGGTCTGTCTGTGGGGGCCACCGTGGGGTACCTGCTGTATCGCCGAATCAGCAGCAGCAGTGAGTAACGAGGGTAGTGCCACAGAACGTGATTTTGGCTCTAAGTGTGTGTGTGTATGTGTGTGTGTGTGTGTGTGTGTGTGTGTGTGTGTGTTTTGGCGCAGATGAAGCAGCAGCAGACGTCCAAGTGTCAAAGCTGGTTCTGCCGGTCCAGTCGTACAGAAACATCTCAAAATACCAGGCCACTTTTTTAGACGTGGTGAGTAGGACTTAATGATACTAAAAACTTGCAGCAAATATGGTGGCTGAGTGGTTCGAATCCCGGTCGGAACAGGGCCTTTCTGAGTAGAGTTTGCATGTTCTCCCCGTGTCTGGGTAGGTTTCCTCCAGGTGCTCCGGTTTCCTCTACCACTAAAAACATGTACAGTAGGTCTGTGCCTCCTGTACTGGCCCCTCCCATCTCTGTGTGGAGTGACAGACTAATGCCCACAAGTGTAAACTGCTCTGGTCTGAGAAAGGCGCTATATAAAAACCATTTCTTACTTAAATTGAGTCTTTTATGAACAAACCATAACATTAGCCATATTTATCCTACCTGTTCGGTTTTATATACCACATTTTGGCGTTATTCATTCACTCCATACTAAACTACTACTGTCGCCACAGCTGCCCTGAGGCACACCGACAGAAGCAAGGTTATCAGATGCCTAAATAAACTCATACACAGAAATTCAGTAAGTAAGTAATGTTTATTTATATAGCGCATTTCACAGACCAAGGTACAGACCCAAAGCTCTTTCCAAAGTTCAGAGTCAGATATTGTTCCAATCCTTCCACACACGGTGATGACAGAAGCGAGTCCAGAACACACTGGACCATCAAAGCCTCTGACCCAACACCAGAATGGTAGGGGAAACCGGAGCACCTGGAGGAAACCTACGCAGACACGGGGAGAACATGCAAACTCCACTCAGAAAGGCCCTGTTGCGACCAGGATTCAAACCCAGGACCTTCTTGCTGATTAACTCTCTAAAGTCACACACACAGCATCCAAAATGAGTCTCCCCACCACAGACCTCTCACACAGTACGGGCGGCTCGGTGGCTGAGTAGATAGCACTCTCACCTCCCAGCAAGAAGGTCCTGGGTTCAAATCCCGGTCGGACCAGGGCCTTTCTGAGTGGAGTTTGCATGTTCTCCCCGTGTCTGTGTAGGTTTCCTCCGGGTACTCCGGTTTCCCCTACCACTAAAAATATGTACAATAGTTCTAGCATGCGCCTCCTGTACTGGCCCCACTCCCATCTCTGTGTGGAGTGAGAGACAAGTGCCCAAAAATTAACAATTGTAAACCGCTTTGTGACTCTGGTCTGCAGTGAAAAGGCGGTATATAAATAAAGATTACTACTTACTGCTACTTGCCACCATGTCCCGGACGTTAGCACAGACTCAGCCCATCTCCACACCCACAGTAAAGGTCTATGTATCATCAGGTCACTCAGAAGTCTGGGGCCCACGTCAGAGTTCTGTCGGACGCCTCTTCCTCGGACTCCAAGAGCGAGGTGTGTTTCCTGCTGCAGGGGTCTGAAGAGCAGGTGCTGTTGGCCCGCTGTGTGCTGGAGAGCCTGGTCACAGACTGCGAGCCCGTCTCTGAGACCATGGAAGTCCCACTGACGGCCTTTGGGAGGATTATTGGTGAGTTTGGCGTTAAAATGTGTACATGGATATTAGACGTTTAAAGACCTTATGCCGGGTTTTAAAAAAAAAAATTGTGGATATCAAAATTGCATGACAATGTCAATCTGAAAGAGATTCCGGCAAAAAAAATCCTATATTTTATTAAAAGAACGTGTTTTTCATGAATTTAAGCTGTCTATGCTCTAACCTGTGTGTGACGTCACAGCGGGTAACGCCCATGCATTGAAAACCATGGATCTATGCCACAGGACTGCCATTTCTCTCTTCTCTCCACTGATGCCCAACACAATACTGCCCTCTACAGGTGACAATTGCTCACTACACATAAATGGCCGTTTTGAGAGTGACAAAGTGTCTGAGGTGGGATTTGAACCCCAGTATCTGGATTGGCAGTCCATCGACATCACCACTGGGCTATCTCAGTGACAACAAAGAGTTATAATCTAGTATTTATGTCAGACTCGCTGTACACGGCCTTGTCATGTTGAATATCCACGAAAAAAGAACGAATACCAAATTGTAAACAACTTACAGCGTTGAAACGTACCCACTCTGACGTCACCAAGGGCTGTGAAGTTTTTTCGTCTCTAAGGGCGTTGCTATGGGGTTATTTCGATTTGGGGGCATCAGACAAAAAAAACAACAACTGATTTTGAAACCTTTAATAGTTCTCTTCTAATATAAAATGGTATTAAATCTGTATTTCTAAATAAATCAAACCCGGCATAAGGTCTTTAAGGAGGAACTTTCCATTACTATCACGGTGAAAGAGGATGTGAAGTTACCATAGAAACTGGATTCTACTAGGCTTGGCACATTTTGGTTCTGTTTTTATTTTGTTTTATTTGTATTGTACGGTCTTATGTTCTCTTTAAAGGAAAAAATATAAACAAAAATAATAATAATTACCATAGAATTATATTTATCCAATAGTTAGTTATCAAACCGTATTAAAGCATTAATACAATGATTTCAGTTGTGCTTTGATTTGGCTGAGTGGTTAGCCCTCTCACTTCTCAGCAAGAAGGTCCGGGGTTCGAATCCCAGTCGGAGCAGGGCCTTTCTGAGTGAAGTTTGCATGTTCTCCCCACAATAGGTCTGAACGTAATGAGTGGGTGTTTGGTCGGAGGGTTTGTTGGACCAGTGTGTTCGGAGTCACGCGTCCGTCATCGCCGTGTGTGAAGTGAATGGAAAAATATCTGCAGCGCTAAATAAACAGTTACATACTTATTGTTTTTAGGGCGTGGGGGAGAGAGCATAAAGCAGATCACCAGAGCCACAGGAGCTAAAGTGGTCTGCTCCAAAGAAAAGGCTCAGGGTCCAGGAGCTAAAGGCGGCGTCGTCATCACCGGGAACAGGCAGGAGGTGCAGCAGGCCAAGGTCTGTGGCTGCTCTACTAAACTATGAATGAATGAACGTTTTTATTTGGACATTTGACATGAGAAAAAACAGAACAAAAGCAATGTAATTATGCATTGATTAAGCAAAATAAATAAACAATCGATGTCCAAAATAACCCCTATTTTGGACATCGATTGTTTATTATGAAGAAGTTAGAAAAAATGTGTGTAATCCTTTCTTAACCCTTTAAGCGCCAAAGTCGCAATATTGCGACAAGCAACATTGCTCACTTAAACAGGCTGTATGTAAAAATGTGGTGCAGAATCTTGTTCATACTTTTCACCAGGGGTTAGTGGACATGTGTGCCTGTAATATGAGCAGCATTTGTGGGTGTGGTTATATTGAAAGTTTTTGAGTAAATTGAGTTCGTAAAACACCTGCGGCGCAGCGGCGCGGAGGCGAAGCAGCAGCGGTAGAGCTGAGAGGAGCAAGAGCAGAGCAGAGGGAGAGAGGGTTTTTATTTTACTCACGAGGTCTTCAGTACCAGAGAAGTATCTGGTCTGGTACTGGCTCACTCAGATTCAGAGGAGGAAGACACGCAGGTGTCCAGTGAAGCAGACACGGACATTATTGGTGACGGGGAGACAGCGCTCCATAGTCCACTATCAGCCCCAGTACAGCGGCTGCTTGTCCTCCGTGTGGCCGCGGTAGAAGCATTCTGTGAACGCCAAGCAGGATCCGTGGTGGAGGGGACAGGGTGATCATAACACCGGGCATGTGGGAGAAAGTAGCGGGGGTAGACATCCACGGGGAACACGGGAGACGCGGGAGAAGTCGCGGGGGAGCCGCGGGGGAGCCGCGGGAAAAAAACACATCGCTTTTTGCGTTCACTGCCTTTACCAATAGTGATGATGAGGATCAAGGCAGTTCTTGAGAGAAAATAATCCACAAAAGTGGATCAGAAGTGTTGAAGAGCCTGTTGTTTCTTGTTGAGACGATCTGACATGTTCTGAGCCCATTCATTTCATCTCTCTGTTTCTAAACCATAAATCCAGGAGCCTCATTTCCACCGAGAAAAATAGTAAGCCCACCACTTCTTTGAAAGGGAAATATTGAAACCAAACTCCAGATTTCATGACTGTAAACTATAAAGAGAGCTGTCTTGATCACTGAAGGTCTTTGAAAATAATACAATTCCATATGGCTGCGAACCAGTGCTAAAACATTATCTATAATCTGGATCAGGGAATTTATTTCTATCCCAAATTCATTTCATACTAAAGATAATTCACACTGACTGTTTGTAGTATTCCCTGATCTAAAAAAAACTCCCAAGCTACAGCTTTTTGAAGTTTTCATACAATAATTAACATTTTCCAAAATGGCCGCCACCTTGATGACGTCACTATATGCAAATTAGATGACGAATCAACTTCCATCCCAAAGTTTGGTTCAAACTGAAGATATTTCTAATTTACAGTATGCCTTTATCTCAAACCATTTTAAAGTTATAGCCTTTTGAAATCTTGAAATCAAAATTGTATATTTTCTTGAAAAAACTCTGGCGCCTAAAGGGTTAAAACTCTGATTGTATAAAATAAATATCTTGCTGTACCATTTGCAGCCGAGCGCTTGGAAGTTTCTTTTTTTTTTAAATAATTTTATTTTTATTGTCATCAGTTTACATTTCAAATAGCAAGGCTCATATACATAAAAAAAAAACGATGCTTAGCCTAACAATCTATCCTTGAACATGTATTCAAATGATAATATTTTTCCTTAATCGTAAAAGAACACAAAATAAAACACAAAAAACATAAATAAAAGTAGCTTAAAAACAGGGCGTATTAACTCTTTCTATGAAATAATTCTTGTTAAGTAAATGCACATCTCTCAATCTAATGACCTCCCCAATTGTTTTTTATACAAAATCTGTCCTATGTTGCCGAACATATTTTAACCATCTACGCTTGGAAGTTTCTAACAAGCTTCACGAACATATTTATCAAAAATCATGACTTTGTATCTGTTTTTAAACTTGAATATTGTTTGACATTTTTTAAGTTCCTCCAATTTATTCAATGTTTTTACTCCACTGACTGTCGCACAAAAGCTTTTTAATATGGTCTGGACCTTTTTAAATGACTAACAATGCAACATGTGCGTCTCTGCTCAGCTTTAATAAGTAGTGTCCTCGTGTGAGTGTGTTTGTGGTTGCATTTTGGGGTTTGCAACTTGTGTGTGTTTTTTAAGACTCTTGTGATGGAGAAAGTGCGGGAAGATTATGTGGTGAGGACAAAGATCTGTCAGTCGTCAGCCCAGCGTCACAAACGGCGCCCCCTGCTGGACAAGAGCGAGGAGACGGAGGCTTCACTGAGACTCAATAACAACAGTGTGGAGAGCGGACCAGAGAGAAGACCCACGGAGCGGAACGAGAAGGAGGACGACCAGAACAGCACCTGCTCCGACTCTCTGTCCTCGGAGTCACTCACACCAATCTCCAAGTTTGAAAGTGAGTTACTGTGTTCTGTAACGCAGGCATGTGCAACCTCAGGCCCGCGAGCCAATTGCGGTCCTCTGTGCCATTTTATGAGGCCCTCTGCTGCTAACACAAAGTCGCCCATTGATGCACTTCGACAGCGTCATCCAACCAACTTCAGCTCCACCAATACAGTCAGGCTGTACCTTGTTGTAAATCTCAGACCCTCTAGAACCCGGGGCGTCGACTTTATTCTCACAACGTTCCAAATAAAATGCAGCTGTGGATGAATTAGATCGTATCATAATCCATTTTAAATTCCAGAATCCAGTCAGTCCAGCTCAAATTCAGGTTTTTTTTATCTAGGTTGTCAGCCCCAGTAAAAGTCTGATGAACTAAAGTGGCCCTCTTGCTAAAAAGTTTGGACACCCTGCTGTAATGTATCCAATTATGAAAGAAAAGCTTAGTTGTGTGGTTTTGATTGGGATTAAAATGAATTCATTAAAGTTGGTCAAACAAGAGTAGGCCCTGGTGCTAGTGCTACCGGAGTTCAGGTTTGTTGGTGTTTTTCAGTCCCCAGTCCAGACCTGAGCTTCCAGCCAGACGAGCACCTGGAGGTTTACGTGTCAGCCTCTGAAAACCCAAACCACTTCTGGATCCAGATCCTGGGAGTGCGCTCTCTACAACTGGATAAACTTGTTGAGGAGATGAACCGCTACTACAGCAATGGGAATCCATCGGTAAGACGATCATACTCATTAAATGTTAGCCTGGCCTTATCCATCCGTACTTTCCGCTCAGTTATCATTTCTCTGCATGTAACGTCTGGGTCTGGCCCAGTGTGGGCGGGTCCCAGCTCAAAAGTGGCCAAAATGACGTGCGCTGACATGCTGCAATACCACCCCGGGCCTGTGGGGGTGGACCCAGAAGAAGAATTAGCCAATGCTAACATATAGCATTGGCAGACCTCTCAAAAACGTCTTTACAGGATGGACCAAAAGTTGGCTCTTGGCCCAAAGCTTCGTTCCACATGTGTGTCAATGCTGAGGGGGGTGTTTTGGACCAGTCTAGTTTAGTCGCTGTGAATTTTTGAAGTCTCTCGTTCAAATGAATGGAGCTCTCTCCGGCTGACACATGCGCAGATGCATTTTTTCACAATTTTCTTGTGGGCGGGACCACTCGCGGCCATTTTGGATTGCTCCGGTAGAGCAAATTTTTTGGCCCATTAGTTAGAACGGCGGAGATAGGCGTGACTCTGTCCGTTAAGCGAGCGTGGGAGGGGTAGTAGTTAGTCGTGGGTGACGTCAAGAGTTTGTGCTGAATTTGCAGGTTGTAGTTTGGTGAAGAATGTGATAGTAAAGTATTCTGGTCTGGTTCTATCAAGAAACTGAAGCCGGAGCAAGAGGAATGTTTAGCAAATTTAATCTGGAAAAAATTGTGGCGCTACTCCGCACGGGCTCCGTTTGCGACAAAGGAGATCGCTAAAGCTAGGCTAAATGCTAAATGCTAACGACTCACTCGGGTGCATTACATACGTCACGGTAAACTCATATACAATCGTTTCAATCTGCAAAAGGAGTTAACCCCTCCCACCTGTTAACGGAGTCAATGTAGCAAATCCAGACCTTAGTATGAAGTGAAATGTGTTCTATGGTGTGGTACGACCAGGCTAATTAAATGCGTGTTCTTGTTGAAATCCATAAGTCTGTTATCGCTCATGTGCAGGAGCAGCAGGTGGAGAGTGTCGTGGTCGGGGACATAGTGGCGGCTCCTTATCGGGACCACGGCACCTGGAACAGAGCCAGGGTTCTCGGGGTTCTACCGTCTGGACTTGTGGATCTGTACTATGTGGACTTTGGAGACAATGGAGAGCTGCCACAAGACAGCCTGCGTCACATGAGGTTTCATAAGATATATTCTAATCTGTCATGTGGATATGAGGCTATGAAGAATATAAATCTGAGTGGCATTATTATTTTATATCTGTAATCCATAAAGTCCATCTTATCTTGTCTCAGGAGTGACTTCCTCAGCTTACCTTTCCAAGCCATCGAGTGTAACTTGGCCTGTGTGAACCCAAAAGGTCTGTATTTTATGACGATGATCCCTGGTTTTCCAACGACACAGAGCTCTTCACAGCTGCGTGTTTGTGTTCAGGCGACTCCTGGTCCGAAGAGGCCCTGGATGACTTCGATCGGCTGACACACTGTGCTCTGTGGCGCCCCCTGCAGGCCAAAGTGTGCAGCTACTCCCACTCTGAGGTCTCATCATGGCCCAGTGTCAAGCTTTACGACTGCTCCGAGGGAAAGGTCAACTCCACTCACTCCTTCAACCACATCTCATGCCGTGTGCTTTGCTAATACAGGTATTATTGTTATTACTCTTTGCAGACTGTAGATATTGGGGAAGAGCTTGTTCGTTTGGGTCATGGAACTAGTTTTAATGAAATGAACGGGAAGATTCAGGGCGACAATTTGGACTGTCTGCAAAAAATGCTGGTTAGTGTCCATTACACAACTCCTGAAATAATGAATTGTTCTTTTGCAAAAACAGATAAGTATAATTAGAAAAATATATGAATCACTTACACTTCATTCTTTTACCGAGAAGTTTTTGGAAAAGTCTGATCTATTTTATTGCTATACATTTCCTCTTCTTGACCAAATCCTTTCAAATATTTTGCTAATAACAAAACAGGTTGAAGATTGTAGCTAGACAAACACATTTATTTAACAAATTCTCAAAATGGAGATATCTGTTTTTGCAATTGAACAAATGTTTATTACTGAGTCTTCACAACAGCTTGAGTTTCTCCTTTACCCCTCGCAGAACGATGTGGTCGGGGCGTCATCGGAGCTGAGTCTCTCCTGCATCAGTTTATCAGGTAGGTCCACCTCAAAACCTACTCTCTGGTCTTGTCTCATGGACCTAATCTCTGGTCTTGTCTCATGGACCTAATCTCTGGTCTTGTCTCATGGACCTAATCTCTGGTCTTGTCTCATGGACCTAATCTCTGGTCTTGTTCTCATGGACCTAATCTCTGGTCTTGTCTCATGGACCTAATCTCTGGTCTTGTTCTCATGGACCTAATCTCTGGTCTTGTCTCATGGACCTAATCTCTGGTCTTGTTCTCATGGACCTAATCTCTGGTCTTGTTCTCATGGACCTAATCTCTGGTCTTGTCTCATGGACCTAATCTCTGGTCTTGTCTCATGGACCTAATCTCTGGTCTTGTCTCATGGACCTAATCTCTGGTCTTGTCTCATGGACCTAATCTCTGGTCTTGTCTCATGGACCTAATCTCTGGTCTTGTTCTCATGGACCTAATCTCTGGTCTTGTCTCATGGACCTAATCTCTGGTCTTGTCTCATGGACCTAATCTCTGGTCTTGTCTCATGGACCTAGTCTCTGGTCTTGTCTCATGGACCTAATCTCTGGTCTTGTCTCATGGACCTAATCTCTGGTCTTGTTCTCATGGACCTAATTTCTGGTCTTGTTCTCATGGACCTAGTCTCTGGTCTTGTCTCATGGACCTAATCTCTGGTCTTGTCTCATGGACCTAATCTCTGGTCTTGTTCTCATGGACCTAATCTCTGGTCTTGTCTCATGGACCTAATCTCTGGTCTTGTTCTCATGGACCTAATCTCTGGTCTTGTCTCATGGACCTAATCTCTGGTCTTGTCTCATGGACCTAATCTCTGGTCTTGTTCTCATGGACCTAATCTCTGGTCTTGTTCTCATGGACCTAATCTCTGGTCTTGTCTCATGGACCTAATCTCTGGTTTTGTCTCATGGACCTAATCTCTAGTCTGGTCTCATGGATCTACTCTCTGGTCTTGTCTCATGGACCTAATCTCTGGTCTTGTCTCATGGATCTAATCTCTGGTTTTGTCTCATGGACCTAATCTCTGGTCTTGTCTCATGGACCTAATCTCTGGTCTTATCTCATGGACCTAATCTCTGGTCTTGTCTCATGGATCTAATCTCTGGTTTTGTCTCATGGACCTAATCTCTGGTCTTGTCTCATGGACCTAATCTCTGGTCTTGTCTCATGGACCTAATCTCTGGTCTTGTCTCATGGACCTTATCTCTGGTCTTGTCTCATGGACCTAATCTCTGGTCTTGTCTCATGGACCTAGTCTCTGGTCTTGGTTTATGGACCTAATCTCTGGTCTTGTCTCATGGACCTAATCTCTGGTCTTGTTCTCATGGACCTAATCTCTGGTCTTGTCTCATGGACCTAATCTCTGGTCTTGTCTCATGGACCTAATCTCTGGTCTTGTCTCATGGACCTAATCTCTGGTCTTGTCTCATGGACCTAATCTCTGGTCTTGTCTCATGGACCTAATCTCTGGTCTTGTCTCATGGACCTAATCTCTGGTCTTGTCTCATGGACCTAATCTCTGGTCTTGTCTCATGGACCTAATCTCTGGTCTTGTTCTCATGGACCTAATTTCTGGTCTTGTCTCACGGACCTAATCTCTGGTCTTGTTCTCATGGACCTAATCTCTGGTCTTGTCTCATGGACCTAATCTCTGGGCTTGTTCTCATGGACCTAATCTCTGGTCTTGTCTCATGGACCTACTCTCTGGTCTTGTTCTCATGGACCTAATCTCTGGTCTTGTCTCATGGACCTAATCTCTGGTCTTGTCTCATGGACCTAATCTCTGGTCTTGTTCTCATGGACCTAATCTCTGGTCTTGTCTCATGGACCTAATTTCTGGTCTTGTCTCATGGACCTAGTCTCTGGTCTTGTTCTCATGGACCTAATCTCTGGTCTTGTCTCATGGACCTAATCTCTGGTCCTGTCTCATGGACCTAATCTCTGGTCTTGTTCTCATGGACCTAATTTCTGGTCTTGTCTCATGGACCTAGTCTCTGGTCTTGTTCTCATGGACCTAATCTCTGGTCTTGTTCTCATGGACCTAATCTCTGGTCTTGTTCTCATGGACCTAATCTCTGGTCTTGTTCTCATGGACCTAATCTCTGGTCTTGTCTCATGGACCTAATCTCTGGTCTTGTCTCATGGACCTAATCTCTGGTCTTGTTCTCATGGACCTAATCTCTGGTCTTGTCTCATGGACCTAATCTCTGGTCTTGTCTCATGGACCTAATCTCTGGTCTTGTCTCATGGACCTAATCTCTGGTCTTGTTCTCATGGACCTAATCTCTGGTCTTGTTCTCATGGACCTAATCTCTGGTCTTGTTCTCATGGACCTAGTCTCTGGTCTTGTTCTCATGGACCTAGTCTCTGGTCTTGTTCTCATGGACCTAATCTCTGGTCTTGTCTCATGGACCTAATCTCTGGTCTTGTCTCATGGACCTAATCTCTGGTCTTGTCTCATGGACCTAATCTCTGGTCTTGTCTCATGGACCTAATCTCTGGTCTTGTCTCATGGACCTAATCTCTGGTCTTGTCTCATGGACCTAATCTCTGGTCTTGTCTCATGGACCTAATCTCTGGTCTTGTTCTCATGGACATAATCTCTGGTCTTGTTCTCATGGACCTAGTCTCTGGTCTTGTTCTCATGGACCTAATCTCTGGTCTTGTCTCATGGACCTAATCTCTGGTCTTGTTCTCATGGACCTAATCTCTGGTCTTGTCTCATGGACCTAATCTCTGGTCTTGTCTCATGGACCTAATCTCTGGTCTTGTCTCATGGACCTAATCTCTGGTCTTGTCTCATGGACCTAATCTCTGGTCTTGTCTCATGGACCTAGTCTCTGGTCTTGTTCTCATGGACCTAATCTCTGGTCTTGTTCTCATGGACCTAATCTCTGGTCTTGTCTCATGGACCTAATCTCTGGTCTTGTCTCATGGACCTAATCTCTGGTCTTGTCTCATGGACCTAATCTCTGGTCTTGTCTCATGGACCTAATCTCTGGTCTTCTCTCATGGACCTAATCTCTGGTCTTGTCTCATGGATCTACTCTCTGGTCTTGGCTTATGGATCTACTCTCTGGTCTTGGTTTATGGACCTAGTCTCTGGTCTTGTTCTCATGGACCTAATCTCTGGTCTTGTTCTCATGGACCTAATCTCTGGTCTTGTTCTCATGGACCTAATCTCTGGTCTTGTCTCATGGACCTAATCTCTGGTCTTGTCTCATGGACCTAATCTCTGGTCTTGTCTCATGGACCTAATCTCTGGTCTTGTCTCATGGACCTAGTCTCTGGTCTTGTTCTCATGGACCTAATCTCTGGTCTTGTTCTCATGGACCTAATCTCTGGTCTTGTCTCATGGACCTAATCTCTGGTCTTGTCTCATGGACCTAATCTCTGGTCTTGTCTCATGGACCTAATCTCTGGTATTGTTCTCATGGACCTAATCTCTGGTCTTGTCTCATGGACCTAATCTCTGGTCTTGTCTCATGGACCTAATCTCTGGTCTTGTCTCATGGACCTAGTCTCTGGTCTTGTTCTCATGGACCTAATCTCTGGTCTTGTTCTCATGGACCTAATCTCTGGTCTTGTCTCATGGACCTAATCTCTGGTCTTGTCTCATGGACCTAATCTCTGGTCTTGTCTCATGGACCTAATCTCTGGTCTTGTCTCATGGACCTAATCTCTGGTCTTGTCTCATGGACCTAATCTCTGGTCTTCTCTCATGGACCTAATCTCTGGTCTTGTCTCATGGATCTACTCTCTGGTCTTGGCTTATGGATCTACTCTCTGGTCTTGGTTTATGGACCTAATCTCTGGTCTTGTCTCATGGACCTAGTCTCTGGTCTTGTCTCATGGACCTAGTCTCTGGTCTTGTTCTCATGGACCTAATCTCTGGTCTTGTTCTCATGGACCTAATCTCTGGTCTTGTTCTCATGGACCTAATCTCTGGTCTTGTCTCATGGACCTAATCTCTGGTCTTGTCTCATGGACCTAATCTCTGGTCTTGTCTCATGGACCTAATCTCTGGTCTTGTCTCATGGACCTAATCTCTGGTCTTGTCTCATGGACCTAATCTCTGGTCTTGTCTCATGGACCTAATCTCTGGTCTTGTCTCATGGACCTAATCTCTGGTCTTGTCTCATGGACCTAATCTCTGGTCTTGTCTCATGGACCTAATCTCTGGTCTTGTCTCATGTGTAAATCCCGTCTTTTTCCCCTCCCAAGTATAACCTGTTTTTTTGTCTTCAGAAGTTCCATCAATTTCAGGAAGTGTTGAAGATGTGAACGAGCTTCTTTAGGCGCAGCTGAAGGTAATGACAATGTACTCTTCACATATGATGAAGGAACAAGGGCAGTTCAGAGGGACTTACACAGAAGGGAAGGGTAGGACTCGAAAGGAAGCAACCGGTGTTGGGCGGGTCCATAAACACATATGCTGACAGGCTGCAATACCACCCCGGGCCTGTGGGGGTGGACCCAGAAAGAGAATTATTCAATGCTTTTGTATGGCGTCTTCTTTCCCCTCACAAACGGCTTTACAGGATGGTCCAAAAGTGGTTCTTGGTCCTAAAGTGGGTCATGGTCCTAAAGTGGCTCTTGATCCAAAAGTGGTTCGTGGTCCAAAAGTGGCTCTTGGTCCAAAAGTGGTTCTTGGTCCAAAAGTGGCTCTTGGTCCAAAAGTGGTTCGTGGTCCTAAAGTGGCTCTTGGTCCAAAAGTGGTTCGTGGTCCAAAAGTGGCTCTTGGTCCAAAAGTGGTTCTTGGTCCAAAAGTGGCTCTTGGTCCAAAAGTAGGTCTTGGTCCAAAAGTGGCTCTTGGTCCAAAAGTGGCTCTTGGTCCAAAACTTGCTCTTGGTCCAAAAGTGGCTCTTGGTCCAAAAGTAGGTCTTGGTCCAAAAGTGGTTCTTGGTCCAAAAGTGGCTCTTGGTCCAAAAGTGGCTCTTGGTCCAAAAGTGGTTCTTGGTCCAAAAGTAGGTCTTGGTCCAAAAGTGGTTCTTGGTCCAAAAGTGGCTCTTGGTCCAAAAGTGGCTCTTGGTCCAAAAGTAGGTCTTGGTCCAAAAGTGGCTCTTGGTCCAAAACTTGCTCTTGGTCCAAAAGTGGCTCCTGGTCCAAAAGTGTTTCTTGGTCCAAATGTGGTTCTTGGTCCAAAAGTGGCTCTTGGTCCAAAACTTGCTCTTGGTCCAAAAGTGGCTCTCGGTCCTATAGTGGCTCTTGGTCCAAAAGTGGCTCTTGGTCCAAAAGTGGCTCTTGGTCCAAAAGTGTTTCTTGGTCCAAATGTGGCTCTTGGTCCAAAACTTGCTCTTGGTCCAAAAGTGGCTCTTGGTCCAAAAGTGGTTCTTGGTCCAAAAGTGGTTCTTGGTCCTATAGTGGCTCTTGGTCCAAAAGTGGCTCTTGGTCCAAAAGTGGTTCTTGGTCCTATAGTGGCTCTTGGTCCAAAAGTGGCTCTTGGTCCAAAAGTGGTTCTTGGTCCTATAGTGGCTCTTGGTCCAAAAGTGGTTCTTGGTCCTATAGTGGCTCTTGGTCCAAAAGTGGCTCTTGGTCCAAAAGTGGTGGTCCTATAGTGGCTCTTGGTCCAAAAGTGGCTCTTGGTCCAAAAGTGGTTCTTGGTCCATAGTGGCTCTTGGTCCAAAAGTGGTTCTTGGTCTATAGGGCTCTTGGTCCAAAAGTGGCTCTTGGTCCAAAAGTGGCTCTTGGTCCAAAAGTGGCTCTTGGTCCTATAGTGGCTCTTGGTCCAAAAGTGGCTCTTGGTCCAAAAGTGGCTCTTGGTCCAAAAGTGGCTCTTGGTCCAAAAGTGTTTCTTGGTCCAAAAGTGGCTCTTGGTCCAAAAGTGGCTCTTGGTCCAAAAGTAGGTCTTGGTCCAAAAGTGGCTCTTGGTCCAAAACTTGCTCTTGGTCCAAAAGTGGCTCCTGGTCCAAAAGTGTTTCTTGGTCCAAATGTGGTTCTTGGTCCAAAAGTGGCTCTTGGTCCAAAACTTGCTCTTGGTCCAAAAGTGGCTCTCGGTCCTATAGTGGCTCTTGGTCCAAAAGTGGCTCTTGGTCCAAAAGTGTTTCTTGGTCCAAATGTGGCTCTTGGTCCAAAACTTGCTCTTGGTCCAAAAGTGGCTCTTGGTCCAAAAGTGGTTCTTGGTCCAAAAGTGGTTCTTGGTCCTATAGTGGCTCTTGGTCCAAAAGTGGCTCTTGGTCCAAAAGTGGTTCTTGGTCCTATAGTGGCTCTTGGTCCAAAAGTGGCTCTTGGTCCAAAAGTGGTTCTTGGTCCTATAGTGGCTCTTGGTCCAAAAGTGGTTCTTGGTCCTATAGTGGCTCTTGGTCCAAAAGTGGCTCTTGGTCCAAAAGTGGCTCTTGGTCCAAAAGTGGCTCTTGGTCCTATAGTGGCTCTTGGTCCAAAAGTGGCTCTTGGTCCAAAAGTGGCTCTTGGTCCAAAAGTGGCTCTTGGTCCAAAAGTGTTTCTTGGTCCAAAAGTGGCTCTTGGTCCAAAAGTGGCTCTTGGTCCAAAAGTAGGTCTTGGTCCAAAAGTGGCTCTTGGTCCAAAACTTGCTCTTGGTCCAAAAGTGGCTCCTGGTCCAAAAGTGTTTCTTGGTCCAAATGTGGTTCTTGGTCCAAAAGTGGCTCTTGGTCCAAAACTTGCTCTTGGTCCAAAAGTGGCTCTCGGTCCTATAGTGGCTCTTGGTCCAAAAGTGGCTCTTGGTCCAAAAGTGGCTCTTGGTCCAAAAGTGTTTCTTGGTCCAAATGTGGCTCTTGGTCCAAAACTTGCTCTTGGTCCAAAAGTGGCTCTTGGTCCAAAAGTGGTTCTTGGTCCTATAGTGGCTCTTGGTCCAAAAGTGGCTCTTGGTCCAAAAGTGGTTCTTGGTCCTATAGTGGCTCTTGGTCCAAAAGTGGTTCTTGGTCCTATAGTGGCTCTTGGTCCAAAAGTGGCTCTTGGTCCAAAAGTGGCTCTTGGTCCTATAGTGGCTCTTGGTCCAAAAGTGGCTCTCGGTCCTATAGTGGCTCTTGGTCCAAAAGTGGCTCTTGGTCCAAAAGTGTTTCTTGGTCCAAAAGTGGCTCTTGGTCCAAAAGTGGTTCTTGGTCCAAAAGTGTTTCTTGGTCCAAAAGTGGCTCTTGGTCCAAAAGTGGTTCTTGGTCCAAAAGTGGTTCTTGGTCCTATAGTGGCTCTTGGTCCAAAAGTGGCTCTTGGTCCAAAAGTTGCTCTTGGTCCAAAAGTGCCTCTTGGTTCAAAAGTGGTTCTTGGTCCAAAAGTGGTTCTTGGTTCTCGTTCTTCGTTCCAGACACTGTCGATGTTGAGGGGAGTATATATTTTGGACCAGTCTAGTTTAGTCGCTGTGGACTTGTGAATGCACTCGTTAAATGAATGGGGCTGTGAAGAGTTTTGTTTGTTGTTTAACTTTCCTGATTGGTCTCAGCTTAACTCAACATTTTGCTCCACAGATTGGATCCAAGAATGTGCGGACTTCCCTAGCCTTATCCGGTCGTCTTTTCCAGCCATGTTTTATTTCAGTCCAGTTTAGTCGAGTACTGTATACATTTGTTATTTATATTTTCAGTTGTTCATTTTGAACCAGTGCAGCTTTTGAGGCAAAGTGTTATGAAGAATGTGCCATTATCAGTATTTTGATGAAGCACTGTGATATTTGTTCATTTGGTGTCAATAGTTTGGAAACGATGCCTAAGTTTTCATTTGCTTGTTTGTGAATATGCAAAGATGTATATTTAATAGGCCGGCTAATGGTCTTCCTAGCATTTTAGAAACAGCATTTTTCATGAATGTTGTACTCTGGATACGTTTAGAAATGTACAGTATATCTATAGCTGGAGAGAAAGATATATGATCAGTTGTTGCACTATATATAATAAAGCATTTATTTTATGTGAAATGTTGAAGTTCTTAAAGCGCTGGTTAGTTCTTCAAATGGTTAACAAATGTATTTTATATACGTGTGAATATGTTAATGTACCTGATGCAAAGATAGCTTTCGAGGACGCAGATAATAACCATTTTTGTTTGACATAAATGTGTTTCAAAGCGGACGCTGACACTGCACTTTGGTTAATGACGATTTAATAACACAGTCTGTGGTGAAGGTCTGCTCCAGAGAACTATAGATCTATAACTTGCTCACGCCTCAACAGGTCATTCATTCATTGACTACATGGGACTGTTGTGGTTCTGCTGCTGATCGACCAATCACAGGAAAGTAGGTTACGTCCACGCATGCGCACACGCTCTCTAATGTGTTGATATCCTGCTCTGAGAAACTCATTTAAGATTTAAGACATTTTACAGCTCTAAAAACAGCCTCCTTTATGGGCTGCAGGTTGTGGTGCGGGGGAAAGGTCGTCTGAATGTTGCCTTTATGAAGGGCTGATGGAAGACACACGGGATTTGGTGAGTGTTTAAAGGAAAAGCAAAGGCCCTGCACAGGATCTGCTTCGGCTAGCGCTGCCCCTTTGTTGTTATCATTTTAAGAAGCCAAGCTAACACCACAGAACTCACAGGGAACACACAGGAACTGCCTCTGTCACTAAGTCTTAAAGGATATATGGATGTGCAGCATTTGTCCACCTTCACTCTGCATCTTTCTGCTGCCATGCATCTGCTTCTGGGAACAAGGAAAACGCGTTTCCGCTAGCATGTGGCTAATGCTAACCGTGGCTATTTTTATATGATCCTGCAGCGCAAATATTTTAAGATTTATTTTTCTGATCAAACCAGTGCAGATGCATTCACACAGTCATGGTCATTTCTATCATGCATCCCATTCACCTGTAAACACTGAAGCCACAGCTGCCCCATCTGCCGCATATTGTTGTCATTTCAGCAGCAGCAGCAGCAGGTAATAGTCTCTTGTCTGGGTTTAAAGGATTATAGGATTTTACCACATTTTAGGGAAGTTGAACAAAATAAAAATAAAACTCTCTGGTCTTATTTGACGAGCTCTTATCACCAGAATAATCTAATGTTTTTAGTGCCATGTAAGTAACAGGAAGTCACAGACTATAGGAAATTGCTTTGGCTCTAGGTGTAAACAGTCAAATGTAGAAAGGCAAGTTTATCTGTATAGCACAATCCATACAAGTGCTGAACATATCGCAAGAGCATTAAAATAAATAAATAACCACAGAACATTAAAAGGAAAGATAAAAATATAAAATCCCTCAGTTGTATGCACAGCTAAACAGAACTGTCTTTAACCTGGTTTTAAACATTGTCAGAGAGGAGGCCTGTCTCACATCTTCAGGAAGACTGTTCCAGATTTTAGCAGCATGAATCTGAAAAGCAGCCTCCCCATGTTTAGTTCTGACTCTGGGCACTAACAGGAGTCCAGTCCCTGTGCTCCTCAGAGTCCCAGCAGGAGTCCGTTGTGCTCCTCAGAGTCCCAGCAGGAGTCCAGTCCCTGTGCTCCTCAAGTCCAGAGATCCAGTCCCTGTGCCAGAGCCGCAGGAGTCCGTCCCTCAGAGTGCTCCAGTCCAGCAGGAGCCAGTCCCTGTGCTCCTCAGAGTCCCAGCAGGAGTCCAGTCCCTGTGCTCCAAGCGTCCCAGCAGGGAGCCAGTCCCTGTGCTCCTCAGAGCCCAGCAGGAGCCAGTCCCTGTGCTCCTCAGAGTCCCAGCAGGAGCCAGTCCCTGTGCTCCTCAGAGCCAGCAGGAGTCCAGTCCCTGTGCTCCTCAGAGTCCAGCAGGAGCCAGTCCCTGTGCTCCTCAGAGTCCCAGCAGGAGGCCAGTCCCTGTGCTCCTCAGAGCCCGCAGAGCCGTCCCTGTGCTCCTCAGAGTCCCAGCAGGGCAGTCCCTGTGCTCCTCAGAGCCAGCAGGAGCCAGTCCCTGTGCTCCTCAGAGTCCCAGCAGGAGTCCAGTCCCTGTGCTCCTCAGAGTCCCAGCAGGAGTCCAGTCCCTGTGCTCCTCAGAGTCCCAGCAGGAGGCCAGTCCCTGTGCTCCTCAGAGCCCCAGCAGGAGGCCAGTCCCTGTGCTCCTCAGAGTCCCAGCAGGAGTCCAGTCCCTGTGCTCCTCAGAGTCCGGGCTAGTTCATATGGGACTAACATGTCACTAATATATTTTGGTGCGAGGCCATGGAGAGACTTGTAACAATCAAAGGTGTTATAAAGTCTGTTCTCTGAGCCACAGGTGCAGAGACCTGAGGACTGGACTAATGTGATCATACTTCCTGGTTCTCGTCAGGACTCGAGCTTTTGAATGTACTGCAGTTGTTGGTAGAGAATAGAGTAAGGCACAGTAAATGATTGACAGTTAGGAGGACCAATAGTCTTGAGGATCCACCAGGAAGTAGAAAGTCCTCCTATAAACCTTTAAGATATGATATAAGATAAACTTGTACACGTCACATTTGACATAGATAGAATCAGCTTGTGCACAAAGAGAGGAAGTGTGCAAACATTTAAGGTTAAAGAGATAAAAGTTAAAAATATAGTTTGTGTTGAATGAACATGTACAATTCCACGGTAATATTGCATGACACACTTTAGGACTGTTTCCCATTGAAAAGGTGTAGATCGTTTTTTGGAACGCTGTGGTCCTCATGTTGCATCATTCTGAAACCCTTGGGATGAGAATAAAAACCACATAGAAACCATAACAACTGTGTATTTTTCCTTCAGGCTGAGCGCACCCCTCGATCGGAGCGCAAACGGAGAGACTCTTTCGGGATGTTTGATGGCTACGACAGCTGCAGCGAGGAGTCCACCAGCAGCTCCAGCTCCGAGGACAGTGAGGATGAAGTTGTGCCTTCGATCCCGGCTAATCTGCCCATCATCAAGAACAATGGACAGGTGTACACTTACCCTGACGGCAAGGCGGGCATGGGTGTGTAGATGATCCTTACAGTTGGTGCTGGAATGAAGATGGATATTGTTTTGACACATGTCTTTGGCCTTTTGTCCTCAGCCACGTGTGAGATGTGTGGCATGGTTGGAGTGCGAGATGCATTTTACTCCAAAACCAAGCGTTTCTGCAGCGTCTCATGTTCCAGAAGCTACTCCTCCAATTCTAAAAAGGCCAGCATTTTGGCCAGACTCCAGGTGATCCTTCTTCTATGTTTGTTTGAAGTATACTTTGGGTTTGTGCCGATTTTGTCGTGGTGTTCTTTTATACAAATACCAAACCAATACGTTATTTTTAACGTATATTTTTTAAAGGGAAAGCCACCAACAAAGAAGGCTAAAGTTTTGCAGAAACAGCCTCTTATGGCAAAGCTGGCCGCCTACGCTCAGTATCAAGCAAGTCAACAGAACCAAGCCAAGTCAAAAGCTGGTATGTGTTTTTAACATTAATGAGACACAGTTTGAGACACTTGGTGATATTCCTGTTTCTCTCGGCCCCAGCTGTAGCAGCCGACAGCTTTGACTGGGGACACTACATCTGCAACAATAACACAGAGGGAGCTCCCGTCAGCTGCTTCAAACATGTAAGCTCACACACTTCTATATGCAGAGGACGTGCAGCTCACTCAAATGCTCTGTGCCAGGCCCCCATGGGGACGTGTTGGGGAGGCATCGCTGAGGGAGTGCGGCTCGAGATCATCAACTCTGATACTAATCTCTCCACTAAGGTTTACTGGATCGCTGAGATCGTCAAGTTAGCAGGTACATTATTAGTGACTACTTCAGTGGATATGGCTCCACACAGAGAGGAATGAGTCTGTGCAGTTGGAGGAGTCTGTTGCATTCATCAGTCTGCTCTAGGGCAGCTGTGGCTACAATGAGAGACACAGAATTGTATCAGAAGTCCATTCCCGCAGGCTCATAAGAGTGATGTAGAAGTTTGTGTTGCTCCCGGAGCAGCAGTGACTGACTGACTCTGTCTCTGCAGGATTCAAGGCTTTGCTTCGCTACGAAGGCTTTGACGGAGACAACAGTAAAGACTTCTGGAGTAACATTTGTGTTCCGGAGGTGCATCCTGTTGGATGGTGTGCCTCCAGTGGAAAACCCCTTGTACCTCCTAAAAGTTAGTTGGCCTCTTTTAACTGGTCCTGTGCCATATTCATGATTGAGTTTGTTATAGTGTTTTGATCCGCTGCTTCTTGAGCCTGAATGTTCTTAAAGAGTTCTGTTTTTGGTGTTGCTTTCAGGTATTCAACACAAATACTCAAACTGGAAGGCCATTTTGGTAAAGCGTCTCACTGGAGCAAAAACACTGCCACCGGACTTCAACACAAAGGTGAGTTCATTTTGCCAAAGACACCACAACTACAGGACTTTTTTAACCCACATTCAAAGTCTGTGTCCAAGTCGGCCTGTCCGCTGCTTTATCTACGTCTCTGTTTTGGCGACAGTAAAGTTGGAACTGAAATGAAAAAGCCAAACCAGTTTACAAGTTCCTTAAGTTCCGTGTTTTCCTCAGGTTCACGAGAACATGCAGTTTCCCTTTAAGAAGCTGATGCGTGTGGAGGTGGTGGATAAGAACTACCTGTGCCGAACGCGGGTGGCGCTGGTGGAGCAGGTGATCGGCGGTCGCTTGCGGCTTGTTTACGAAGAGAGCGAGGACGGCTCTGACGACTTCTGGTGCCACATGTACAGCCCGCTCATCCACAACATCGGCTGGTCCCGCTCCATCGGACACCGCTTCAAACGCTCTGGTGCGTCACTCTGAGAGATCTTTGAAAAACAAGCCGGTGTGACGATCGAACTCTGTGTTAAAAGTGTGTTTTTGTAGATGTTGCAAAGAAAATGGACGGTCAGTTGGACGCTCCTCCACAACTCTTTCAGAAGGTGACTCTCTGTTCTTATTCTGTGTGTGTATGTCACGTTTGGCACAGATGGAATCACTCACATTCTGAGCACAAACATGTAAAGGTAAAAAACTGTTAGGGCCAGGACTTTTATAGTGTGTGACATATACAACTGAAAACTACTGTTGCTTGTATAAAATGTAGTTCCCTGTGGTGTGTGGGATTATTGCACAACGACGCCTCAAAGTGGAAAAGTTTAGCTTTGAGACAAGAGAGCAGAGAAACATTCTAGGTTTATAAAAGGCTTCTGCTTGAGCTTTTACCACTTCCCACTGTATCCACCGGGTCACCTTTAAGCATTTGTTTATCATAGAGCCACTCGGAAAAAGCCAAAGGAAAAGACAACACCGACTCTTCAGGTCTGACCTCTGTGCATTGAGCCCTTTGATATAAGTTACATTCAATACATGAAGTCACATTTACAGACCTCCAGGACTTCCACAGGGCTCAGATATAGATATATAACAGCTTTGAGAACTCTTTAGTCCCTGTTGGTATTTTAAACCAATCATTGTAATCCATAGACTGTATATATTAACGGACGTAGTCAAACCTATCTCCGGCGTTCTAACTAATGGATCAAAAATTGGTCTTTCATGGAGTGATTCAAAATGGCCGCGGGGGCTGGAAAATGTGAAAAAACGCAACTGCGCATGCGTCAGCTGCACGAGCTCTAAAGTCCACAGCGACTAAACTAGACTGGTCCAAAACACTCAGCATTGACACACATGTGGAACGGAGCTCTGGGCCAAGAGACAACTTTTGGACCATCCTGTAAAGACGTTTTTGAGAGGTCAGAAGATACGTACATTTGCATTGAATAATTCCTTTTCCGGGTCCACCCCCACAGGCCCGGGTTGGTATTGCAGCATGTCAGCGGCCGTCATTTTGGCCACTTTTGAGCCGGGACCCGCCCCCACTGTTGTAATCCTGTTGTATTGTGTGCTTTTCTGCTGCTGAGACCAAATTGCCCCTTGAGGATAAACAAAGATACCTTGAACCATTGCATCCAACTGTCACTTACATTACCTAAAGAATAAAAACGTTTTTGTCGACATAGATATTCCAATCCGTGTGTAAATTGTAAAGCTTTCGTCTCACTCAGGTGCGAGACGTGGACCAAAGCGGAGACTGGTTTAAAGACGGGATGAAGTTGGAAGCGATCGACCCGCTGAACCTGTCGGCCATCTGCGTGGCCACCGTGAGGAAGGTGAGTGAGCCTCGACTCGCAGCTGGAGAGAGCGCCCCCATGTGACTGTGTGCGGGGTGTTCCAGGTGCTGGCCGATGGTTATGTGATGATCGGGATCGACGGCTCCGAGGCGCTCGACGGCTCCGACTGGTTTTGTTATCACAGCACGTCCCCCTCTATATTTCCCGCCGGCTTCTGTGAAATCAATGAGATCGAGCTTACTCCCCCAAGAGGTACAAACACAGAAGACTCAGAACATGGCGTGTTGTAGGTCACTAAACAGTATTATTCATCCCTGTCATATCCATGCCTCCTTCAGGGTACACTAAACTGCCATTTAAATGGTTTGACTACCTCAGAGAAACAAGTTCTATAGCTGCTCCGGTCAAGCTCTTTAACAAGGTATTGACAAAGGATCTCAGCAGCTTCACTCACAAATGATTATAATCTCACTTCCTGTTTTTTCTTTCTTAATTCGTTGCTTGGTAGGAGGTGCCCAACCACGGCTTTCGACCGGGCATGAAGCTGGAGGCGGTGGATCTGATGGAGCCCAGACTGGTGTGTGTGGCCACCGTGACCAGGATCGTGCATCGTTTACTGAGAATCCACTTCGACGGCTGGGAGGACGAGTACGACCAGTGGGTGGACTGCGAGTCTCCGGACCTGTACCCCGTGGGCTGGTGCCAGTTGACGGGGTACCAGCTCCAGCCCCCGGCCGCACAGAGTAAGAGTCAGCAGACACAGATTTTACTTTCAAATATTACTACAATTCTGGGTAAAGTAACAAAAGAAAATATATATACAGTGCCTTGCGAAAGTATTCGGCCCCCTTGAACCTTTCAACATTTTGCCACATTTCAGGCTTCAAACATAAAGATATACAATTTTAATTTTTTTGTCATGAATCAACAACAAGTGGGACACAATCGTGAAGTGGAACGAAATTTGTTGGATTATTTAAACTTTTTTAACAAATAAAAAACTGAAAAGTGGGGCGTGCAATATTATTGGGCCCCTTTACTTTCAGTGCAGCAAACTCAGTCCAGAAGTTCAGTGAGGATCTTTGAATGATCCAATGTTGTCCTAAATGACTGATGATGATAAATAGAATGCACCTGTGTGTAATCAAGTCTCCGTATTAGAGGTGCAACGGTTCATCACTGATCCGTGATCCGTTCGGTTCAACGTCTTCGGTTCGGTACAGACGTGATCCGCGGTTTGATTTATGAAAAAAAAGTTGTGCGCACGTTGTTTAGTCCACACACAGCGCGGTCATTGCGAGCGGAGGAATGGAGGAGCTTGAAAGCCCTGCGTCATTTAAATCCCCAGTATGAGAGCATTTTGGCTTCACTGTAACTACACTGATGATTAATATTCGACAAAACTGTCACGATGTGTAAGCACTGTGGCACAAGAAAGACATGAGTGAAAAAAGCGTCTCAACGACCACCTATTGTCGCGGCATTTAAGCACCTCCTTTACGCACAGTCAGACCGGGCTAAAGTCAACTCTCCCGCGCATCCTCAGCTGCGCTCACGACTGACGCTTGGACGTCCCGCGGAACCTATAATAGATCCATGAGCAGAACCGCTCACTTCATCACCGCAGACTGGGAGATGAGAAGTCTGGCGCTGAAGACACGCCCCCTTTACGACAGTCACACTGTCACACAGCGCAGGTACTGACACAAGCAGCGGAGGAATGGAAGACAAAGGCCCAGTACTAATATCCCAGTCACAACTGATAATGCCAAAAATTAAATAAATGCAGTGAATGAGGCTGGGCCCAGAATGGACCCCCTCCTTGGGAGAATCAGGAAGGTGGTGTAATATATGAGGGTAAATATCCTCATAAAGGGCCTTCTTATGTTGCACTTTGTGTTGTTTTTCATTAATTATGTTAAATAGACATAATTGGATGGATGGAATATGCCTTCCATCCATCCATCCATTTCCTTCCCCTTAATTCATTTCTAGGTCAGGGGGGGCAGTCAGAGCAGGAGCCGAGTCCACATGAGCTGTGTTTATTAAAAAGACAAAACTTTTTTTTAGAAAAATGAACCGAAAAATGAACCGAACCGTGGCCTCTGAACCGAGGTACGAACCGAACCGTGATTTTTTCAAACCGTTGCACCCCTACTCCGTATAAATGCACCTGCTCTTTGATAGTCTCAGGGTTCTGTTTAAAGCGCAGAGAGAACCATGAAGACAAAGGAACACTCCAGGCAGGTCCGAGATACTGTTGTGGAGAAGTTTAAAGCCGGATTTGGATACAAAAAGAGTTCCCAAGCTTTAAACATCTCAAGGAGCACTGTGCAAGCAATTATATTGAAATGGAAGGAGTATCAGACCACTGCAAATCTACCAAGACCCGGCCGTCCCTCCAAACTTTCATCTCAAACAAGGAGAAGACTGATCAGAGATGCAGCCAAGAGGCCCATGATCACTCTGGATAAACTGCAAAGGGGCCGAATAATATTGCACGCCCCACTTTTCAGTTTTTTATTTGTTAAAAAAGTTTAAATTATCCAACAAATTTTGTTCCACTTCACGATTGTGTCCCACTTGTTGATTCATGACAAAAAATAAAAATTTTATATCTTTGTTTGAAGCCTGAAATGTGGCGAAATGTTGAAAGGTTCAACGGGGGGCCGAATACTTTCGCAAGGTACTGTATATATTATATATATATATATATATATATATATATATATATATATATATATATATATATATATATATATATATATATATATATGAATGATGAACAATGACTATTGTCGATAGATCTCTGTGATGTCCTTCGTTATGATCCAAAGCTTAGGGTGTTATATTTAAAGGAGCAGTATGTAAGATTTACATGTCAAGTCATCATTAAAGGGCCCTAATCTGTCATCATTAAAGGGCCCTAATCTGTCATCATTAAAGGGCCCTAATCTGTCATAATAATAAACTGCTCTTTTCCAATACTTCTTTAACTGATAACAGTAGTTCAGAGATATTTGAATTTCTAAATTACTTTTCCAGTCTCTAAATCTTGTTATTGTTTTCATTTCGATGTCCCGCCCTCCACCGTTTCACCAATCAGAAAGTCTGTGATCCGGGCGCCAGAACTCACCGCGTGGAGCTAATCTCACTGGTAAAGTACCATGTGGCACAGAACTAAAAAAGGTCTCGTTATGATTCTCAAATCATTAACGACAAAACAAGGAATAAAACCAGGATTTCTATCTTTGTGAAAAAGGTGTTGGTTATAGATTTGTTGTTGACAAAACTCTTGTCTATTCAGCTGTTATGGTCCCAGCTGGATTCGTCTGCATATCTGGCAACCTGAGTCAGGGAGAGTGGGAGAGGTTGCAGTACCACTTTTGGCCACAAGTTTACACACTGCTCCTTTAAGTTAGATATGTTATTGGTATTGTTAGCTGAGTTATTGTTGTAATTTCCCCGCTCTGGGAAAATAAAGCATCTCTTAATCTTAATATATTTTCGAGACTCGACACTGTCAGAACTCCTCATTATGTATCACTAACTTCGTATTGAATGTACTTTGCTCAGGTAACAGAGATGTAGCGGCGTCTGTGCCCAAGCAAAAAAAGAAGGCAACTCCATATAAAGGTCAAAAGAAAAGTGAGTAAATCTCCAGTTTCTACACTTTTAAAAAAAAACATTTTCTCCGGTCACTTCTGGGTGCTCACACTGGGAGTCTTGGTGCGAGGCTTTTTTGTTGTTGTGGAAAGGATAAAACGCACAGAGCGGTTGCCCGGGACAACACTAGTGAACATGTGTGAAGAAAAACACGGTCCTGAATATACATCTGTCTGTGGCCTTTCTGTGGGTCTGGGGGGGGCTGTTCTGAGCTCACTCCATGTGGCTTGGTGTTTAGAGAGGAAGATTGCGGTTGGTCGGCGGCCCCTCTGTCAGGCAGGCAGGAGGCGGGACTTCCTGGGGCGTGAGGAGCAGAGTCGAGGCCCGGTTCGGCCCCGAAAACACTCTGCTCAAAGTCACACATCAGGTAAAACGGCACACTCCGCCCCCCGTGGCTCCGCTACAGCTGCAGCTCGGAGGCGGGGACTTTGCTCGGAGAGTTTTCCCGACGCTGTGGTTTCGACCCCGACGCTGTGTTGTTGATTTTCCGTGGCTTTTCTGGAGTTGCTACGTTCGATCGACACTTTTCTAATCCTGAATTTCTCTCATCGGGGATCGATAAAGTGTCTATCTGTCGTATAAACAAGGGTCTTTCTCTGCTCCGGGAGGCACGGTGGCAAAGTGGATAGTCCTGGGTTTTCAATCCCGGTCGGAACAGGGCCTTTCTGAGTGTTCTCCCCGTGTCTGTGTGGGTTTCCTCCGGGTGCTCCGGTTTCCCCTACCACTAAAAACATATAGAATAGGTCTGTGCCTCCTGTACTGGCCCCTCCCATCTCTGTGTGGACTGAGACAGATGTCCACATTTGTAAACCGCTTGGACTCTGGTCTGAGAAAGGCGCTATATAAATAAACTAGGGCTGGGACTTTAACGTGTTTATTACAATTAATTAACGCCACAAAAATGTGCGCGTCGCGGAACGTTCCTTAAAGGATGAGTTTCAGACGGACCGATTATACTGTCGCACCAACTCGAGCTCCGTGACTTTTCTTGTTCAAAAGTACATTTAGGAGGAGGAGGAGGAGGAGGTCTAATGCACAGAACAGAAACGTACTCTCAGCTTTAGTCCTCACTGTGAGTGCAGTGGATTATGGGTAAACAAAGCGTCTGTAGTGAACAATGAACATGTGTTGCTTAAGTTTATGTATTCAGTCATTATCCAAAGGTAAACTAAAAATCATGTGGAAAAAAATTACTTCTCACTATTCTCAGGACAAATATTTACATACACATATAAATATTATATGTGTATGTAAATATCTCTGGTTTATACACAGAGATATAGTAGAAGAAGAAGTGGTTTATACACAGATATATAGTAGAAGAAGAAGTGGTTTATACACAAATATATAGTAGAAGAAGAAGTGTTTATACAGAGATATAGTAGAAGAAGAAGCATCTTTTTGTGCGGTGTACGCTTGTAGCAACCGCACAAATAGAGAAAGACCAGAGTTTGTTCATGTTCCAACTGTGTCTCATATAAAGGAGGACACTTTGGAAAAATCACTGGAATGAGGCGGAGGTGGATCAAGGCTTTCCCAGATAAGCGCCCCCTGCAGGCCACCGCAATGAGACGCAGACATTTCTTCTGTTTTTTTTTCTCCAAAAATGCCCAAAATCAAGACTCTTTTGAGAAATATTTGTTAGTACTCCCTTAGAATGGAGTGTCCCCGATTAAGACTGTTCCAACAACCGTACACCGCACAGGAGGAGAGCCTCTGACTCCAAAACAGACTTTACATGGTTTTCAATGAGAGCAACACTGTCCCACCTCTGCTCATGCGCCCCCTACAGGCCAGGCTCATTAAACACAAGAATAGTAATGTATGGAAAATCAACAAGCTGTCGTTTTCCTGACCCTTGACGTGAGCAGTCGGGTTTGATCCTGTCTGAATCCATTATTATTGATTATTGTAAATGTGTTATGATTATTCCGACTTATGGATAATGTTTGTGGAATACTCCTCTGTCCTCACATTGTGTCTTTTCTATTGTTATCTGCCTTATATTTGTCAGACTGAGTTCCTAAAAAGATGCATTACAGACTGTTGGAGTAACGCAGACGAGAAGATGGACTTTACACTTGAAACTTTTTATTTGGGGTCACGTCACAGACAGAAGACATTTTACTGAGACTGATAGTGTACCATGGAGGACAGAGAGGGTCCCGCCAGCAGTTGCCATGGTAACAGCAGCTTTGGCCTTCAGACCTAAACGTCCTCCATAGTCTTATTAGAACGTCCAGTTTAACTTTAACCACAGTTGTTTTAAAGTGTTTAAAGAAATCCAAATATGATTCAAACCATTTCATTATCAGGATATTTTAATTATTTATTTATTTATTTATTTAAGGATAGCCGCATTGAGACGATACGATACGATACACCGTTTGTCTTGCCACTCATCTCTAACTCAGTTTTATCCACACTTTTTACCTCCAAGTTCTACCCTTTCCATTGACAATTTGTGGTCATACTTTTCCAAAGGTATAAGTCTATGTAGATTATACAAAAGTGAATAACATGGACTAGTACTAGAGCAACTATAGCAATGTCGCTATTTAGTGGTCACAGGGATTTAGTATCAAGTTACAGCCGTCTGTCGAGTTCTTGTGGTTCGTACCATGTCTCCTTCAGGGTCCATGGTATCTGCTCATGTCTCCTTCATGATCAGGGTTCATGGTATCTGGTCCCTTCATGGTCCGGGTCCATGTTGTTGCGTGTGTCTGAGCCTGCCCTCTGCTCCTCAGAGTCCACACTGCGGCTGAAGGAGGAGGCGGCGGAGGTGGACGACTTCACCTTCTCTCAGACCATCTCGGACCAGGAGAGCAACGGCTCGGGCAGCTACTACATCAAACAGGAGCCCTGAGGGAGCGGACTGCAGCCCACCACCACAGGCCCACCACCACAGGGCCACGGACTACTCAGCGGGGCGCCCTCTGCTGGTGGATGGGGGACCAATCGGAACAAAGCTTCGAACAAAACCCGGGCTTCTCCGTCGGCCTCTGGAGACCTACCCAAACTGTGAGGATCATCTTTTGAGCCAGCTCTTCATGTCTGTTGTTTTGTTTTTGTTTTTACATTTGTCTGGTCGGGCCCGGAGTCAGACACGGGATTCCCTTTGGTCAGTTTAGGAGCTGACCCAGCGTGTGCAAATGTTGTTTTCGTATGAACTCTATTATTGCCTGATGGACTAATGATTTGTTCATAGTACTTGAATATCTTTTGTAATGATTCGTTTTTGTCCTGACGTCGTTTTACATGACTTTGGTGGCCATGCGGCGGCGGGGGCGGGGGGGGGGGGGGGGGCAAGTTTTGGAAGCGCCAAGTTTCTTAAAGATGATTCTATTCACAGAGTTAGCGTGTCCAGACGGAGCTATTACAGCATGTGGTGCCAGAACAGAGCTGCTCATTCTCCATCATCATCATCCGTTTCTTTCTGACCCGAGTCTGCTGCATCTCTCTGAACAAGCACGGTGGCACTGACATGTGGAGACGTCTCATTCTCAAAACATAAACCCGCAGAACGATCGACTGCCATGTCACTTCTCCAATTAGCTTCGACCACGCTGCCTCTCAACACAAAACATTGAAATTATGAGGAAAACATTTCGCAAGAGCTTCTGTTTTGTACAATTGGATCGTGTCGGGGCCTGGAGTGTGTGTGTGTGTTCATGGTCAAAGATGCAGACGGCTCCGTTCTGCACATGTCGCTGGTGGCAGACAATGGTAGTGTAACCTTACTGGTGCGATAAGGACCTTTTCCATCATACAGGCCTCTCTCTCTCTCGGGCACACCGCAGGAGGGTGTAGTTTACCGTCTGGTGCCGCGGTGACGGAGGACCACAGTGGCACAGCTTCTTATCAAAGTGAACACTAGTTATTCCTTTTTGTTGTTAATCTTTCCACCTAATTTAAAGTGACACACTGGAGTAAACGACGGCGTCAGCATGTGTAGCATTCACACGTTTCCAAAAAGAACTCCGGGGTTGGAATGTGGAGGGCGTTTTCATATGGGTGCCACATGTATGCAAGCAAGAGTCAAAGCTGAGCCACAGAATTACAACCTGGTCAACCACGAACAATGCACTGCTTTTTCTATAGTTCTGGCGGCGTAAATTCTGGGCTTAAATATTCATATATATATTATAGTATATATATATTAAGTGTAAAACTATGGATTACATTTCTAACTGTGATGATATGTAGAAAACTATAATGATCTCTGCAGCTGTTTTTGTCCTACCTCTAATTGTTGAGATAAATGTGTGTGTTGGCATATGCAAAAAAAGATAAAATATTTACATACCAGGATGCCCGATCGACCAATCGTACGACAGCACATGAGGTAGTTGTGAAATCGGACTCAATACGACCATATGCAATAAGTAGAGATTAGAATTTATTCAGATTCCTTATGAAGATGATTTAATGAATAAATGTTGGACTAAATGTCTTATATTGGCGCCAGAAGATGTTAAGAAATCCTATCTCTACCAGTAAGGTTTCCTCATTCAATTCTCAGGAAGATTTCTTTGTTACGTCGGCTCAAAACGATCACGTGCATCTGTTCTCTGGAGTTCTATGTAAGCTACACATTTATGAAAGACTTTTATAGAAGTGATAATGATGTATTAAAGTGGTTTGTGTTTGTATTTGATCAAGGGTTCCATCTTTTTCTTTATCGTTAACGGCTTCAGAGTCCATCTCCCTCTAGAAATACACATTATAAAAGCATTACCGCAAACGTGGGCACACCGGAAACACATATTTTTAGTTTTTTTTTAAATCCTCATTCATTTTCGTGCTCAAATGTCAGCTTTCTTGTACCACAGAGTCATGGTGGTGGAGATACCCGGTCAAAACGATAAGTTCTGGGCCAGTTGTGTGATATTTAAATGGCCTTTTATTGAATTTGTGTGTTTTAAGATTGTTTTGTCTGTGTTCGGGTACTGTCTCTCTCACTTGTGTTTTTCTCCTATTTAAAACAATGCTAATTCAGTGCAAATATTTGACAATACAGAAGAAAAAAAAAGTATATTTGACGTTGAAGATTAAAATGGATGGGTTTTTTGTATCTCAGAGCGAGGATTGTGCGTATTTTGTAATTTTGCGTTGTTTTTCTCCTTTTTTAGTTCATGTACATTTGACTAGTTAACGCTTGTGCTAATCTCGGGTTAAAATCACCCGCTTCAGAGGATTCAAAGCAGAAGAAGAATCCTTACATTCATGTCTTAAAGGGTCTAAATGACTCAGGGCTGGTCAAGGAAGGCAATAGAATCCCGATTTTGCTCCAAAATGTTTTATTTTGGGTGTTTTTGAATCTCGTAGCGGGTGAATTTGCCCCTGAGATTGCACAACGGTGGATTTCTGAAATGTTGGGAGTGGTCAGATCAGATTGAGACCAAGTTAAGACCAAATGAGCAATAAATCCTACGTCACAATCGGCAAAATCACTGGAGGCGCCGCTAAAAGCAAAAGTAGAAAGACTGTTTTGACTCCGTGCTGCTACGGCCTCCGACTGACGCACAATCAAACTGCTGCTTGTGACGTTCCAACGCCGTTTGTTCAGGTCCAGATTTCAGTTTTCATTTCAGCGTTTGACTTCGTTTCAATTTTGTCTTTCGAATGCATTTGGGTCCGAAAGGTCGTCCACGTTTAGAATGATGTCGCTCCGTCTCGTCTGCGGCAAATGTGAGGCCAAGTCCACTCCATGAGTCTGTTCAGTGTCAAACCCGGTTCCAAGAAAGAGAGAAAAAAGGCCGGTGAGGCTCCAGGATTTCGTTCCAACCAAGTAGGAGCACACACCAGACTCCACCCTCCACCCCAGTCTCCACCCGCCCAGTCTGGTATTTGCTCCTGCTTGGTTGGAATGAAAACCTGTACGTTCATCCTCTAAAACAGGGGTGTCAAACTAGTTCTCGAAGGGTTAGGGGGCGGGGCTTTCATTCCAACCAAGCAGGAGCACACACCAGACTCCACCCGTTCCCTCAAGTCCTGTCCAGTCTTAACCTGAAGACTCGACAGAATGCAGACCCTTTTCCCCCCCTTCCACTTAAACAAACTGGTTCTCAAAGGGTGCAGGTTTTCATTCCAATCAAGCAGGAGCACACACCAGACTCCACCCGCCCAGTCTTAACCTGAAGCCCTGGGGAAAAGGGTGGAGTCTGCATTTTGTGGAATCTTCAGGTTAAGACCGGACTGGACTTGAGGTAATGGGTGGAGTCTGGTGTGTGCTCCTGCTTGGTTGGAATGAAAACCTGTACATTCATCCTCTAGAACAGGGCTGTCAAACTGGTTTTCAAAGGGTTAGGGGGCATTCCAACCAAGCAGGAGCACACACCGGACTCCACCCAAGTCCAGTCCGGTCTTAACCTGAAAACTCGAGGCAACTGTGCTGGTTGGAGTGAAAACCTGCAGCCACACTAGCCCTGTTGAGGACCAGATTTAGTGTTCGGTCAGACTTGTTGGGACCTATCCTGGTTTTAGTTGGAACAAAAATGCGTTAATTGTGGATAAGTTTGTGTAAGCTCTCAGTCGTACAGGTTTTCCCGACATTTTGTTGTTAATCCAAAAAACTTTCTCAAGGAAATGAAAGCTCAGCCGTGAGTTCGATCATTTTTATTTATGGACGTAAACAAATCAACACGGATCCACAAGTCTCTTCTATTGAAACAGATCTGATGTATATTTTTTTCTCTGAAGTGAACCAGACTTGGTCCAGTTAAAAAGAAGTATGAACACGTCCTAGTCTTCTGTTCTGGACCCGGTTCACATCAGTCCTCATGAAGTCTGACCTGAGTCGTTTTGGTGATGACTGTTTGCGACCACTTTTTCTTGTCGATTTTTAGTTCCAGACAGAACTTTGTAGCGATTTAATGAAGCTGTCAATCAATGGATTTTTTTGTGCAGAGACAATTTCAATCAACCTCAACTGTTGTAGCACTTATAAAATCAGAACGGGTCATTTCTGTGGCTCCAAGTCGCAAAGAAAACGTAGAAGAAGTCTTTCACAATATGTATAATGAGTTAGCTTATTGTTCAGGGTAATCAATGCAGAAACTTTGCTTTTTCTTAACAGTTTTCTTTCGTTTTTTCGGGAAGAAATGTGTGACTTGGCCTTGCGTGTGTCCGGAGTGTTTTGTGTGTCTTTGCTACGGAAGCCCACTGCAACCAAAAAGATAATTGTGAATAACTACTGAGTGGCTCTTGTTTTGTCGTTAAAAGCGGCGAGTTTCCGACAGAACGAGTGGATATTTGTTTGTCGATACTAACACGGGTCTTTCGTATGTGACATCACCCCCCCTCCCCTCTGCGTATATCCAACCATTATTATCGTGGTGCTATGAATATATATACATCTATAACTACATATATATTTGATAAATGATTTAACGTAATGGGAATATTATTGTCTGAAAAGAATTGAGATGAGTTATGGTTCACAGATTATTTTGGATACAAATGAGAAAAAACGTGTGAATAATAGTTCTAAAGAATCTTGAGGTACTTAAGAATATAGTGGTTAGAGATTTGTACATGTTTTGATAGTGAAAATGGTCTTCTCTGTCTGTGCTGTGATAGACTTTGTAAATAAAGCCAAATGTCGGGTTGTATTATGTGTCATTGATGGCATTTGTTTGTTGCAGCATGGCTCTTTTTTTGTAAGATTTGACTTTTACACAGAATAAACTACTTAAGGATATCAGCTCTGTGTGAATGATTGTACACATGTAGCCAAAAGTGGTACTGCAGCCTCTCCCACTCCCCCTGACTCAGGTTGCCAGATATGCAGACGAATCCAGCTGGGACCATAACAGCTGAATAGACAAGAGTTTTTTCAACAACAAATCTATAACCAACACCTTTTTCACAAAGATAGAAATCCTGGTTTTATTCCTTGTTTTGTCGTTAATGATTTGAGAATCATAACGAGACCTTTTTTAGTTCTGCGCCACATGGTACTTTACCAGTGAGATCAGCTCCACGCGGTGAGTTCTGGCGCCCGGATCACAGACTTTCTGATTGGTGAAACGGTGGAGGGCGGGACATCGAAATGAAAACAATAACAAGATTTAGGGGCTGGAAAAGTAATTTAGAAATTCAAATATCTCTGAACGACTGTTATCAGTTAAAGAAGTATTGGAAAAGAGCAGTTTATTATTATGACAGATTAGGGCCCTTTAATGATGCCAGATTAGGGCCCTTTAATGATGACAGATTAGGGCCTTTTAATGATGACAGATTAGGGCCCTTTAATGATGACAGATTAGGGCCCTTTAATTATGACAGATTAGGGCCTTTTAATGATGACAGATTAGGGCCCTTTAATGAGGACAGATTAGGGCCCTTTAATGATGACTAAACATGAAAACCTTCCATAGCCCAGGGTCGGTCTGATCAGAAAGACTGGTCTGCTGCCTGCGTAAACTCGGATATTTCTCCATAAACCATAAAAATGACACAAAATAAGTGAGATTTAAGACTTGAAATGAATGAAATGTTGATTTGAGGATTTTCTAACTGTCTGAAATGTCGAACAGCATGAACGGAACAAGCCTAAAAAGCCATTTCTCACTTAGAATGACAAAATAAAAGCCACTCATCTGCAACAGCACTCTTGCTTTGTTCCATCGGCGAATCTTGTTTTAAAATATGAAATTAAATGAAACTACTTAAAGCTTCTCTGTGATTGACAGGTCACAACAGACCAAACAAGCGGCCTCCATCTCACTAAAAACATAGTGAGTGGGAGTTGTGCTCACCTTTTCACTTTTCTGTCTGAAGAAGTTGATCTGAAGTGACCAAAAAGTATGAAAACTAGTGATAAAATGAAACTGATTTTATTAGAATGAATTATATTGAGTCAGGAACCAATCATTCATTCATTTTCAACCCCTTTATTAGTCCATTTCTGGGTCGAGGAATATGGCTGCTGTATCGTGGGGTTGAGTGTCTTGCCCAAGGACACAACAACAGCAGACATAAGTTAGAGTAGGTCCTGAGGTGGGCTCGAACCCATAACCTTCCAGCCTAAAGGCCAATGCTCTACCAACGGAGCTACTGTCGCCCCAGCCAGGAGCCAGTCAGATGGATTTCTTTGTGAATTGAAAGTCAGGTACCCCAGCTTTAATTCAAAATGCAATTATCGTAGACTTGTTTATGGAGAGCTGATGTTTCTTAGACACTTTTGTTTTGGGATTAACCACGTCTAAACATGTTGTAATTCTACTTTGGAGCAGATTAAAACACTTTTTGCTTCGTGGTGTTTTGAATGTTTTGAAGACAGCGTTCGCCCCAAACCCAAAGAGAAAACAGGAAACGGAGTCGATCAGTGAAGACTTTACTGACGGCGCACGTCACACATGGAATCATTTCAGGTACAACAGGGATTTACATTTGAGAAGCCAAAACAAAATTTCAATGTTTAAAAAAATACATAATTAAAGTCACTTTTAATGTCACAACAATCACCTTTAATCATAGATATGTTTCCAGACAGAGTCGAGTGTTTCAATCTGTGGTCCCCAAACTCCACTTCATTTTATATATATGTGTATTAAATATGTAAATAATATGTTCTTTAGTTATGAACTTTTTTCATAATTAAATATTCAAATCTATTTCATACACTTATAAAACGTGACAATGCCCCAATCTGGCAACCCCCAGAAAAGAAATCCATAAACGCCGCCCCTTCAATAGAGAACAGAATCATGGAGAAAAGATCCGATCAGAGACAAATGGATTCAGGAAGTGGGACATGAACCCTGCAGCGGACATGAACCCTGCAGAGGACATGAACCCTGCAGCGGACATGAACCCTGCAGCGGACATGAACCCTGCAGCGGACATGAACCCTGCAGCGGACATGAACCCTGCAGCGGACATGAACCCTGCAGCGGACATGAACCCTGCAGCGGACATGAACCCTGCAGCGGACATGAACCCTGCAGCGGACATGAACCCTGCAGAGGACATGAACCCTGCAGCGGACATGAACCCTGCAGCGGACATGAACCCTGCAGAGGACATGAACCCTGCAGAGGACATGAACCCTGCAGCGGACATGAACCCTGCAGAGGACATGAACCCTGCAGCGGACATGAACCCTGCAGAGGACATGAACCCTGCAGCGGACATGAACCCTGCAGCGGACATGAACCCTGCAGCGGACATGAACCCTGCAGCGGACATGAACCCTGCAGCGGACATGAACCCTGCAGCGGACACACCGTTATGTTTTTGTTCTGCCTCGTCTGTCGAGAGGCGGTGACACAATGAATCAGAGAAGGGAAAAGAAAATGTTTGGGGACCCCTGATTTAAATTTAATATATTCATAAATCATTTGATATTCTTTACAAAAATAAACATGATGTGACAAAAACACATTCAAATAAAAACAGAATAAACAGAATAGTTATTATTTTGGTCACGGATATGATTGAGTCCAGACATTTGGTTTGTCACGTGTTTTCAGACATTGTTGATCCACACAGTTCCACATTTAAGCACACGGCCACAGTCACCACTAGGGGGCAGGAGCGAGCAGGGGCACGTTCAGCAGGAGCTCAGACCTCGTCAAAGCGCCCCTCCAGAATACTCTCAAAGGAGAATGGGAAAAACTTAAAGCCCTGGCCTGTGTAAAACTTGTTCTGGAACTCCACCCTGGAACAGAAAAGCAGAACGAAAGTGTTAGACTTAGAGAGAGAGAAGGAGTAGGTTTGTTTATTCGATCATACAAATTATTATTATTTTATGACCAGGGTTACAAAAGGTTACAAAAAAACAATGTCAGTAATGTACGTGCTTTAACATAGATTTACAAACGCAATTGTGACCAAAGGGATGAGGCTGAAGTGAGATTTTTTTTTGCCTAATCCAATTCATAAAGAAAAGTCTCCAAAGTATGGGGCAAAAACTCTTTCAAAATAGAAGCCAAACTAAAGGTCAAGATCAGGAGAAAAATAATAATAATAATAATAAAAAATAATTAAACAATAGGACGAAAAGGAACGATTATAGCTTATTAATAATTTGAAAAAACAGTAAAAAATAAAAATAAAAATAAACTTTTAACAGCAAAAAAAACAGCATGAAGAAGCTGCCAGACCTATCATTCTTGGGCTTGGTATTTTTATAGAATATTATGCTCAATATCATTTTTAAACGTTTTCCATGTGTAGGAGTTTTTTATTGTCGTCGAAGTAGTTCCGTAGTCTCACAACTGCTTTATTTTAGTCAATTCTTGCCTTATTTATTTTGAAAATCCCTGTTCCTCTGAGATCGTAACCACAATCTCTAAATGCAAAGTCCTGTCCTGCATCGGATGTCATTTATCATGTCAAACAAAGCCAAGGATTTCTCCCTTTTCCCAAACAAGACAAGTCCCAGTTGTGCCTATTTTTGAATAAAGTGCTGCTGTACCTGCACGTGAAAACCAAACATACAGACAATCTATCAAAAGCTAAGCAGGGCAGGGTCTGGTTAGTGTTAAAGGTGACCCAAAACCAAAACCTCGCCTGCCTTTCCTCTGGTTAAGTTTGTGATGCTACTTTCTGGTTGGAGATTAGCAGTGCGGCGTAGATGTAGGTCGTTACCGTAGAAACCACAAAGCTCGTCTGATTTACACGATCGAGATTAAATGATGCGGAGAAATGTGACGCGACCGCTTTGTCCTGATGAATGTTTCAACTTTCACATTTCACAGATGGAGGAATCTCTTTTTAAAGTATCATTAAAGGGCCCTAATCTGTCATCATTAAAGGGCCCTAATCTGTCATCATTAAAGGGCCCTAATCTGTGATCATTAAAGGGCCGTAATCTGTCATAATTAAAAGGCCCTAATCTGTCATCATTAAAGGGCTCTAATCTGTCATCATTAAAGAGCTCTAATCTGTCATCATTAAAGGGCTCTAATCTGTCATCATTAAAGGGCCCTAATCTGTCATCATTAAAGGGCTCTAATCTGTCATCATTAAAGAGCTCTAATCTGTCATCATTAAAGAGCTCTAATCTGTCATCATTAAAGGGCTCTAATCTGTCATCATTAAAGGGCCCTAATCTGTCATCATTAAAGGGCCCTAATCTGTCATCATTAAAGGGCTCTAATCTGGCATCATTAAAGGGCCCTAATATGTCATCATTAAAGGGTCCTAATCTGTCATCATTAAAGGGCCCTAATCTGTCATCATTAAAGGGCCCTAATCTGTCATAATAATAAACTGCTCTTTTCCAATCCTTCTTTAACTGATAACAGTAGTTCAGAGATATTTGAATTTCTAAATTACTTTTCCAGCCTCTAAATCTTGTTATTGTTTTCATTTCGATGTCCCGCCCTCCACCGTTTCACCAATCAGAAAGTCTCTGATCCGGGCGCCAGAACTCACCGCGTTGAGCTAATCTCACTGGTAAAGTACCATGTGGAGCTAATCTCACTGGTAAAGTACCATGTGGAGCTAATCTCACTGGTAAAGTACCATGTGGCGCAAAACTAAAAAAGGTCTCGTTATGATTCTCAATCATTAACAACAAAACAAGGAATAAAACCAGGATTTCTATCTTTGTGAAAAAGGTGTTGTTATAGATTTGTTGTTGACAAAACTCTTGTCTATTCAGCTGTTATGGTCCCAGCTGGATTCGTCTGCATATCTGGCAACCTGAGTCAGGGAGAGTGGGAGAGGCTGCAGTACCACTTTTGGCCACATGTTTACAAACTGCTCCTTTAGAACCTTAAACTACTTCCTTAATTTTTTATTTTTTTTGCTTTAGAGTTTTTTGCCGCTAACTCCCACTTTGCGGATGTAAAACTAGTATCAATATTTACCAGAGGCTTCCATCGCACCAAGAAAAACAATCATTTGCATAAAAGAAGCCCCGCCTTTATGCTAATGCAGCTTCCTGGGAGTTCCCTTCGACATCACACCTACAGACTTTACACATGAGAACGTGTATGACCTGAAGGACTGTGAAGTTTAGTAAATAAAGGGCCTTGGACTGGATCGAGTCCTGGTCCAGGTCTGCAGAGGAGTCCGACCGAGCGTGTGTTTGTTCAGCGAGCTCATCAGCATCGACCTGTGAACAGGCTCCACTTTGAAACGCACTATTTGCTCAACTGTGTGAAAAATAGTTTCCTACGACCTTTAGCCTTTCACCTTTCCACAGAGACACTGCCAACAGCACGGTTTGAGGACTTCACCGAGAGAGACCGGCCTTTGGAAACATGGATTCAGTGTGTGTTAATGACAGAGAGAAAGAGAGAGAGACAGAGCGAGAGAGACAGAGCGAGAGAGAGAGAGAGAGAGACCGGCCTTTGGAAACATGGATTCAGTGTGTGTTAATGACAGAGAGAAAGAGAGAGAGACAGAGCGAGAGAGAGAGAGAGACCGGCCTTTGGAAACATGGATTCAGTGTGTGTTAATGACAGAGAGAAAGAGAGAGAGACAGAGCGAGAGAGACAGAGCGAGAGAGAGAGAGAGAGAGACCGGCCTTTGGAAACATGGATTCAGTGTGTGTTAATGACAGAGAGAAAGAGAGAGAGACAGAGCGAGAGAGAGAGAGAGACCGGCCTTTGGAAACATGGATTCAGTGTGTGTTAATGACAGAGAGAAAGAGAGAGAGACAGAGCGAGAGAGACAGAGCGAGAGAGAGAGAGAGAGAGAGACCGGCCTTTGGAAACATGGATTCAGTGTGTGTTAATGACAGAGAGAAAGAGAGAGAGACAGAGCGAGAGAGACAGAGCGAGAGAGAGAGAGAGAGAGACCGGCCTTTGGAAACATGGATTCAGTGTGTGTTAATGACAGAGAGAAAGAGAGAGAGACAGAGCGAGAGAGAGAGAGAGAGACCGGCCTTTGGAAACATGGATTCAGTGTGTGTTAATGACAGAGAGAAAGAGAGAGAGACAGAGCGAGAGAGAGAGAGAGACAGGCCTTTGGAAACATGGATTCAGTGTGTGTTAATGACAGAGAGAAAGAGAGAGAGACAGAGCGAGAGAGACAGAGCGAGAGAGAGAGAGAGAGAGACCGGCCTTTGGAAACATGGATTCAGTGTGTGTTAATGACAGAGAGAAAGAGAGAGAGACAGAGCGAGAGAGAGAGAGAGACCGGCCTTTGGAAACATGGATTCAGTGTGTGTTATAGTACAGCAGAGAGAGAGAGAGAGAGAGAAAGTGAGGGAGACAGACAAAGAGAGACAGAGAGTTAGGGGGAGAGAGAGAGAGACAGAGCCAGAAACACAGAGAGAGAGTGAGGGAGAGAGAGACAGAGAAACAGAGCAAGAGAGACTGAGACACAGAGAGAAAGAGACAGAGAGAAGGAAGAGAGACACACACAGAAAGAGAGAGAGACACAGAGAGAGAGAGACCAAGACACAGAGAGAGAGACTGAGAGAAAGAGACCGAGACACAGAGAGAGAGACTGAGAGAAAGAGACCGAGACACAGAGAGAGAGACTGAGAGAAAGAGACCGAGACACAGAGAGAGAGACTGAGAGAAAGAGAGAGAGACAGAGACACATAGAGAGAGAGACATAGACACAGAGAGAGAGACTGAGAGAAAGAGAGAGAGAGAGAGAGCGTGTGGGTTTTGACATGAGTCATGGCAGTGGAATGAGCAGAGGAAGGCAGCGATGGCTCGGAGCTCATGAAACTTGACTTTATCTGTTCACACTTTGGACTGAAGTCAACACCGCAGGAGCAGCTCATATCGGCTCATGCTAACGCTAACATGCTAACGCTAACATTTACACTGGACCCATGTTTTAGCCACATTCCTCACATGAGACTAATTTTGATAGAAATTTAAAGCCGGAGTACCTGAAGGGGAATCTCTAGTTTTCACATGCATGTTCTTTCTTGGCCTCTGTCACATCTTTAAATCAGCTTTTTAAGTTAATTAAAAAGAGTGGACCCCCCCCCCCCCCCTCCCTCGACCAATCAGCTCTCAGCCTAAAACATCCGGGATTTTTCTAACAATTATACAAAATATGTTTTCGAATACGATGAAGACAGTGTGTTTTGGTCGAATTTATTCACAATATTTTACTTTGACACACTTTTTCAGTTCTGCGGGACAATCTAGATGTATTTTGTATGAGAAATAAAAGTTATATTAGATCTCCTCCTTTACCAGTGCAGACGGAGGGCGTGCAGAAAGGCCGACAGCCCCTCCATGACCAGCAGGATGGCCACAGTGAGAGTAGCGAAGGCCCCAAAGATGATTGACAGGCCAAAGAACCCCGCTCCGCTGCGAGAGGACAGTCCCAGACGCATGACCATCCCCCAGAGGACCTCGGACAGCTCTGTGGGCACGGACACACACCGCATACACACCAGTCAGTGTCATTATTGTTGTTATTGTTGTGATTCTGTGGAGGCGTCTGGGGTGTGGGAGGGGGCAGACGTACGTGCATGAGCCAAGCTGAGAGCCCAGAGGCGCAGGTAGGAGGCCGTGTTGGAGATGCAGCCCAGACAGTACTCTATGGTGTGGATGGCCTGGTGCACGGCTACATCCCCGAAATCAAACTGTGCCGAGATCACATCATCATCATCGTCATCATCATCGTCATCCTCACAGCAGTAAACATGGTGTGTACACTTGTGTGAATGTGTGAGCCACTATCTGAACAGGCTAACTTGTCATTTAAAGTAGTATGTTTTTCATGTCCAGTCGTCATTAAAGGGCCCTAATCTGTCGTCATTAAAGGGCCCTAATCTGTCGTCATTAAAGGGCCCTAGTCTGTCGTCATTAAAGAGCCCTAGTCTGTCATCATTAAAGGGTTCTAATCTGTCATAATTAAAGGGCCCTAATCTGTTTTTATTAAAGGGCCCTAATCTGTCATCATTAAAGGGCCCTAATCTGCTTTTATTAAAGGGCCCTAATCTGCTTTTATTAAAGGGCCCTAATCTGTCATCATTAAAGGGCCCTAATCTGTCATCATTAAAGGGTTCTAATCTGTCATCATTATGATATATTTGAATTTCTAAATTACTTTTCCAGCCCCTAAATCTTGTTATTGTTTTCATTTCGATGTCCCGCCCTCCACCGTTTCACCAATCAGAAAGTCTGTGATCCGGGCGCCAGAACTCACCGCGTGGAGATAATCTCACTGGTAAAGTACCATGTGGCGCAAAACTAAAAAAGGTCTCGTTATGATTCTCAAATCATTAACGACAAAACAAGGAATAAAACCAGGATTTCTATCTTTGTGAAAAAGGTGTTGGTTATAGATTTGTTGTTGAAAAAACTCTTGTCTATTCAGCTGTTATGGTCCCAGCTGGATTCGTCTGCATATCTGGCAACCTGAGTCAGGGAGTGTGGGAGAGGCTGCAGTACCACTTTTGGCCACATGTTTACAGACTGCTCCTTTAAGTCGGCAGAACACCAGGCGGCTTATCAGGGGGAAAGTATTTGGACAACATTCTTTAGCTTTCTGTCTCGGAGCAACACAAGCCCTTCCTGTCTGGAACAGTCAGGTAAAAACAGAGGAACATATTACTCGTCTACACGGTTTGAGGGTTTGACTTGGCAGGACCAGTTTCCGTTTTTCCAGGTCCTCCTTTGTTCAAGTGAGATTTACACAGAGTTCATGGAAGAGGCCATTGTTGTTCCTTTTCAAAGAGTCAAAGGTTTGGATTACACCGTTCTCCCCATACATTATTATAAATATATGTGTGTGTGTGTGTGTGTGTGTGAGGTGTGAGATGTGTACTCACGGGTTCTTCCACAGTAGTCTGTAAAATAAACAAAAAGAAAAGTTAGACGGACTTTAACAATGTCAGTGTGAGAGGAGCGAGTAAACAAACTAGTAAAACTTCTGTGTTAGTGTTAAAGGTACACAGGAGGATTTTCTACTTCCGGATGGATCATCGAGACTATTGGCTCTCCCGGTTGTCAATCATTCTGGTGTTTAAAAAGTGGAGAGGGCGGTTCTTTCATAAAATCTGGAAAAATCCTCCTATAGACATTTAAATATTGAATAATAAATAACAAATAATAATAAATGGATACTGTTTAGATGGAGGCTTTTTGGGACTTTTTCATTTCACACCTTATGTACTCTACTTGATTTTTTTTACTTTTATTTACTATTTATGTTTCCTTTATATGGGCATAAGGGATATATAGACACATATGAAGGAGATTATTGCCAGATACTGTGAGCCAGGTGTGTCCAAACTCAGGCCCAGGGGCCAAATGCGGCCCTCAGTGTCATGTTATGTGGCCCTCTGCCTTAATAACGCAAAGTTGTCTATGAGATCATAAACACAAGTTCACCGTGTCATCCAGCCAACTTCAGCTCATATAGACCTCGTTCTTAAGCCCAGTCCCGAATTCAGTCATTATTAGTGGGTTTTTTATTGTGTCACAAACTTCCGTTAAAGATGCGAATGTAGCTGGTGAGATGGTAAACATGTGTCATTCAGCCAACTTCAGCTCTGTTATAGATCATTTTAAATCTCAGGCAAGACAGTTTTCGGTCTGAGATGTCGGCCCCTGAACTAGTTTGGTGAACTAAAGTGGCCCTCTTAGTAAAAGTTTGGACACCCCTGCTGTAAGCCAATCATAGAAAAAAGGTATCTGTCATAATCTGTAGCTATTTTAAATAATAATTATAAGAATATGACTAATTAATGCGGTAATCCGTGCATTAGTGTGTGAGTATAGACCCACCTCCTCGCCTTCGTCGGAGTGATGGGAGAGATGGTCGTGGTCCATGATCCCGGCCTCGTCCTCCGTGGGCCCATTCCCCACTCGGACCCCTCCCAGCTTCTGCGTTCCCTGTTGGGGGAGTCCGGTGGAGGATGAGGACACGCCTGTTTGCTCTAAAGACTGCGCTAGATTCTCTGCAGGGGTTTCTTTCCTCTTCTCGGACTAGATACAAAAGCCAGCTTAAGACATGCCTGAGCTGAGCCTCCACGACTGAGGAGGAGGATGAAAATGTCCAATAACAACATCGGGGGTAACTATGGGATGTTTGAGGATATACAGAGAGCAAAACGGAGAGAGATGCCTGTAATTTAGTATATTCCTCAATTGTGGGAGACAAAATGAGGAAAAATATCACTGAAACTTGCTTCTTTTTAAAAATTACTGTAGTTTGTGACTTCCTGTTGCTCCCAATGGCAAAAAAAAAGTCTTATTCTATGATGACCATTACCGACATCTCTCCTTTTTGCCCTTTTGTATCTTTTGTTTTGACACTGAAATCTTGTTTTTAATGTTGGACAATGTACAATGAAATTCATGGCAGAAGAGGAATGAAGAAAGTGAATGCAAGCAGAGAGAAGGTGAGGACAGACATACCAGGTGCAACTTCCACAGGTGCTGACGCCGAAGCACCATAGTTTTTACTATCAGCATACAAGGAACACATGCAAGGGCAATCAGGACCAGCAACACCTGGATCCCCATCTACAAATCAGACACAAGAGTTACATACAAGACATCTGTGACAACAACTGCTGCTGCCCTGTGTGCGTGTGTGTGTCTGTGTGTGTGTCTGTGTGTCTGTGTGTGTCTGTGTGTGTGTGTGTGTGTGTGGGTGTGTGTGTGTGTGTGTGTGTGTGTGTGTGTGTGTGTGTGTGTGTGTGTGTGTGTGTGTGTCTGTGTGTCTGTGTGTGTGCGTGTGTGTGTGTGCGTGTGTGTGTCTGTGTGGGTGTGGGTGTGTGTGTGTGTGTGTGGGTGTGTGTGTGTGTGCGTGTGTGTGTGTGTGTGTCTGTGTGGGTGTGGGTGTGTGTGTGTGCGTGTGTGTGTCTGTGTGGGTGTGTGTGTGTGTGTGTGTGTGTGTGTGTGTGTGTCTGTGTGGGTGTGTGTGTGCGTGTGTGTGTGTCTGTGTGTGTGCGTGTGTGTGTGTGCGTGTGTGTGTCTGTGTGTGTGGGTGTGTGTGTGTGTATATGTGTGTGTATGTGTGTGTGTGTGTGTGTGTGTATATGTGTGTGTACAGAGGTATGGAGAAGGCAGCACCTGGCCTGTATACAGAGGTTTGTCGGGTTGTTGTGTGTGTGTGTATATATGTGTGTGTGTGTGTGTGTGTATATGTGTGTGTACAGAGGTATGGAGAAGGCAGCACCTGGCCTGTATACAGAGGTTTGTCGGGTTGTTGTGTGTGTGTGTATATATGTGTGTGTGTGTGTGTGTGTGTGTGTATATATGTGTGTGTACAGAGGTATGGAGAAGGCTGCACCTGGCCTGTATACAGAGGTTTGTCGGGTTGTTGTGTGTGTGTGTATATATGTGTGTGTGTGTGTGTGTGTGTGTATATATATGTGTGTGTACAGAGGTATGGAGAAGGCTGCACCTGGCCTGTATACAGAGGTTTGTCGGGTTGTTGTGTGTGTGTGTGTATATGTGTGTGTGTGTGTGTGTGTGTGTGTATATATATGTGTGTGTACAGAGGTATGGAGAAGGCTGCACCTGGCCTGTATACAGAGGTTTGTTTGTCGGGTCGTTGTAGTTGAACAAACACATGTTGATGAAGTGGATCAGGAGACTGGGAGCGTCTTTAGAGTTGAACACATCGTACGCCGACCATTTGTAGAAAATCAGCAAAACCAAGTAACCAAAGAGGGACGACATGAACACAATCTCGGGAATGAACCCCAGGAAAATGTTCAGGGGCTTCTTGAAGTACCTACGACGAGAAGAAGGAAGATCAAAGCCAAGGTCCGTCACTTTTCAGATGCAAGCAGCCGTTAGTCCCGCCCCCACAGCTTCCTGTTTGCGACAGTGGCTCAGTTGGTAGAGCATTGGCCATTGAGCCTGAAGGTTGTGGGTTCGATGACCACCACGAGACCTACTTCATGACTCCCACTGATGTCTGCTGTTGTTGTGTCCTTGGGCAAAACACTTAACCCCACTTTGTCTGAAGCCTCCGCTGAAAGATCAAGGCAGCTCTATGTACTGGGCGAAGCGCTGACTGCCACCCCCGGACCCAGAAATGGATTAAGGGGAAGAAAATGGATGGATGGGAGACTGGGAGAACCAGACTGAAGACCTGAGTACTTTACCCAGGACAGTGGAACTCTTAAGTCTGGTGAGGTTAGGCCTTATAATAGGGGTGGGAATAGGGCACTTAGAGTCGGGCTGCTGGCCTGAGGGTGGTGGTCGTGGTTAGGGTGGAGGAGGGTGGAGGAGGGGGTGAGGAGGCCAGGGTGACAGAGGCCTTGCTTCTAAAACCTGTCTGACCATACCTGTCTCTCTCTCTCTCTTTTTCATACCTGTCTCTCTCTCTCTCTTTTTCATTGCTGTCTCTCTCTCTCTTTTTCATTCCTGTCTCTCTCTCTCTCTTTTTCATACTTGTCTCTCTCTCTCTCTTTTTCATTGCTGTCTCTCTCTCTCTTTTTCATTCCTGTCTCTCTCTCTCTCTTTTTCATACTTGTCTCTCTCTCTCTCTTTTTCATCGCTGTCTCTCTCTCTCTTTTTCATACTTGTCTCTCTCTCTCTCTTTTTCATTGCTGTCTCTCTCTCTCTTTTTAATACCTGTCTCTCTCTCTCTCTTTTTCATACCTGTCTTTCTCGCTCTCTCTTTTTCATACCTGTCTCTCTCTTTTTTCATACCCGTCTCGCTCTCTCTCTCTTTTTCTTACCTGTCTCTCTTTTCATACCTCTCTCTCTCTTTTTCATACCTGTCTCTCTCTCTCTTTTCATACCTGTCTCTCTCTCTCTTTTCATACCTATCTCTCTCTCTCTCTTTTTCATACCTGTCTCTCTCTTTTCACACCTGTCTCTCTCTCTCTCTCTTTTCACACCTGTCTCTCTCTCTCTCTCTTTTCACACCTGTCTCTCTCTCTCTCTCTTTTCACACCTGTCTCTCTCTCTCTCTCTTTTCACACCTGTCTCTCTCTCTCTCTCTTTCTCTTTTCACACCTCTCTCTCTCTCTCTCTCTCTTTTCACACCTGTCTCTCTCTCTCTCGCTCTCTCTCTTTTCACACCTGTCTCTCTCTCTCTCTCTCTTTTCACACCTATCTCTCTCTCTCTTTTCACACCTGTCTCTCTCTCTCTCTCTTTTCACACCTGTTTCTCTCTCTCTCTTTTCACACCTGTCTCTCTCTCTCTCTTTTCACACCTGTCTCTCTCTCTCTCTCTCTCTCTCTTTTCACACCTGTCTCTCTCTCTCTCTCTCTCTTTTCACACCTGTCTCTCTCTCTCTCTCTCTCTTTTCACACCTATCTCTCTCTCTCTTTTCACACCTGTCTCTTTCTCTCTCTCTTTTCACACCTGTCTCTCTCTCTCTCTTTTCACACCTCTCTCTCTCTTTTCACACCTGTCTCTCTCTCTCTCTCTCTCTCTCTTTTCACACCTGTCTCTCTCTCTCTCTCTCTCTCTCTCTGGTCTCAGTTTTGTGGCAGTGCGACTCACATGTGGTTGAACAGACTCAGAGATACTCCAAAGATCATGTGGATGACACCGAGAACGACGGACATTTTCATCTTGAACGAGTTGAGGAAAGTCAGTTTGTTGGTGGCGATGTTCCATATCTAAACAAAACAATATCATTTACAAACGTCCCTCAGAAGACTGGGCCAAAATTCCATCAGTGTGTGTTTGTTACCGGATCAATCCCCAGAGGATACGGCCCGTTAAACACGCCTGGGATCGCTGGGTCCAACTGAAGCGCTGCGTTTGCTTCAAGAGTCTCAAACCTGAAGGAAAAGAGTCCAGTCAGTGTCAAAGGACTGATTTAAAGCTACTGTACCTAACTTTTAACCACAAGGACTTTAATCATGTAATATAACGGTAAATAAATTGACAAATCCCCCTGTTAAGATGCCATCAGAGCTTACCTCCAAAACCAAATGTAATGAGTTTGCAGAGTTTTTTAATGACAAAGTCCAAGGCATCAAAAATGCCATCACCTCCACAGTAGAAATTACAATCCAACAGCCAGTGAAGCTTTTTGGGCTGACACACTTTACACCAGTACAAAATGAAACTGTCCAAATGATAATTACAAGTCTGAGTTCTTCTACATGTAGCCTGGATGTATTACCTCCTAGATTTCTTAAATCTGTTCTGAGCAGTCTTTTACCTTCACTCACGCATATAGTAAATATGTCTCTTGAATCTGGAACATTCCCAATGGCCCTGAAAACGGCAGTCATCAGATCCCTCCTAAAAAAGAGGAGTCTGGATGCCTTGGCACTTAAAAGTTATCGGCCCATTTCAAATCTGCCTTTCATGGGTAAAATTCTAGAAAAAGTTGTCTATCACCAACTTACAGAATTTTTAATAATCAATCACTCTTTTGATATGTTCCAGTCTGGTTTTAGACCCCACCACAGCACAGAGACCGCTCTAGTGAAGGTAACAAATGACATCAGACTTAACACTGACGCAGGAAAAGTCTCAGTTCTTATCCTGTTAGATTTGAGTGCTGCTTTCGACACTGTCGATCATGGTATCCTCATTCAGAGACTTGAGGACTGGGTTGGTGTTTCTGGAACAGCCCTAAGCTGGTTTATATCCTACCTACAGGACAGAAAGTATTTTGTGGAGATCGGAAACTGTGTCTCAGACCATCTGGCCCTGACCTGCGGAGTGCCACAGGGCTCAATCCTGGGGCCTCTCCTGTTTAATATTTACATGCTGCCTCTGGGTAGGTTAATACACAGTAATAACGTGTCCTATCACAATTACGCTGACGATACTCAGGTCTATGTGTCCCTGACAGCAGGAGAACATGGACCAGTGGACTCGCTCCTTCACTGTATCCAACAGATCAGTGATTGGATGCAAAATAACTTTCTCCAGCTAAACACAGAAAAAACTGAAATTATTGTTTTCGGACCTCAGAAACAAAGAGAGAGCGTTATCTGCCACCTCCAGTCTCTCTCCCTGAAACCCTCAACTCAGGTCAGAAATCTAGGAGTAATAATGGACTCAGACTTGAATTTCAATAGCCACATATCATCTGTGACATCATCAGCTTACTTCCACCTAAGAAACATTGCTAAAATTAAAAACATTGTGTCTAAAGCAGACTTGGAGATTCTTATCCACGTATTTGTCTCCAGTCGATTGGACTACTGCAATGGCTTGTTCACAGGTCTCTCTAAACAAGCGGTAAAACAGCTGCAGTACATCCAAAATGCTGCAGCTCGAGTCCTGACTAGAACCAGGAAGTACGACCACATTAGTCCGGTCCTCAGGTCTCTGCACTGGCTTCCTGTGGCTCAGAGAATAGATTTTAAAGTAGCTTTACTTGTGTACAAGTCTCTCCATGGCCTCGCACCAGGGTACATCCGCGACATGTTGGTGCCATATGAACCAACTCGGGCTCTGAGGAGCACAGGGACTGGACTTCTGTTAGTGCCAAGAGTCGGAACTAGACATGGGGAGGCTGCGTTTCAGATTCATGCAGCTAGAGTCTGGAACCGTCTTCCCGAGAGTGTGAGACAGGCGTCTACTCTAGCAGTTTTTAAAACTGAACTGAAAACAGTTCTTTTTAGCTGTGCATACAAGTGAATGATTTTACATTTGTTTTTATCTTTAATCTTTTTAATGCGCTATGATTATTTATGATTATTTATGATTGTAATCCCTTGTGTGATTTTAATTTTTTACGGTTTTTAACTACTTGTGTGATTTTATATATCTTGTGCTCTTAATCTGTCTTTTTATGTTTACTTAAATTCTAATGTTTGATGATTTATGCATGATGTTATATGGGTTGTGAGGCGCTTTGCGTTGCCTTGTGTAGGAAAGGCGCTCTATAAATAAACGTTGATTGATTGATTGATTGATAATCCATACAACCAGCTCCTCTCTCACATGTTTAGATCAGAAGAGTCCTAAGATCACATGTTTTATTATATGTTTGTTGTAAAATTGTGTTGTCTCCAGGAAAGAAAACTTAGGTGCCCGGGCTTTAATCTGAATCAGAATCCTTTTTTTTTATTATTGCTATGCAAGAAACAGGAAACCACAAACTAGGAAATAGATTTGGCTCTCGGTGCAAACTAGTTATACAGGTAAAAATAGTATATGTTTAAAAAGAAAAGTTTCTACCATATAAAATTACTACTATATAGAATATTTTAAATTCAGATTGAGAACACTTAAGACGTCCTTTTTGAAATGTTTTCATAATCTGTAAGTTTATGTAACTTTTAGCTGTCTCTTGTCCAGGACTTTTTAAAGATATACAGAAGGATTTTCTTTGTCCCGGGGGGTTCATCAAGACTATTGGTCCTCCCAAATGTCAATCATTTTGGTGATAGGTGCACGTATAATCAATACAATAAATAAGGTAAATATATAAATTTCAATAAAATAAATAAGTAATATTTAAATATATACTGTAGCTCCTTTCTCAGACCAGAGTCAAAGCGGTTTACAATTGTGGGCATTAGTTTGTCACTCCACACAGAGATGGGAGGGGCCAGTACAGGAGGCACAGACCTATTGTACATGTTTTTAGTGGTAGGGTAAACCGGAGCACCCGGAGGAATCCTACGCAGACGCGGGGAGAACATGCAAACTCCACTCAGAAAGGCCCTGTTCTGACCTGGATTCGAACCCAGGACCTTCATGCTGAGAAGCGAGAGTGCTAACCACTCAGCCACCATGCCGTCCGTGTCGCCCACTGTGCCCAAATAAAATAAATGAATAAATAAATGAATTAATATATATGAGTGTGTTCACAGTAAAGTGACAATTGAAGTATCTGGACTTTAAAAGGTTATAACTTAAAAACTAAAATTACTTTCATAGATTGGAAAAAAGATTTCAAACACAGACACATTGAAGAGATAGTGTGGAAAAAATCAAAAGGAAAGATTGACATAAAAATGTTTAGCAACATTTTAAACGACCAAAGCAGCCTCTGATTGGCCCATTCTACTGCGACGCCAGTTACATAGGAAATAAAACGTCCTCAGTCTGAAAAAGCAGAAGATGAAATCCCACAGATTTACACGGTTAACACAACAGAAGGAAATTACTTGATATAAAAAGGAATCGTGAATTTTTTTAAATTAATTAATTAATTAAATGACCCCTGAAAAATGTATAATGGACGTGATGAGGACAGTCCTCTTTTCTCTAAAAATTAAACTTGAGAGAAAAAAAATCTGGTCTGTTTTCAGATTTAATTGGTTGATAATATGAAAGTATAACTTTGCATCTACTTTGTGTAAAAAAATAGAATCTGAATCAAATGTGGACATCTGAAAATACCATCAAACTTCCACAAAGCTCATTCCGTCAAATCATCGTCCGTTACATAAAATAAACAGGGCGCTGTAGGAAACTTGTCTAATGTATAAAACAGTTTTGTTCTAGAAACTTCTGATGAACAGAGGAGGTGTTGGAAACATGAAAAACATAAAATATCTTCTGATTATTAAAATCTAATTTTTGGCCTTTTGTCACACTTTTGTGCCCTTTAGTGTGAACAAGCCCATATATAAATTAAATAAAAAATTGAAAAATACAATTTAATATTTTTTTAAATAAATAAATAAAGTTTAAAAAAATAAAATAAAATGAAATCAATAAAATCCATAAAATCAATAAAATAAAAAATGCACTAATTACACAAGCAACCATAAACTTAAACTTACGACCAGTTGGCTCCCTTGGGCCCAAACATGGGCCGCACACTCCAGCCGGAGCCGAACATGTTGAGAGACTTGGAGAAGCAGTCGTTGTAGATGATTCCAGTGTAGACGGAGAACATCCCCATGAGGAGAATGATGTAGCGTCCGGCAAACACCATATTAAACATCTGTGATTCAGGAAACAGCGTTAGACTGGACCTCACAGAACAAAACAGACTCCGCGGGTTCGGACCTCGTTATCGGTTTTCTGAGCCAAGAGGCGGCTTTCTCGAACGACCAGGTACAGAGCGATGCAGGTCATCAGCAAACCGTGGCCCATGTCCCCGAACATGACGGCGAACAGGAAGGGGAAGGTGATGATGGTGTACGGAGCTGCAACACACAAACACAGCTGTAAATACACAAAACTTAAAACTTAAAACACTCTTATTAGGATTATGTTCAAGATTGTTTGTTTTATTTGAATTAGTATAGTTTGGATCTCTTAATCTTAATCTCTCACTTGAAATAAGAAAACACAGCAGTCGTTGGCCATGATGAGGCTGTTCGATTGGTCCTTTCATGTTTTAGAAATAAGAGAACATGCAAACTCCACACAGAAAGGTGGAGGTGGACTCGAACCCATAACCACTCGTATGTAGCTAGTATTTAAACATTACACATTTCTATTAGAGAAAAGAGTCTGAGCACTGGTTTTAAGTATATTTTTCTTATTTCCAGATATTTCTTCTTGTTTAGATAAAATAAGTTTGTGATGCTGTATTTTAAGAAAAAATTTCTCAAAAATGTTTAATAAATAAGCAAATAATACTTGAAATGTATGTTTTTAAACTAGAATCAAGTCGTTTGGGGCAAGTTTTATTTTATTATTTTCAGAAAATCTTAAGTCATATTTTCTTGTTCTATTTGTAGATTTTTTATTATAATTTTTTTATTTTAAGCAATTTTTTTCCAAATTTGTATACAGTTTTTTTGTTATTTTCTAATGTTTTTTTTTCCAGTTGTTGTGCTTTATAATCTTGCAGCAAACTTACCCGGGTTAATCTCTCTGTAGTTCCCGATGCCGTAAGCGTCGACGATGTTCTGGAACCCGGAAGTGAACTTGTTGGTCTTGTTGAAGGTCGGAGGCGTCTGTTGGGTTTGCATCCGGTTGAGAATGGACGGCACCGTTGACCCGCTTCTCTCCTGCGGGAATAACGAAGCCAAAACATGATCAAAGAAGAAACCAAGCCCTGAACAGAGCTAGCTTACATCGTATCCTCTGGAGAGACTGGTCTGAGGGAGAGACCTGCGGGACCGCCTCGGACTATCTGCGCTCGGACTATCTGCGCTCGGACTATCTACGCTCGGACTATCTACGCTCGGACTATCTACGCTCGGACTATCTACGCTCGGACTACGCTCGGACTATCTACACTCGGACTATCTACGCTTGGACTATTTACGCTCGGACTATCTACGCTCTGACTATCTACGCTCGGACTACCTACGCTCGGACTACCTACGCTCGGACTAAATACGCTCGGACTATCTACGCTCGGACTATCTACGCTCGGACTATCTACGCTCGGACTATCTACGCTCGGACTATCTACGCTCGGACTATCTACGCTCGGACTATCTACGCTCGGACTATCTACACTCGGACAATCTACGCTTGGACTATTTACGCTCGGACTATCTACGCTCTGACTATTTACGCTCGGACTATCTACGCTCGGACTACCTACGCTCGGACTATCTACGCTCGGACTATCTACGCTCGGACTATCTACGCTCGGACTATCTACGCTCGGACTATTTGCGCTCGGACTATCTACGCTCAGACTATTTACACTCGGACTATCTACGCTCGGACTATCTACGCTCGGACTATCTACGCTCGGACTATCTACGCTCGGACTATCTACGCTCGGACTATTTGCGCTCGGACTATCTACGCTCAGACTATTTACACTCGGACTATCTACGCTCTGACTATCTACGCTCGGACTATCTACACTCGGACTATCTACGCTCGGACAATCTACGCTCGGACTATCTACGCTCGGATTATCTACGCTCGGACGATCTACGCTCGAACTATCTACGCTGGGACGATCTACGCTCGGACGATCTACGCTCGGACTATCTACGCTCGGACTATCTACGCTCGGACTATCTACGCTGGGACTATCTATGCTCGGACTATCTACGCTCGGACTATCTACGCTCGGACGATCTACGCTCGGACTATCTACGCTGGGACGATCTACGCTCGGACGATCTACGCTCGGACTATCTACGCTCGGACTATCTACGCTCGGACTATCTACGCTTGGACTATCTATGCTCGGACTATCTACGCTGGGACTATCTACGACGCTCGGACTGTTTACGCTTGGACTATCTACGACGCTCGGACTATCTACACTCGGACTATCTACGCACGGACTATCTACGCTCGGACTATCTACGCTCGGACTATCTACGCACGGACTATCTACGCACGGACTATTTACGCTTGGACTATCTACGCTCGGACTATCTACGCACGGACTATCTACGCTCGGACTATTTACGCTTGGACTATCTACGCTCGGACTATCTACGCACGGACTATCTACGCTCGGACTATTTATGCTCGGACTATCTACGCACGGACTATCTACGCTCGGACTATCTACGCTCGGACTATCTACGCTCGGACTATCTACGCACGGACTATCTACGCTCGGACTATCTACGCTGGGACAGTCTACGACGCTCGGACTATCTACACTCGGACTATCTACGCACGGACTATCTACGCTCGGACTATCTACGCTCGGACTATCTACACTCGGACTATCTACGCTGGGACTATCTATGCACGGACTATCTACACTCGGACTATCTACGCTCGGACCACATTCAGATGTGAAACTAGTGGTAATCTTTCAGTTATATATTTTGTTAGCAGTGCGTTGCTTTTGTACCATTTCATCAGTGATTGTTGTACAGCTTAAGTTGTGCTAATGCTAATGTTAGCATACGTATCAGATCACAAACAAAACTAGATGGCTCCGTGGGAGGAGAGCGTGGGGGAAATGAGAAGCCTGTGAGCGAGTTGGGGGGCGGGGCTAAACATTCAAACGTTGCAGAAACGGGTATAGCACCTTTAATGTCTTTTGTCTTTAGTGTGAACAAGCCCACCTCCTCATCACTGTAAGGACCAATGGCCGCGCTGTGACTTACAGTTCCCCGGCGCAGAGCGAACTGAATGGAGTCCAGGTCTGAGACGGGACACCACACTTCCGCGATGAGACACTTCTGTGTCACGTCGATGTTGCACAGGTTCAGAGTGTGGTAAATGGCTTTCATCTTTCTCACTTTGATGAACCACACCCTCATGGTCTTGGAGGCGGCCTGCAGCACCCTCTGGCGATGGTCCTCCGTTTGGTTCAAGACCTGAAGACCAAAAACCTTACATTAATATAACCACACAACCTCGTGACAGTTTTTCCACAACGTACAGTCCGCTTTACTAATGTCACTCATTTACTTAAAAAAACTGCCATAAAGCCATGGATCTATAATAATAACTGGATAGTGTATTACTAGCTTATAGCTAGTGGCCCACCCATGGCCACAGGGGGCGCCGTGGTACTGCAGACTACCCAGAAAATAGTCCCATAAAACTCAATGTAAACTAAAACAGCTCGACCTCAGCTGACAGAGAACCTGACAGAGAACCTGACAGAGAACCTGACAGAGAACCTGCCAGAGAACCTGACAGAGAACCTGCCAGAGAACCTGACAGAGAACCTGACAGAGAACCTGACAGAGAACCTGACAGAGAACCTGACAGAGAACTTACAGAGAACCTGACAGAGAACTTACAGAGAACTTACAGAGAACCTGACAGAGAACCTGCCAGAGAACCTGACAGAGAACTTATAGAGAACCTGACAGAGAACCTACAGCTTTCGTAAAGGTCGGATTTCGTGGGGATTTTAGTGTCCCGTGTCATCCTTTAAATCCACACTTTACTGCCACAAACTCCTTCCCGCTCTGACTCCGCCCTGCTGCTGCTCTGATCAGCTCTGATTGGTCAAAGCGCGGCCGAGCCCCTCTCTGCACATGCATGAAAGCACACACGCGTATTTGGTGCAAAGCATCATGGGAGCTCGTCCACTGCACAGAACCGGGAGGACCAGACGATGCCCAAATATAGGCAAGTTCCACTAATCTCTCGGTCTCCGTGAAGTCCCATACGCTACTGAGCACAAGCCGTTCATTTGAATAGGACGCCATCTTGGATCACCGAGGCTTGCATACAGCCAACATCCGCTAGCTTGCCGCTAAGCTAGCTGCTGCTGTCTTGAGGCTTATGTAAATTAAAAATGTGGGTATCGGTTCCCCAGATCGGGTCCTACGGTATGAGTATGAGTAAGAATACACGGCTATGGAATCCAATACCAGTATCGGTATCGGTGCGTCCCTACACAAAAGAAATATCACAAAAAACAACAACATACACCTAATTCTCTTGTCAAAAAAGAAATCTCTGGCCATTTTCGAGCTTGGCACCTGATGGGAAATAGCTCGGTCTGAGACAGAAGATAAAGTGAAAGTCTTTGAAACCACATCCTGCTGGACCCAGTCTGTGATTCATTCATGTATTCACCACAAACAAAGAAAACCAGGGCCTTTTGATGGAGGCGTCGGATTCCAAAGTATTTGAAAGATATTTACACCGTGCTACAGTATTTTCTCAAACGTCAAGTGAATGAGGTGTGGGATAAACAAGTGTTATTATAGACAGATTATAGATTACAGACGTAGAAGAACATGTAGGCCTACGCTGCATACAGATGTCTCAGATTATAGATTACAGACAGATGTAGAAGAGCATGTAGGCCTACACTGCATACAAATGTCTCAGATTATAGATTATAGACAGATGTAGAAGAACATGTAGGCCTACGCTGCATACAGATGTCTCAGATTTCAGACAGATGTAGAAGAACATGTAGGCCTACGTTGCATACAGATGTCTCAGATTATAGATTATAGACAGATGTAGAAGAACATGTAGGCCTACGCTGCATACAGATGTCTCAGAATATAGATTCTAGACAGATGTAGAAGAACATGTAGGCCTACGCTGCATACAGATGTCTCAGATGATAGATTATAGACAGATGTAGAAGAACATGTAGGCCTACGCTGCATACAGATGTCTCAGATGATAGATTATAGACAGATGTAGAAGAACATGTAGGCCTACGCTGCATACAGATGTCTCAGATTATAGATTATAGACAGATGTAGAAGAACATGTAGGCCTACGCTGCATACAGATGTCTCAGATTATAGATCACAGACAGATGTAGAAGAACATGTAGCCCTACGCTGCATACAGATGTCTCAGATTATAGATTATAGACAGATGTAGAAGAACATGTAGGCCTACGCTGCATACAGATGTCTCAGAATATAGATTCTAGACAGATGTAGAAGAACATGTAGGCCTACGCTGCATACAGATGTCTCAGATGATACATTATAGACAGATGTAGAAGAACATGTAGGCCTACGTTGCATACAGATGTCTCAGATTATAGATTACAGACAGATGTAGAAGAGCATGTAGGCCTACGCTGCATACAAATGTCTCAGATTATAGATTATAGACAGATGTAGAAGAACATGTAGGCCTACGCTGCATACAGATGTCTCAGATTATAGATTATAGACAGATGTAGAAGAACATGTAGGCCTACGCTGCATACAGATGTCTCAGATGATACATTATAGACAGATGTAGAACATGTAGGCCTACGTTGCATACAGATGTCTCAGATTATAGATTACAGACAGATGTAGAAGAGCATGTAGGCCTACACTGCATACAAATGTCTCAGATTATAGATTATAGACAGATTTAGAAGAACATGTAGGCCTACGCTGCATACAGATGTCTCAGATTATAGATTACAGACAGATGTAGAAGAACATGTAGCCCTACGCTGCATACAGATGTCTCAGATTATAGATTATAGACAGATGTAGAAGAACATGTAGGCCTACGCTGCATACAGATGTCTCAGATTATAGATTATAGACAGATGTAGAAGAACATGTAGGCCTACGCTGCATACAGATGTCTCAGAATATAGATTCTAGACAGATGTAGAAGAACATGTAGGCCTACGCTGCATACAGATGTCTCAGATGATACATTATAGACAGATGTAGAAGAACATGTAGGCCTACGCTGCATACAGATGTCTCAGATTATAGATTCTAGACAGATGTAGAAGAACATGTAGGCCTACGCTGCATACAGATGTCTCAGATGATACATTATAGACAGATGTAGAAGAACATGTAGGCCTACGTTGCATACAGATGTCTCAGATTATAGATCACAGACAGATGTAGAAGAGCATGTAGGCCTACGCTGCATACAAATGTCTCAGATTATAGATTATAGACAGATGTAGAAGAACATGTAGGCCTATGCTGCATACAGATGTCTCAGATTATAGATTACAGACAGATGTAGAAGAACATGTAGGTCTACGCTGCATACAGATGTCTCAGATTATAGACAGATGTAGAAGAACATGTAGGCCTACGCTGCATACAGATGTCTCAGATGGTACATTATAGACAGATGTAGAAGAACATGTAGGCCTACGCTGATTGAAAAACATGCACTTCTAAAGAGTCTATTTTCTAAAGGTTTTCTAAAGTCTGACCATTTGGAGGTCGTCGATGCGGCTGTTGACTCCGGCCAGCATCTCCTTCCTCTCCTGTGGGGTTTCAGGGCAGGGGTACAGAGAGGCGCGGAACCTGAACCACAAAAACAAAACATTTATTATTGCCATGAAATAACATACATTGTTATTGCTGTTTTTTTCATCAATGGTAAAAATCAGGAATGTGAAAATTCTAATCTTTTTGCAGTTGCTTAAATGTAGTTTTGATAATGAAGAAGGCACCTAGAGCTTTTTGATTCTGCCGTCTCCTTTTGAGCTTTGTTTCTTGAAATATATGTACTTGTAAAACTACTTCTACTCGTTCTACTAATAATAGTAAAAAAAAAAGAGCCAAAACCAATTAAATGTCACCCAGAAACTGGCAACCCAAATGAGGGCCTCTTGCTGCTCTCTGATTGGATATAATTATATGATCTGTCTAACATATGAAAGTAATTAAAAATGAAAAAATGACACACTGTCCCTTTAAATGCTTTATATTGATGATAATGTCCAAACTGTGTCACAGAGTTAGCCTGGCCTTGTGATTACAATCGGTTTAATTCCATCCGACCAATCAGAGAGCGCGGGAGGCGGGTGTTGTAGTTAGATGTGGGTGACGTCAAGAGTTAGCGTCGAACGGGAAGGTTGTAGTTTGTGAAGAATGTGATAGTAAAGTATTCTGTTCTGGTTCTATCGAGAAACTGAAGCTGGAGCAAGAGGAATGTTTAGCAAATGTAATCGCTGAAAAGATTGTGGCGCTACTCCCCACGGGCTCCGTTAGCAGCAAAGGAGATGGCTAAAGCTAGGCTAAATGCTAAATGCTAACAACTCACTCGGGCTCATTACATACGTCACGGTAAACTCAGATCCAATCGTTTCAATCTGCAAAAGGAGTTAGCCCCTCCCACCTGTTCACGGAGCTGAATGGAGCACCTCCAGACCTTAGTATCAAATGTATATTGTACCTGTATGGTGTGGTACGACCAGGTTATCACAGAGCTTTAGTTTGATTTAAAAAAGTAAAATAAAAATAAAAACGTGAAAAGAGAAATTGAAAGTTTCCCGTTTGTAAAGACGTACCCTTCACAGATCTTCTTCACTCTGTTTTTCAGCTGGTCGCCTTGAAAGAAGATGATGAAGACTGATTTGTGGACATGGTCTCCCTGTGAATAAACAAATACACATCTCACAGGTTGCTATGAATCATGGGAAGTTAGGTTTTACTGCTACAAACTTGTATTTAGCTTTATCTCTGCATCCTTCATGTTGTTTTCGATCAGTACATTATTTTGAAACTGAGAATGCCCCTTTGTTTGAGAAGCACTCGTTGACTCACCGTAGCGGGGTCCTCCAGAGGGTCCTCGATCTCTGCCTTCCGCAAAAAGACATTTCCACGACACACTCTCCACAGCATCCTCTCGAAGGTGGGAATCCTCTCTCGACTGATGACACCGGCCACAAACCTGAGGCCCACAGAGAGACCACTCAGCGTGTAGGCCTACGCTGCATACAGACGTCTCAGATGATAGATTATAGACAGATGTAGAAGAACATGTAGGCCTACGCTGCATACAGATGTCTCAGATTATAGACAGATGTAGAAGAACATGTAGGCCTACGCTGCATACAGATGTCTCAGATTATAGACAGATGTAGAAGAACATGTAGGCCTACGCTGCATACAGATGTCTCAGATTATAGACAGATGAAGAAGAACATGTAGGCCTACGCTGCATACAGATGTCTCAGATTATAGATTATAGACAGATGTAGAAGAACATGTAGGCCTACTCTGCATACAGATGTCTCAGATGATAGATTATAGACAGATGTAGAAGAACATGTAGGCCTACGCTGCATACAGATGTCTCAGATTATAGACAGATGTAGAAGAACATGTAGGCCTACGCTGCATACAGATGTCTCAGATGATACATTATAGACAGATGTAGAAGAACATGTAGGCCTATGCTGCATACAGATGTCTCAGATTATAGACAGATGAAGAAGAACATGTAGGCCTACGCTGCATACAGATGTCTCAGATTATAGATTATAGACAGATGTAGAAGAACATGTAGGCCTACTCTGCATACAGATGTCTCAGATGATAGATTATAGACAGATGTAGAAGAACATGTAGGCCTACTCTTCATACAGATGTCTCAGATGATAGATTATAGACAGATGTAGAAGAACATGTAGGCCTGCTCTTCATACAGATGTCTCAGATGATAGATTATAGACAGATGTAGAAGAACATGTAGGCCTATGCTGCATACAGATGTCTCAGATTATAGACAGATGTAGAAGAACATGTAGGCCTACTCTGCATACAGATGTCTCAGATGATAGATTATAGACAGATGTAGAAGAGCATGTAGGCCTACGCTGCATACAGATGTCTCAGATTATAGATTATAGACAGATGTAGAAGAACATGTAGGCCTACGCTGCATACAGATGTCTCAGATTATAGATTATAGACAGATGTAGAAGAACATGTAGGCCTACTTTTCATACAGATGTCTTAGATGATAGATTATAGACAGATGTAGAAGAACATGTAGGCCTATGCTGCATACAGATGTCTCAGATTATAGATTATAGACAGATGTAGAAGAACATGTAGGCCTACGCTGCATACAGATGTCTCAGATTATAGACAGATGTAGAAGAACATGTAGACCTACTCTGCATACAGATGTCTCAGATGATAGATTATAGACAGATGTAGAAGAACATGTAGGCCTACGCTGCATACAGATGTCTCAGATTATAGATTATAGACAGATGTAGAAGAACATGTAGGCCTACGCTGCATACAGATGTCTCAGATGGTACATTATAGACAGATGTAGAACAACATGTAGGCCTACTCTGCATACAGATGTCTCAGATGATACATTATAGACAGATGTAGAAGAACATGTAGGCCTACGCTGCATACAGATGTCTCAGATTATAGATTATAGACAGATGTAGAAGAACATGTAGGCCTTATGAGTCATAGAGGTATTAGTTTCCTGGTTTGTCGTGTCCCAGAGTCTTACCCGAGCCTGAGAGGAGCTCCGCGGCCTGCTTCACTGGCCTCCATCAGAGAAGAAGACTCCTCCAGAAGGTTTGGGTCTTCCATCTTCAGAGAAACAAACACCATTAGAACAAATGTATAACACAATAATATTTAGTATATAGAAACTACACACTGCTAACAGTATTTTTAGGTGTCTGTGTATGATCGTTGGAAACAGGACTTTGGAGTCAAAAGTAGTGTGTTCTAAAGATTAAAGTTATGTCACTGTACTTCAATGATTTAATTAGAAAGTGTAGCACGAGATGATGAGTGACAGGTGGGCGGGGCATGTCTAGACAGCACCTTCAGATCTTTTACACCGATATTAGTAATAATAATAATAATGCATTGGTTTTAAATAGCGCTTTTTTGGACACACAAAGTCTCTTCATTCACTCCAGCACACTGACAGAAGCGAGGCACATGCTATTGGCCCCTCCCACCACCACCAACCATTCACACACACACACACACACACACACACACACACACACACACACACACACACCAGACTCATTCTAGAAAATCTGGGTGAAGTGTCTTGCCTAAGGACACAACCACAGTTTGGCACTTTACAGCCGCCCCACTGTGGCACCTGCTGTTCCCAGAGGTCCCCCATCACAGTACTAACCAGGCCCTTCCCTGCTTAGCTTTTTTTTTTCTTTTTTTTTTTCAGACTTCTCAGATTCTTTCACATTCATTTAGATTCAATTATTGGAGAAAAAACCCACAAACCTCGTCAAAAAACTGCTGTGTCCGTCGCAGAATGTGCTTGAGTTCGGTCAGTTCCAGAAAGTTCTTCTTCAGAGCCTCTTGGTTTGTGTTGATCTCTTTCAGCTCGTTCTCCAGCTTCTCAAACGTGGCCTGCGACAAACAGCAGCAAAGTCTAGTTTGGGACAATATTTCTTGCCTCCTCTTAAAGTCATTTCAGTTCTTTTGTTATGAACTTATATAAATAAACTGTCTTTGAGCATCTTTTTGGTAAACTTTTGTAACTGGGAGAACAGAGAATCTCTTTATATTTATACGTTGACATTGGCCTACCTCCAGGTCAATCATGTCTCGAGGAAAAGGAACCTCTGGATTCTCTCCTGTGTCCACTGTGGGAATGTTGACCTTTTTGATCTCCTTTTCCACAAATCCTGTTAAAGGTTAAAAGAATTGTAAATAAATGTATAAATGTATTAATTTCAAATATATTGAATCAAAGACATTTTGATCTTACTTAGTTTCCGGTCCATCTCCTCACATCTTCTCACCTCGTTCACAAACTTTCTCTGGAACACGTTTACGTCCGGATTCAGCTGGAAACAAATGACCGGAAATAATCAGCTACACATAAGTACGTATTGTTTTGGTCAGCACTTTGAGTTTCTGTGTTTGAAGGAGTAGCTCTCTGTCTTTAGTGTCCTTAAGGAGTAGCTCTCTGTCTTTAGTGTCCTACAGGAGTAGCTCTCTGTCTTTAGTGTCCTTAAGGAGTAGCTCTCTGTCTTTAGTGTCCTTAAGGAGTAGCTCTCTGTCTTTAGTGTCCTACAGGAGTAGCTCTCTGTCTTTAGTATCCTTAAGGAGTAGCTCTCTGTCTTTAGTGTCCTACAGGAGTAGCTCTCTGTCTTTAGTGTCCTACAGGAGTAGCTCTCTGTCTTTAGTGTCCTACAGGAGTAGCTCTCTGTCTTTAGTGTCCTACAGGAGTAGCTCTCTGTCTTTACTGTCCTACAGGAGTAGCTCTCTGTCTTTACTGTCCTACAGGAGTAGCTCTCTGTCTTTAGTGTCCTACAGGAGTAGCTCTCTGTCTTTACTGTCCTACAGGAGTAGCTCTCTGTCTTTAGTGTCCTACAGGAGTAGCTCTCTGTCTTTACTGTCCTACAGGAGTAGCTCTCTGCCTTTACTGTCCTACAGGAGTAGCTCTCTGTCTTTACTGTCCTACAGGAGTAGCTCTCTGTCTTTACTGTCCTACAGGAGTAGCTCTCTGTCTTTACTGTCCTACAGGAGTAGCTCTCTGTCTTTAGTGTCCTACAGGAGTAGCTCTCTGTCTTTAGTGTGGTGTGTGCTTTCTTCAGTCTGGGGTAAGTTTTGCTCAGTTTATTCCAATGTGGTTGTTGAATCTTGAATCTAGAATCTTGAATCTTGAATCTAGAATCTAGAATCTTGAATCTTGAATCTAGAATCTTGAATCTAGAATCTTGAATCTAGAATCTAGAATCTTGAATGTTGAATCTAGAATCTTGAATCTAGAATCTAGAATCTTGAATCTAGAATCTTGAATCTAGAATCTAGAATCTAGAATCTTGAATCTAGAATCTAGAATCTAGAATCTTGAATCTAGAATCTTGAATCTAGAATCTAGAATCTTGAATCTTGAATCTAGAATCTTGAATCTTGAATCTAGAATCTTGAATCTTGAATCTAGAATCTTGAATCTAGAATCTAGAATCTTGAATGTTGAATCTAGAATCTTGAATCTAGAATCTAGAATCTAGAATCTTGAATCTAGAATCTTGAATCTAGAATCTAGAATCTAGAATCTTGAATCTAGAATCTAGAATCTTGAATCTAGAATCTAGAATCTTGAATCTAGAATCTTGAATCTAGAATCTTGAATCTTGAATCTTGAATCTAGAATCTAGAATCTTGAATCTAGAATCTAGAATCTTGAATCTTGAATCTAGAATCTAGAATCTTGAATCTTGAATCTTGAATCTTGCATCTAGAATCTTGAATCTAGAATCTTGAATCTAGAATCTAGAATCTAGAATCTAGAATCTTGCATCTTGAATCTAGAATCTTGAATCTAGAATCTTGAATCTTGAATCTAGAATCTAGAATCTAGAATCTTGAATCTTGAATCTTGAATCTAGGGTGCAGCTCAAACGAGTGCTCTCACGTCTCTGAACTGGACCATGCCGAGCTCCCCCAGCTCACTGACGCAGCAGTAGGCCGCTTCAGACTGAAGGAAGAGCTGAGCCAGGGTCATCTCCTCACTGCGGAACAGCTCCCCCATGGTTCACTGCGCTCCGTCTCCAACAACCTACAAGAAAACACCGCTTTTACCATGTGTCCTACTGCTTTATAGTACATTTAGTTTACTTTGGACTGCACTGGAAACGGAAACAAGTCCTGAGTCGCTCTAAAACAGTTGTTGTTTTGTGTTTTACAATTGTTCATTTTCTTGCTTTTTTTCTGCCTGAGATTTTGCAGCAGTTCAGTGTTCATGGTTTTGCACTGGTCCAGACCAGAGCAGAGAGGATTCATGGTTTTACACTGGTCCAGACCAGAGCAGAGAGGATTCATGGTTTTACACTGGTCCAGACCAGAGCAGAGAGGATTCATGGTTTTACACTGGTCCAGACCAGAGCAGAGAGGATTTATGGTTTTACACTGGTCCAGACCAGAGTGTAGCAAAGTAAATTTTAGTGACCTCTCTCAAAACTTTAGTGTATTTTTTTAATTTGTTTATGTAAGTGTTATGTGAATTACACAGTTATTATTGTATTTTTATTACAAGTTTTATTATTTTTATAATTGTTTTTTGTCCTGGTCTTTGATTCGTTGTGCAGCTTTGGTCCTCCAGCCACTCCCGTGTTTATATTTCTTCTTCGTGTGTCCCCCGTTCCCCCACTATTGAGAATGAGGAGTCACGTGCCGAGTTGGGGTGATTTGGGGGGGGCTCTGAGCCTGTCGGACATATTGGCTGCGCAACGGGGGCACGCCCCCAGAATTTCACGCGCTCCTCATATTCCAGAGCACTTTAAATTATACGCATTTACGTTTTCGGCGAGACAGAGACGGATCTACTGATACAACAAGGGAAAGGAAGACAGTAAAACAATGCTTAGAGATAAGGCGAAAGAGAAGGGACCGTACAGGAACACGTTGTTTTGCAGTGTTTTGTGTCCCTTTGCACTAAGAAAAGTATGACTCTTATGATCATTTTTGCCTATGCTGTGCATGTTTACATGCTGGAAACAGTACTTTGAATGCACACGTTGTTTAGCAGTGTTTTGTGTCCCTTTGCACTAAGAAAAGTATGACTCTTATTATCATTTTTACCTATGTTGGGCATGTTTACATGCTGGAAACAGTACTTTGACTGCACACGTTTGTAACAAAAAAAATATTCATTTCTCAATAAATATTGGTAAACCATATCAAGTTGTTTCATGCATTTATTTAAAAATAAAAGATACAGTAAAGAATAAGGTACTCAAACAACACTTTTGCACAGTTCGTTAAGGCACAGCAAACAATGACAATCTTATCCAAAGGCATTAGGTTTTCACCCTCACATTTGACAAGCATGTGCACAGGTACAGTTGAGTGTAAGAATTTGAATTTGTTGCGCACAACACCGATCACCCTCTCCACGTGAATTCTGAGATGTGCTATGGCCCTAGTCTCCTCCACATCTTTCGCCTCAAGCTGAGCACGACCCCTGGTGAATGTAGGTATTTTCACTTCAGCACACATCATGCCCACATTTTCTCTTATATTAAAAGCCTCTATCTGCCAGCACAATGTCACCTGGTAACAGCTTGTTCAGGAAACCACTTTGCTCGGTTATATGCTTGTCGCTTGTGCGCCCACCCCACCCGTTCGATATGAAGGAAATAATACCCTGGGGCGTGATCACGATTAGGTATTTCATAGTGTATGCGTGTTTGTATTGAGAAAAAGTCTGTGCCCTTGCTAGTACATTGGAAGGTTTCTCGATGAACACCTCGAAGCAGTCCACAATGGCAGCCACATTGTTCCCAAATGACTCCACAAACTGGTGTGGCATACTGGTCAATAAGCATTCCCTACTTGGCCAGTGCACCAATGGACACAGCTGTGCGTACATCACACCAAGGGTATGGTGAAAGGCATCGGCGACTGTTGTCCTATGTACTCTAAACAGATGGCTGAGGTGCTGTATTGGAAGGTCCAGTCTGAGGCGCATTAAAGTCAATAGGACAAGCTGGAAGGGTGAGAGCTTCTTCATTCTACCTTGAGGCAGATCTGGAGTTAGGTAGAGTAGAAGTGTCTGGAACAATGCAAAGTTTGGAAGCCCCGTGTAATACTTCACTGTGTTATCATCACCACTCAGAAAGTTTTCATTCATCCGGTACGTATCAAGCTCACGCTTCAGCTGTCTGTTTTTCTTCAAGAAGATTGTTGATAACATCTCGTCTAGATGTGCAGAGTCCACATTCCATGTCCGGGTCAGCTGGCGGCTGGTCTAGGGCTGGCGGCGGCGGCGCCTGCGGCTGGTCTAGGGCTGGCGGCGGCGGCGCCTGCGGCTGGTCTAGGGCTGGTGGCGGCGGCGCCTGCGGCTGGTCTAGGGCTGGTGGCGGCGGCGCCTGCGGCTGGTCTAGGGCTGGTGGCGGCGGCGCCTGCGGCTGGTCTAGGGCTGGTGGCGGCGGCGCCTGCGGCTGGTCTAGGGCTGGTGGCGGGTGCAGCTGGTCTAGGGCTGGTGGCGGCTGCAGCTGGTCTAGGGCTGGAGGCGGCGGCGCCTGCGGCTGGTGTTGGGCTGGAGGTGGCTGCCGCTCCAGTGGCAGGGACCTGCGCCTTACTTGCCGCTGATATCTCGCTTCATCTGTTTTTTGTACATCATTGTGGCCTAACAACAGGGATGGTGTCCAGTCAGGGTGGTTCCCAACATCTCATATGCTGGTTTACCTACACGAGAATAATAACAACATATAATTAATATAATAATTTGCACAATCTATGTAATCAATGCTTTAAACTGGCAACTATGTCATGAACAGCATCTCAAGTACTTTTTAGGTCACCTCATAATGTCATATGAAGGTTTATGTACAACAGAATAATTAGATTATGTGTACAATCTATGTAATCTATGCTTTACACTGGCAAAGACCTCGCAGAACACGTGCTAAGTAAGAAACAGCCTGAGAGGGTAACAAAGACACAGAGACAAAGGCACTACAGAAACCATAATAACATATGCTAACCTACACTTCCTAGCTTTAAGAGACAACTACATAAATACATTTTTAGAGAACGTACCAGAGTGAAAATGCAGAGAACACACTCTCGTCGACAGGGGTGTGTGATCGAAAGTAAGGTCCTTTCTTCTAATTGCAGCCAACCAAGCAATCCGACGTCTCCTTGTCAGGTCAGAGAATTGCTCCCCTTGATGCTTTTTCCATTTCGGTAACCTAAAAAACTGTATCCCGTTGTTACTAGGTTTTCCATATCCATCCTGGGAGGTATTGGAGCAGTTTTTAACGCAGCAGTTATTTCCAGGCATGATAAAACAGTGCGGAATAGCAAGAACCTCCGCTACTACCGCGTTCACAACACACGTAAACAAACTGTACTGCCGCCACCGGTGCGCAGCCAATATGTCGGCAAAGGGGGGATGGGGAGGGGGGACTCTGTGCCGTGACGTCAACTCCTCATTCTCAATAAATTCGGGGTTTTCCCGCTGCCTCTTCCCTTTGAAAACCCGTGTCAGGGAAGAGGTCAGTCACTTTATGTTTTTTATGTCTCAAAATGTCCATTTTAATTGTAATTTTGTTGTCATTTACGTTTTGTATGTCTTTTTAGTTTGGGCTGTGAGTGATGCAGAGGCACATGTTCATTGTTTTTGTTTTTTATTGACCAGGTATGTATATTGCCCCTTTGAAAACCCGTGTCAGGGAAGAGTTTGGGCTGTGAGTGATGCAGAGGCACATGTTCATTGTTTTTGTTTTTTATTGACCAGATAAAAGAACGCCTCGTAAGCTTGTCTCTCGTGTGTTCCTCCGCACCACACAATCAAGTAAACACAACGCAGAGCGGAGAAAATCAGACCCGTTACACTGGTGCCGTGACCCGGATCGCTTGATCAGCCACTGCCGATCGCCGAGGTGCTGCCGTGTGCTTGTCGCCCGGAGTTCGTGTCTAACTCGCCTTCAAGTGGATCCAAAAAGTCATCCGTCAGCGCTAGAGACTGGTGTGTGCGCTGCCCTCGCTGACGGCCATCTAAAGAAACCCGAAGCAAGAGTACGCTGCCCGCGCGAACCGCCATCTTGGAAAAACCAAAGCAAGAGTGCGCTGCCCGCGGGAACCGCCATCTTGGAAAAACCGAAGCTTGAGTGTGCTTTGCATATAAGCAGTGGTATTTAAAGCAGCAGTAAGCGATTTGGTCGTTTCCGGCAGTTTCTTCTGCCTGAGCGAGTTAGTAGCCCCGCCCCCGTCTCCTCGTCACACCACATGAACGCGCATCGTGTTGGTGATGGCAGCAGCAGATTCATCTCCGTCAGGTCTACTCGTAAGTATATTAACAACAAACTCTGGGAGTGAAATATTAGCATAGAATAGCTCAGTTGTAACCTAGCTATAACACTGGAAGCAGCTTGGTGTTAGCTAGGATAGCATCACTAAGAAAGAGATAAAAACAATCCAGTCTTTTATAGAATAATACTGCTTTTATAGTTGGCACACTGATAACTGTTGTGATAAACATAATGTTGCAGATTGCAGTGTGACGTGTCTCAACATTATGCACTGTAACATCTGTTACAGTGCATATGTATTAGATGAATGTAATGCATATACATTACAACAACTAAGCTTTACATGAAGGTTATTTAAAGTAATACATTACTGCTTTCCTCACAATTTGTATATTTGGAGTTCTTTATAGACAACACTGTAGTAATGTATTATGTGAAAGTAAAGCTGCATCTCACTGGAAGCTGCCTTCTCAATGTCACAAAATAAAGATAAATTTATTGATGTAATCAACATCTGTATTATGTGCTTATTGTTCAGAGAATGAAGACAAAATCAAAGTGTATCAGAGCTGTACAGTGAGATGTGGGACTGAAAAACAATTCCAGTAAAGCTTGTCCGAAACGCAAAAGTACTGTCATAACTAATTACGTTACACTATTACACTGTAAGGAAACTCACCACTTTGAAAGAAAAGCTACAAGTAACAGAATATATAAAGTCATTTGTCATAACGGTTCTTTCAGGAAGCACTGAACGCCCTCTGTCCAGAGAAGC